ATAATGCATAATTATCTTGCAACAAACTTTTGTATTTGTGGAAAAGCCATAGGTAATGTTCCATTAATTATGCATTACAATTTAAAGATATTCGGATTAGTCTAAACTTCGAAGAGCATGCATACAGTTAGGCTAATGCATTTTATTGGCACTTTCAAGTTTGCTTTGAGCTTAAAGAACTAAATCTCCTTTGCACAACTAGCTTATACTTATTTTGAGCCGGTTCTTTTTTAATAACATTAATTATGCCCTTTTATTTATTATCTTCAATTCGGATTTATAGCACTGAAGAGGGAGTATGCCTTTTGTTTCATAGATATTATAGTTATTTTTGCTGGATTATCCTCTTAAAATGTTTTATTATGGGCTTGTATTGTGATGAAGAGGTTGAATTTTGATGTGGGAAGAAGGCAAGAAGAGGGAAGATAAGAAGGAGAGAAGAGTAGGAACAGAGAGGATAGAGAGAATAGAAAAGGAAATCGGAGAGTACTATTGACTAATCTTGTCAGTGAGCTAACATTATGATTTTAGTCCTGGACCCCCCTATTTGTACTTATCTAAGTATACGACCAGTCCACTATGTTCAATAACTAACATAACTATGGCTCCTTCTAACTAACTCCTACTGCTGTGTATAATTAACGACAGCTTTCAGTTTGATAGAATTTTCATGCTGTCACCATGTTTAGGTTTAAACTTTGAGAGTTTCATGCTTTCACCTTTGTTGGCATGCTTGATTAATAATGTTTTTATTTGCCATTAGGATATTATATTTTTGTATTTCCAGGCCTTTTAAGGGTCTTAATTGAAGTTTAGCATTATTGTTACTCGCATATTTTTGGACTTATTTCTTTTTTGCTGGTTTCCTTATTTCCTGTTTTCAATGATGTCCTTCTTCAATTGGTTTCTAATAATAATACCACTACTTATTCCTCTTGGCAGATTGGAAGATTTTTAGGACCTGAATACTTGCTGAAGTTGTACCTTGCTGGGGCAGTTGGTGGTTCAGTTTTTTACTTGACCCATCAAGCCTATAAGGCATTAACATCAAAGGTCTGACGATGATAACAAGGCTTAAAATATCCAGTAATCTCTTACCAGAGTAGATATAACATTTTAACATTGTCTGGGTTAAAGAAAATAAACAAAATCTAGATTTGAACATTACCACAGGTAGAAGAAAGAATAAATGTAAGTTTATACTCGTTCTTCTTCTTCTTTTTTTCCCCCCCAATACAAACAAATTTATACTCATTCTTCATTGACACTTTTTCCAAATATCTACTATGAATGATTGGTTCGGTTTTGTTCAGAAATAACTTTTATAATGACATGGAAAGAAAGATCAAATGGAAAGAAAGAGCAAAATAAAAGGGATCCTTTATTAGTATGCCGTGAGAATTAAATATTGTGCCTGAGGTGAATAGTGGTAAATTACATTTAGCAGTTTCATGTTAGTATATCTATTTTCTCTTATTAGTTGGAACCTCAAATGTTTAGTTGAATATTTTACTTAGCAAGACATGTGATAAGAAATCAGTTTTTTGAGTGAGTTTTGACCTTTCTTTTTGTTCTGATACAGGGTTGGAGGCGTGTGGAGGTTTCAAAACATCAAGCATTGGTAAGCTTCCTGTAACTACTTCACAACTCACCTCCTCTTTAATCTTCAAGGAGTGTAGCAGTTTGTCTCATAATAGATGATGTTAGGACGACCTGTCAATTATATCCTGAATAAGCAATGCATATTCCGGGAGTCATACTGCTTTTATCTGTTTAGTTTTTTTTTTTTTTTTTTTGGGAGATTTTTATATTCATAAATTATGTAAAAAGGTTGTGCAAAATTTCTTACTCGTACTTTTTTTTCTTGTTCCTTGGCATTTGAGAATAGAAAAAATTGTTCTTTGGTTTATAATTTGTCAAAGTGATTGATTTTATCTTATTTTGGTTGTAGAATTTCTTGTCTTCTGGGCATGCATATCTTTTTTTGCTCGTTATTAATCACATCATGTCCTCACTCCAGAAGTAATTACGTGCTGGCCATGGAAAGTCGCCCAAGCTTTCCAAGTTACTGGAAGTGTCTGCCTTAATGTTACGACGTTTTTTTGGGGGGGGGGGGGGAATTGTTTTGAGCATTTAATTGGCATATCTTCAAATTTCTTCTGTATATAAAGAATGAAAATTGCTGTTTACTTGTATTGATACATTGTTCAATCTTGACTGCATTAATTAATATAAATAAATCTCCCCGTGTTTAGGGTGCTAGCGGAGCTGTGAACGCAATTATGCTACTTAATATATTCCTCTTTCCGAAGTCAACGATTTACTTTGACTTTATTATACCAGTTCCTGCTATCTTGCTGGTAAGATCTTCTCTAGCTTATGTTAGTTCAGCTATGTGAATGAGATTGATTATACACATCTTTACATATCTTTTTATATTATTCACTACTAATCTAGGGCATCTTTTTGATTGGGAAAGACGTTTTGAGGATTATAGAGGTATGGCAACCTCTCTCTAGACCTACTTCGTTGTTTACCAACATATTTCCTAGCAGTTTTCTGCTTAAGCAGTTTCTCTTTTAAGGAAATGATCAGTTAATCATACACTAGTATTTGAGCGACGCCAAATTAATTCATCAATCTGTTTCAGAACCTATCATGTCATGATCCAAACAAATGCCTTTTGATTGGCCTAATCAAATGTCGTGAAAATTGCTGTGTAAATCACTCACTAGTCTGTGCCATGCCTGGCTCTTTGCATTGCTTATTGACATCGTAATGATGCCCGGCCTTCTCATTTGATACTCAAAATGGAATATAACAGAAATGAAAATGGAATTTAAAAAAAAAAAAAAGAGTGATTTTGTGCATGAGAAATGATACTTGTACTCCTTGATTGAAAGAATAACAAATAAGTTGAGTAATGATAAGAAAGGCATAATACGCAAAGTATATCTCATTTTTTACTTATGGGATAGGAATTATTTCTCAATCATTTATACCAAACTGGGCAAAATTCTGATGGAGTCAATCTCCCTTTGACTATGGGCGTGTTTGGTTGAAAATTGGAGAGTGGAGATGGGTGGAAATTGTCAGTGTATCCAAGTATCTTGCTAGGTTCCCATTTGTCCTTTTCCACTTATTGGACTCTCACCAAGATAAGCTGATTGGCGCTTGCATGGCCTTTAGGATGTGTTTGGATGTCAAAGCATGGAAAGTTTAATTTAGTTATAAATCAATGGAAATTTCTGTGTCAACTATTCATTTCCTTCCCTTATCCGTCAGGCTTTTAAATTCTAGATTTCACTATCTATTTGGTGACAGAATATTAAAACCTCAATTGTTTGTTTCCACATCATAGGGAGACAGTCATATATCAGGTTCTGCACATTTGGGGGGTGCTGCCGTTGCAGCCATTGCTTGGGCCCGAATTCGGAGAGGAAGATTCTAATTTATTTCCGTAACTTTGCAAACCTCAATTTTCATTTGTTTATTACTATACTTTGAATTTGAATTACTGACGCTATATTTATCCCTGAAGTTATCATGCCGTAATGGCGTGGTTCCCAGAATATTTATTCCCATCATATTGTTTATTTGATTTTTTTTTTAAAACGAAAATTTTGGGGGTAACCGATATTGGACTTCCATCATTAAAACTAAACTAAATATGGGCTTTTGTATTGAGTTGTACTTTTGTGTTGGCTGTTCTGTGAGTCGATGACATGAGGAAGTGGTGCTAGAGGCATGAAAAATATTACTCCTCCGGTCCTTAATATAGGACCCAATTATTGAGTTAGTTTTGGTCCTAAATATAAGACCCATTTCTCATATTTATCAGTTTTTTCTAAATTACCCTTATAGATACTCCCTCAACCATAATCAAATAGAAGAGGGAGATGGGGTATTAAAAAAGATGATTATGGTATTTTAGAAAAAATGTGTCACTTTTCTTATAATTAACTAACTTATCTAACTTCTTTAATATAATCAAATTAGTTAAATGGGTCTTATATTAAAGATCGGAGGAGTACTATTTATCTACTTGAGAATGCAGCTGATATCAAACAACTATGAATACCAAGGATTTTTATCCTAATGTCTCCAAAACGGAATGTACAGAGACAAATGTCACAGTCAAATAAATGGAAATATATGTGCAATGCCTTTTTCTTCCGCCAACATATATACGACAATGCAATTACCATGAGAGCCTAAGAATAAACGCAATAAAATGAGTTAATGAGCTAAATAGCTTGAGGAGCTTGACATAGTACGAGGTGAAATGACAAGCGAGACGTACAATCCTCGTTTAGCAAATTATAATTACTAAAATAATTTTATGCGCGCTTTATAAAATAAAATTCCCCTCATATGTTTGTTCAGTAGAGTATAAAATCAATTAAAGTAAGCTAATTCGAGAGTGCAACCTTAACTTGGGCGGTGGTTTTGTCCAATGTTAAGTTTGGATGTAGTGTTGCCGAGGCAGGCTCTCTCTCACAAACAATAACGTATTGAAGAATGAAGATGCTTTGAAACATGCCAAAGCCGGTGAGGCTGAGGGCTGGAGGAGGATGGGATGAAGTCATGAAGAGATCAAATTATTGTATTGATTTTATACCACCTTCATTAGTTGGAGGTTAAATTTAATCTTAAATATAAAATTCTAATTTATTTGGTCAAAATTTTCATATTAACTGTAAGGAATTTAATTGTGTAGGAAAGACAATACTATTTTGTTATGAATAATTAACTTAACTATTTTAAAAAATGTTTTTAAATTAATTATTTAATTCTTATATTAGAATCGGATGTAGTATTATTTTTAGAATATAAATTCTGAAATTTAAAATGTTGGATAAGAATTTGGTTTATTTTTCAAAAGTGAAATTTTTTAGAGAAATGCTAACATTAAAAAACATAATACACTAACTAAATCTATAACTAAAAAATTTAAATTATTTTCCAAATCGATGCTCTGGTTTATAAATTATTATTGAAAGTATTTTGCGTTCCTACAGTTAAGTGGAAGCTCAAGACTGCTTTTAACAAGCTATAAGTTCAAGATTTACGTGATGGAAAAATAATTTCTTGACCATCTCCATGGCGAGCACCAGCCTCTGAGAGATTGGATGGTAGGTGGAAGCGTAAAGCAAATTCCGAGAAGCTGAAGCGGAAGAAGAATACACGCGGCTTAAACACGGAAGCCGGAAGACCGATCAGAGGCTGTGAGGCTGGTGACTGACGTCAATGGAACGAAGATAGGTACGAGATGACTGCTGTTCGACATAATCATTCTTCTGCCATTAACACTGATGTCGAAGGAGGAAGAAGCCTCAATTTTCTCCTCCTGTGCCTTGTTATCTTGGTCTGGTGCTTCCGTTTGGATTCGCTTTGATGATATTGCAATTCCTGGTTTGATTATAAACATACAGTGTTCTATATGATAGGATTGGAGGATACTGAGTCTAAGCTCCCGAGGAAAAAAAACGAATTGAAATTTATAATTTGTTCTGATTAAAAAAAGAAAGAAATTTATAATTTAGTAAAAAATTGATTGATATGTTTAAATTTGTTTTGGACGAAACGACATACCCTAATTGTCGTGCGTTCTATCTCCCTCCTTCCGCTGCTTTCCCTCCTTCTCTTCGCAGGTACTTTTCCTGTCCTCCGTTTTCTTCTTCTAGAATCTGGACGCTGGTCCCCTTAGCTATTTTGTGAAGATGATGAGAGATTATTGGTTCTTTCCTTAGCGACCATATATGCAAATGCATTTTCTGTTCTGTTTATTTCCTTTGATTCCTTCAGTGAAAGCGTTGGAAATATCGAGTGGATTTTTCTCTGGTGCATGTTTTCTGTCTCTTTTTGTGCTGGTCTTACTGAACTCCGTTAGGTTTCTCGTAAAATTGATATGTTTTTTGTGGAATCAAAAATCCTCACCGTTATCTTCTGGTTTTAGTATAGAAGAAAAAAGAAAGCAAGAATCGTATGCTGCCACTCTCTTTTCCATACTAATTCAGTTTCCCCTTCGCAGTGATGGGAAGCATTTAATAGTCTTGGGTTTGAAGAGTGTCACTCTCTGTTAGCGAGAAGGAATGACTGAAACAAAACGACGACCAATTTATTAATTGAAAGAATGATCTTTTGATATCGTTCCTCTTTTTACGTGTTATGACTTCTCAAATACCGTTTTCCTGAAGATATTGATCATTTTTATATTTTTCGATGGTGAGTAGTGTGTTAAGCTAATATTTGGTGCCTACCCTGTAGGTCATATTTTCTGCGTAATAGTACTATAGACAATGAATGATGAATGGGAATGATTCATAGGTAAAACTAATGGTGAGTTGTGACAATGTCAGGATCTAGAAGCTTTCCTTTTTTCTTCTCGTTCTTTTTTTTTTGGTTTTATTTTTTTATTTTGCCAGCGCTTTCTTTTTTCTTTATATTGAAGACATTTACAAATTGCATCTTGAATATAAGAGAGAAGGAAAGAAGGCATGGGATATTGTGCTAAACTATTGACCTACAAAACAAAAGATCAGGTGAGAACCATGTGGTCAAATGATGAATTCTACTACTTTGAGGATTTAGTAAATAGCCATTTGGATCCTTTAGATGGATACATAGATCAGTAAGGTAAAAGAAAAGGAAAGTTATGCTTCTTGAAAAATTAATGGTTGGAGTGTGAATAAGATGGTTCATAGGGTAACTTATGCAGCTTTTGGGGGAGGAGATCTTGAATAAATCATACAGTAAAAAGATTGTGTATAAGTTTGTCTTGTGATAACTGCTTTAGTTGAATTGCTGAAAACCAAAGAAGTTCGCTCATGAGTGTATGAAGTAATTACATTAAATATAATGATAAAGATCCTGATTTCATTTAGCTGAAAAACTTTGAATTTTTTGAATTTTTACTGTATAAATCTTTATGGAGGTTGTTGCTTCTGTAATATGTTGTGTGAAAATATGGCTATGACTGTGTAGTGTGTACAGAGACAAACTTGAGAGTAAAAATTAAATGGAAGAAAAGGTATGTGTCAAAGAATAATGTTGCTGAAAGCTATATTGATCTTTTTAGCGTTTTAATAGATACCTTTTTAAATGAAATTTCTAAACCTGCTTTAAATTAACCTAAACGCATCCTGTTCAATGGTTTTACATAGATCCAGTGATCAAAGTGCAGTCAAGGAAAAAAAACAAAAGAAGGAAGAAAAATTGGCTTGAAAATGTTAGATTTGGGTCTCTGACATGACAAGTTCAGTAGTAAGCAATGATAATCTTTCTGCTCTACCAAAAGGTGCCTTTTCAACTCAAAGCTCTACACCTAATTTGGCAATACATCCAGATGAGCACTCTCTGGATTCTGTAATGAGGCAATCTCAGGTTGAAAATGTATCAATAGAGAAGAGTGAGCATGAAAATGCCTTAGATAAATCTCAGATCATGACAAGTGTAGAAGTAAGCTTGAGAAAGGAAAGAAGAAGAAAGAAGAGGCGTGAGAAAGGACATGATGCTATTGAAAGCAATGATCATCTTTCTGCTGTAGTAAAAGATGCGTTTTCAACTGAAACCTCTACAGCGGCTGCGCCTCCAACACATCTAGATGAGCACTCTTTGGATTCTGTGATGAGGCAAGCTCAGGTTGAAAATGCATCAAAAGAGAAGAATGTGCTTGAAAATTACTTGGATAAGTCTCAGATCATGTCTGGCAAAGAAGTAAGCTTGAAAAAAAGAAGAAAAAGGAAGAGGCAAGAGAAAGGAAATGATGCTACTAAAAGCAACGATAATCTTTCTGCTGTACTGAAAGACGCCTTATCAACTGAAACATCTAAAGCTGCACTGGCTGTGCCTCCAACACATTCTGATGAACACTCTCTGCATTCTGTAACGAGAAAATCTCAGGTTGAAAATGCATCAAAAGACCAGAATGTGCTTGAAAATTACTTGGATAAGTCTCAGATCATGTCTGGCAAAGAAGTAAGCTTGAAAAAAAGAAGAAAAAGGAAGAGGCAAGAGAAAGGACATGATGCTACTAAAAGCAATGATAATCTTTCTGCTGTACTGAAAGATGCCTTATCAACTGAAACATCTAAAGCTGCGCTGGCTGTGCCGCCAACACATTCTGATGAACACTCTCTGGATTCTGTAACCAGGAAAGCTCAGGTTGAAAATGCATCAAAAGACCAGAATGTGCTTGAAAATTACTTGGATAAGTCTCAGATCATGTCTGGCAAAGAAGTAAGCTTGAAAAAGAGAAGAAAAGGGAAGAGGCAAGAGAAAGGACATGATGCTACTAAAAGCAATGATAATCTTTCTGCTGCACTGGACAATGCCTTATCAACTGAAACATCTAAAGCTGCTTTGGCTTTGCCTCCAACACATTCTGATGAACACTCTCTGGATTCTGCAATGAGGAGAGCTCAGGTTGAAAATGTATCAAAAGACAAGAATGTGCTTGAAAATTCCTCAGATAAATCTCAGATCATGTTAGGCACAGAAGTAAGATTGAAAAAGAGAGAAGGAAGAAAGAAGAGGAAAGAGAAAGGACATGATGCTACTAAAAGGAATGGTAATCTTTCTGCTGTACCAAAAGATGCCTTTTCAATTGAAACCTCTACTGCTGCTTTGGCTGGGCCTCCAACACATCTAGATGAACACTCTCTGGATTCTTTGGTGAGGCAATCTCAGGTTGAAAATGCATCTAATGAGAAGAATGTGCTTGAAAATGCATCAGATAAATCTCAGATCGCGACAAGTGTAGCAGTGGGCTCAAGAAACAAAAGAAAACGGGAGAAGAGACGAGGGAAAGGATATGATGCCAGTGAAAGCAATGTTAATAAAGCTGCTGTTCCAAAAGACACCTTATCAGTTAACACTTCTGCGGCTGCTATGGATCTGCCACCTCTACATTCAGTTCAATACCCAATGAGTCCTGTAATGAGACTGTCTCGGGAAGCCAATGAAGAGGTACAGAATATAATTGGAAAGGCCACAGATGGACCTACAACTGTGGCCAATGAAAAAGTAAGTTTAAGAAAGAAAAATAAAAAGAGGAAGAGGAGAAAGACTGGGTGTAATGATATTGGATGTGTTATCAATCATTTTGAAGTTCCAAAAGATACATTTGCTCCGGATCTAGTAATGAGTCAATGTCAGGAAGAAAACCAAGGAAAGGATCAAAATATGGTTGAAAAGGCTACAGATGGATCTCTGGCTATGCCAAATGCGGAAGTGAACCCAAGAAAGAAAAATAAAAGGATGGGAAAAAGGAGGAAGACGAGACATGATTCTTTACAAAGCAATGTCAATCTTTCTGGTGTTTCAAAAGGTACCATTTCAACTCAAACTTCTGCTTTGTTTATGCTTTCACCTTGACCTTTTTGTTTCTTGTCCATGGAGGTGGTAACGAGACAATCTCTGGAAGTAAATAGAGGAAATGAACAATGAATGCTTGACGAGGATAGCATTAACCAGTAATGGGTAGCATAACCTTGAGATGAAAATTTAGCAACCATGGCCAGTTGTGGCAAATTCCAGGCATTTTGAGAAGGTTAGGAAAATCGAGTACAGTGCGGGCTATAAAGTATAGCAGTTTCACTCTAATATTGTAGATTGTTCTGTTAAAAAGATCAAACTAATGAAGAAACATATTCATCCAGTACTTTAGAGTCATAGAAATTTTGGAGCCCTGTGCAAAGGAGCTAGAGTCAATACCTATCTTGGTAGTGTAGTGCTTACTCAAGCCCTGTTCACTATAACCTGGAACCAATAATGGAGGATGGTAATAGGGATAATTCACATCGATTTTGTGGTGAATAGTTGACAGTTGACTCAGGAATTGTTGAAAACAAAAGTTTCAGATTATCAAGTTCCCTTTAATCCTTGAGCTTCGTTAGAGGAAAATAATGTTAACAGAAAATAGGTATGAGCAATGATTTTTCCTGAAGTTTAATTTGATGACTAAAAACGGTGGAAAGTTGGATTGTTTTTGGGTTACAAGTTGTGTATGTCTTCTGCAGGTGACATTTCTCATTCAACAGTAGTCAGTAAGCATGGTCATTCTAAGGTATCGCATTCTTCACTGGGTAGAGCCATATCAAGCTACCCAAAAAAGAAGCTTCTTGTACTTGATCTTAATGGGCTGCTTGCTGACTTTGTCCTTGGTGTTCCTGAGGGTTACAAACCTGACAAAAAGATACATAACAAATCAGGTCATAATCATCAAATATCTAGTCTCCTCACATTTTTGGCCTTCATGTCTATCTACGTCTTCCTTTGATTGACTGTTTTGTTGCTTGCTTTCTGCAGTTTTCAAGAGGCCTTTTTGTGATGATTTTTTGCAGTTCTGTTTTGACAAATTTCATGTCGGTATTTGGTCATCAAGAAAACGGTATCTATCAATCCATGAATGAATTTGTCTTATTACTTTTAATTTTAATTGTTTATTCTATGTAATTTTAAGAGGCAATGGTACATGCGAGTCAGTGACTTGTATTATTTGGAAGCAGATGAGTTTGTAAACAACGAAATGTTTAGTGGTTTCAAGTAGTTAGGGAGTATCCATGTGATTTGCCATTCCGCTCACAGTTTATAAACAGAAGTGAGCATTGTACTTGCAAGTGGTTGTTGATTTCAGTGCTTTCATATCTGTTCCATCTCTTCTCTTTTCTCTGGTTAACTTTCACCTGGCAGTTTTGCACTTATGGTTAGAATTTCAGCAGTATTTTTCACTTTACTAGTTGGTGCATGCTTTGCCTTGACACTTGCATATAATTGCTTGCAGGCAGAACGTTGATGCTGCAATCAAAATTCTTGTGGGGGTTTCAGCATCCAAACTGCTTTTTGCCTGGGTAAAATATTCTCTATTTTCGAGCAGCAGATTTATGGTCAGATTGATCAGTTAATCAAATTGTAGAGAAGTTTACTCAATATATTCCCAGGACGCATCTCAATCACGTATTTGTAATTGATGCGTATTTTACTCTTTTTACTTTAATGGTGTTTTGTTGATCCAGAGAGTTGTTTACTTTCTTACTAAGATTTTTGTTTGTCTCTGATGCTGCGAATGATGGCAAATTTTCCTCATGAACGTATATACTTCCTCCTGATCCTCCTTTGTCAAATATTTTCAACTGAACTTGTTAGTGTGCATTTTTACTTTTGCAGTTTGATGACTTTTTTTCCTTTTATTTTTATGGGAAAAAAGTACTATACTATTAAATAGATTGAATAGCTCAACTATAAACTAGAACATATTAGAAGAATATAAAACACATCAACTATTGCTTCAGACCTTGACCCAAAAGGAAAAGGCAGAACAAGACTCTTGATTTGCAGTCGGCTCTATTGTGCATTTCTCTTATTTGTTTGTTTGCATTTATATGTGAATGTCTGGATGCTGTTCTGATTGATTTTTACGTATCTAATTTTTCTCAGATCTTTGCTACTATAACGTATTATACTTGTGCAGCCAAGCTGAGTTGTTTGTATATTATTTTGTGGAGCAGTTGCCATTTAGTTAAATGTTCCTTCTATTACTACAAAATAGAAGCAAGCTGGTAATTGTGGTTGTAACTCTATATTCATTCAAGCTGCAGCAATTTCAATTTGGGCTAAATAGGTATTTGTTGAACATTTTAAAAATTAACTATTGTATGGTCAAATAAATCTTGTTGAGATGCAACTCCTTTTGTGTGCTTAGATGAGATCCACCTGATTAAATTTGGTTATCGGTGGGAATTATTCACTTCTAGATGGATTTTAAGCCTGCTGAGTCATGTTATGATTGGTTTTTGTAGGATCAACGTCAATGTACTGTGACAAAATTTCGGACCATCGAGGACAAGAACAAGCCCCTTATGTTGAAGGAACTGAGGAAGTTGTGGGAAAAGGGCAGGTCCGATCTTCCATGGAAGAAGGGAGAGTTCAACGAGAAAAATACTTTGTTGTTGGATGACTCCCCTTACAAAGCGATCCGGAATCCAGTAAGCTGCTCTTGGATTTCCTTCCGTAAAATAAGACTTCAATTTTTTGAATCATATTGTTTCTTCTGCAAATGTGTTTCTTCCTACTTATGCAAATTATATTCAGATGCACACAGCAATATTTCCTTATTCTTACCGGTTCAGCGACAACAATGACACATCATTAGGTGAGACAGACCTCTTTAATCCTCTCCCTGTTCAAATTATTAGCTCATGTTGAGGGATTGTTATTGCCGTATAAAAGTTCTTTTCTAAATAATAATTGCTTTAAACATCATTGATATGTGGCTAAGATTATTTATGTTGTCTCACTGATTATCATCTCGGAATCATACTGTCTTGTTCCCGGCCAACCATTGTGACCTGCAATTCCTGATAACTTGGATGATCTTTTCTGTTAATTGCTTTTTGAGGACACGTTAAACTAACCCTTCGCATTCTTGCCGAGTCTTCTCTTTTATATTTTCAAGTTTCTCCAGTTTGAAAGTACTTGGAACAGCAAGTTTTCCTTGGACATGATGAAGAAAAATATTAACCAATTTTCTTTCCTTCTCTCTCTTTCCGTTATTTTTTTGGGATTCCTTCCATTCTCGTTTCCTCTGGATTTTCGAAGTTCAAACATATTTTCACCTATTCCATTTCTGTTATTGCAGGACCTGGAGGTGATCTTCGTGTTTATCTTGAAGGATTGGCTATGGCTGAGAATGTTCAGGAGTACGTGGCTTCTCATCCATTTGGTCAACCACCCATAACAGAATCAAATCCACACTGGAATTTTTATTGTTTAGTTAGAGATCAAGGCTTAGTCGCAAGAAAAAGAAACAGAAAGAGGAGATCGACATAATCGCCGTCGGCTTTGTTGTCTGTAACGCCATCCATTGAATTTTGATTTTAATATTCTTTTGTCATAATTTTTTTGGGGGTATAATCATCTCATATTCATACTATCGGTTTAGATGTGAGCTTTGCCAAGTCTAATTGGGGAAAATTTTGCTAACAGGATTTTTTCCCCCATCCTCAATGTTCAAACCTGGGCCAAGATATAATTTTCATTCGAGTATTTGATTGCGATGTATTTTCAACATTAGAAGGTCTCATCATATATTGTTTCCTCTCTCGTTGCTTAGTTTTGTAGTGTCCTCTATGTCATTGCAACTGTGTTTTAACCTTGTTAAAAACTATGTTAATATGAAGATTAAAGTTGGACTTTGAAGAGTCAGTTCAAATGTGAATAACACAACATAATAACCCACTGCTATTGAAAGGCTACACTCTGGTATTGTCATTGATACTTAATCTACAGAGGGAGTCACTGATTTGCATTATCCTTCATTGTGAATCAAGTCAATGTTAAGAAGTAAATAATCTGAAAAGGTGCACATAAATGAACAAGTCTAATGTCCCCACTGAAGCAGACACAATTCGATCCTGGTGAAGAAGTCATGTATTGGGGTCATGAGGCCCCTGGAAAAAGAACATGCTGGTCTGAGTTGGCAATGTGCTAATCCTTCTAAATCCATGGCATGTGCTGGTGGTTGTGTTGCTGGAATGCTGCAACAACCGCCTCAACATTTCAAACAGATATTCTTGAATCTCAAGATTCCCACCCTCAAAAGTAAATGAAATCCTCCTCCTCTTTTATCTTAATGAGTACTAGATTTCAAGCTCAAATTTTAAGAATTGACTACAACTCAAGTTGGTGGTTTGACTCATGATCAAGTCTGAGTCAATCATTTGAGTACCTAATCTCCTCATAACTCCTGAGCTTTCAAAGTCGAAATATTAGATTTCAAATTTTACCGTCTTCCCCTGTTATGCAAATTACCCTTCTTCTATACCGTCATCCATTGCTCAAATCTGGCCCAAAAATTGGGGGGGAGGGGAATTGAGGTCAAGTTTAACGAAACGATTATCTTCTCACTCACTCACGCTCGCGCGCGCACTCTCACAATTAAGATGGTTTGTTGAGCTTTGATTGTTGGTGAAAATGTGGGTATGGCGCTGTGTGTGGATCACAGACTGATAGACTAATAAAACTTGAAGTAAAGCCGTAAAAGGGCATTATTTTATGTCAGTATATATCATTTTCATCGTCACTGTCACCATCTTCAAGCAGATGCAGATGGTTGGTAGTGACAGTTAAGCCATTCTATAACTCAACTACCATTTCATTTCTTCAGCAGAAATGGCATGTGCTTCTCTGTGTTTTCATTTCCACCTACTGAAGCAGCATCTTCTTCTTCTTCTTCTTCTTCATTTTCCTCACGCTTTGGGCCCACCCCTTATTCTGCTTTAATTTTCTACCAAAAAGCTAGAAAACAGTCTCCATTATATACATTTGTTGTTGGGGTTTGTCTGCAAGTGAAATCGAATATGCATGATTATGTGTGGTTACTTTAATCGACCCCCCACATGTTTCACTTCAAAATAACTTGAGACTTTATAACACCAACTAAAAAAGTACTCAACAGATTAGGAAATGCTTAAGATAGAAACAAGAGAAAGGAATAATGGTCCCAAGTCTGAGGCAGGGTGCACATACTGATAATATTATGATCCAAGAACAGAGAAGATCAGAAAAAGGTAATGAAAATCGAAATTGAAGTGGACTTAACTAACTCTAGAAATAAAAAAAATAATAATAATAAAGTTTGGTGTGACCTAGGCCAAGCCAAGTGTGAGATAAAAAGGTATAATAGCTTGTTCTCTGAACAAAAAGATGAATATCAACTTGGCATGTGCTTGGTGGATTTGAGGTTGATTGAGGATAACGTAGGTAGCAGCCATATCAAATCCCACCCATATAATATGACCATATATATGGTCAGATTATGAGCAGTGGGTACGGCTTTAATTTTATCCTACTTTTGTTAAATCTCATAATTCGTTAATTTGCTTGAAAATACTACTTGCATTGCCTCGTGGTCCTACCTTATTCTCCTTTCAATGCGGTTTCAAGCTGTACGTGAATATGACTTTATTCAAACTTCATTTTCAGTGCAAGTGTTGCCCATTATAGATTCCTCTGTGTGTGTGTGTATATACCGTCTATACATGTATATATATATATAGGGCATACAAATGAAATTGCAAATTCTCTCAGCTTGCTCTATTATATACTCCTTTGATCCTATTTATAAGATACTTTCAGTATATTTCACACAAACCAAGAAAAACCTTGAAATGTATTAACTCTCCATTAAAATATAACAATTTTTCAACTTTACCTATATTTAATATATATACCTTTTAAAAAAGATAACTACCTTCACTATAATAAATAAAGGACAAAATAGTACATTTACGCTGAAAATTTAATAAAATGACTTATAAATAGGATAAAAAAATCTTCTTTCTTTACCTTATAGATAGGACCAGAGGAGTACATATGTGAAATTCCTAGTAGAAGCAAAATCAGTGAAGTAAACACAAAATACAGATATTGAAGTGTTTGTCTTGATACTATTAATGCTTTGGGGGCCTTCACCCTGCCAATGGTATAAAACCAGCATGTCGTTTTCCAATTAAAGTCATTGGTGTAGATGTGTTTAAACTTTTTGATTCTGTCAAATATTTTAGAGTTCCGTGTGACATTTGATTTCTCTCATTTTGACTTGTGTCTCACTTATTTTCATTGCCCCAAGACTTGTTCTGTCTTAGCTGATGAATCAATTCATGTTATTGACAAGAAGATTTGTGTGAGGATGACTCAACTTCTTGATATAATGAAAACAAGTAGTTATAATTGTGAGGATAAAATACTAATTATAAAAAATAGATACCTTGAATAAAATAAATTAAATATGAGTTTTTCCCTCAAAATTAATTTTTTTATCCTCTCAATTGTAATATTTAGTGTTAATATCATTTTTAATTCTTGAAATTTGATCTTATTTTGATTTTAGTCACTGAAATTTAAAATCAGTAGTATGAGTCTAAGAAAATTGATTTTGACTTTAGCACATAAAATTTATGTATGAAAATTGAAATAAGGTTTTGGGACTAAAAAGCACTGTTCAAGAAAAAACTCTAATTTTCATCATCAATATATTTAATGTGATGTAATGATTAATTGATTATACGCACCTCTTAAAATTAAAAAAGAGGGCCATGGTCCCTTGAATGCGCCTCCTACAGTGGGATGCTAATCATCACAGCAGATCCAACCTCCCAACTAACCTGATTAACTAAAAGTGGTGGGCCTTTGCTCAAAAAAAAAGTGGTGGGCCACTCTATTTACTCTTTCTTCATTTTTTTTTTATTTTCTTTTTTCACTTTTGTGCTTGACCTGAAATGATTGGGTGGTTTATATATCTCAAACGTAAAAAAATAAAATTTAAAGATGATGGCGAAACAAAGGCAGGGTAGAAAACAAATAATATATATATATAATTAGAATAATTTTATTTTAAAAATAAAAGAATTTAGGGTATAAACTATACGATTCAACCGCGCAGAATAAATGAATAATTCAGCCGATGTGCTGCGCAGTGACACCAAAACATTTTCTCATTCAAATAAATAAATAAAAATAGTGGAGGACCAGGGCAGGCTTTCTTTGTTTTCATTCTGTCCAGATTTTTTTTTTGGAAAAAGTTCAATTGTTGATTTGGCGGCAACTTTTTTTTTTTGGGTCAATATTTAGTGCCATCTTTACTTCAAATCCACTCTTGGATTAATATTTGAACCCCCCCTTTTTTTGTTTCAGAGCTTTTAGAAAAGCAAAGCATAAAAAAAGAGCAGGTCCGAGTCCCGACCAGTATTTTTATTTTTTATAACATCTTTCTTATTTAAAGAATAACAATCAAATAATTTCTTCTATGCGTCAGCTCTGTGAGCATCAAATTTCTTTGACTTCAGATTTCTTGCTGAGAATAAGGGAATCTCATGTTTTTTCATACATTTTATGGGACTGCTGAATTTATTTATTTATTTATTTATTTTCTATGGAAATCTATCTCTTCAGGTCATTTTATCTCATTTTATAATTTTAAATGAGAGCGGTGTGTGTGTGTGTGTGTGTGTGGTGTATATATTTGGATGAAGATTGAAGACTTCATTAATATGAGCAAGTGAGATGAACACGTCAGTCATTCGGTTGCAGAAGCAGAACTTGAATAGTGATGAAGGAACATGAAAGAGCTTTTATATACACATACATAATGAGTGAAGTTTGAATATCCAGAAGATAATGATCATACATTACAAGTTCAAGTTTATTAATCATGACGCAGCTACCCAATGTGAATATATAGTCAAATATTCCCTCTCATGATTTAATTTACACTACATCTGATTTTTAATATAAGATTTTCTTAACTAATTTAACTAATTTAAGAAAATTAGTTAAATCAGCTTTTTTTCGTTAAAAAAATGTACATTGGTTTCTTGAAAATGTCTCCTTAAATTATTTGCATTGAATCTACTCATTTAACATCTGCAATAAGGATAATTTAAAAAAAAACAATAATAAATATAAAGATTAAAAATTTATATTTAAAATCAAATCTAACTCTAGATGGCATAAGTCATATTTAACCATTTTACTAAAATAAAAATATAGTCAAATTACTGACACTATCTGTAAACGAACTTTTTAAAAAATTTGTCCGTATTCAAAAGCATGAACTGAGAAAATAAAAGAAGCAAATCCTGAAATAATTAAATGCATTCGTGGAAATTTGAAAGATAGCCAATCCTTAAAAATATAACTAATCCTCCACTTAGTGACTAATATAAATAATATATATATATACATATATATATACACGCGCGCGCGCGCTCACATGTAAAACCTCTCATTTTTCACTAGAAGAAGCATGATATAAAGGGCCGGAGCAGGTAGCTCAGGAAGAAGTATTGAACATGACACTACTAGTACCTGTTTTGGCAAAAAAAAAAAAAAAAAATACAACACTACTTGCGTACCCTAATTTGGGATCTAATACGTTATCTTTTGTTTTTAAGGTCCTAAAAACTTCATTTCATGTTTATAAACACACACACATATGTAGAAGTCGTGACAAAAAATAAAAAATATAATTTTTATTTTTTAAACTTCCCCAATTATTAATTCACTTTGTGAATTTCAATTCAAAAGAACTAGGTTTTCACAATTGTCCCACTCATTATAAGTTTTATCATAATTTTTATTTTAATTTTGAACACCTTAATCCTTACAATTCATGAAGCAAGAACAATTCAATTCTTGTTATTCTTAACTTGATAAATTACAATTAATAATTTAAACAATTAAAAATTGACTAGAGTTTGTGATGCAATTCATCCTTTTGAAGATATAATTGATTACGCTAGATTTTTGTTCCACGGGGATCCATAGGTAAAATTCATACTTAGAAAAGCAACCTCTATTACTGATTATTCAGCTAGATTGTCTTGTGGTCTTGATAATAATTTATGTATCTTCAATCATCATTCACTTCCTTATTAAGTGGCGTCAAATGATGAAGGAAACTAGATGTTGATCTATTTGTTTTTGTTTGTAAGTCCCGTTATGAGTAGATGATATATTGATATTCCATATTAACTCAAAAAAATTTAAAAACTAAAGATTATATTTTCAAAAAAAAAAGAATATAAACATAAACTAAATTTATAAGAGTGAACATATAGATATAGATAGATAGATAGATAAATGATATCAACTTGTGGTTTTTTTTTTTTTAACCAAGGAATTTGGATGGGTTAAAATGAGGAGAATAGTAGTGAGATGGAGTGATGATTAAGGATTCGCCCAGCGAAGAAAAAAGGGAAGGGCATCATTATGCAATTAACCAAATTGTGATTGTGTGTTCGAAAGTTGAAACAACATGGGCACGTCTACGGGGTTGTCTAGTTTATTTAGGGATGATTACAGAATTTTTGTTTTGTTAGGTGGCCCCCACCCCCACCACATGTGACCTCTGGTCCCACCCTGCTTGTCACCTTCCATTCCTTCCTCTTATTCTTCCTCCTCCTTTGTCTCTCTTCTTCGCTATCGCTTTCTAACGTCATCTCCGATTCTAATTATAAAAGTTAGTTAATTAATTTAAAGAGATTAAAAAAATAAATTAAATTAGTTATTTGTGATAAATAAATATTGTCTTTCCTAAAATATTATTCCTAATCAAGTGTATTGATTAGAACTACTATTATTAGAAAGATTACCTTAAAAAAAATGTATAAATATGAGAGACAAAATATATTAGAATCTTATATTTAGGATCAAAATAAAAGTCAAATAAAATCTTATATTAAGGACTGAAAGTAGTATTTCAACTATGTATAATTGCATCATTACATAATCTACTACTCTCTCCTGCCTTGAAATGCACTGGGGTTAAACAACGCTTAAAAATTAATTTATTTGTTAAAAAATATATGTTGATCGTCCTAAGATACCTATTTAAATTATTTACGCGGGAAGCTACTCTCTCTCTCTCTGTTTTTTTTTTTTATTAAGAACCATATATGGATAACTCAACATGCAGAATTTAGAGAGAAAAAATAGAGACACAAGAGAAAGAGTAAATTAAAATACTTCTATGATCTTAAATATAAGACTCATTTTGTAGTATGAAAATGAGTTTTAGATTCAGAACCGGGAGTATTAAACTAGTATAGCTCTAGTTGCTGTGGTTTGTACGCCTAACAGCTGGATTCAGTTTTTGTCAAATAAGAAAACGCCCAATATAACGATATTTCCTGCTTCATTGGCTGGTTGCTTCCTTGGAGAAGTGGTCAGCATGTTATTATTAACTTAAAACGTGTGTTAGGTTAATTAATAAATGATCCAAGACCCCTAATCATCTCTTCATTATTTGAGCAACCCCGTCTTGCAAGTGCCCGTTATATAATATTCCCAGCCTCACAACCACACATCGCCTTTCCCATCCTCCCAGAGGTTTTCCCTTTTCCCCTTTTTGCGATCACAATGGACATTCCTATATTCAATTTCATCATATGATCATCATTTCCCGCCCAATTAATGTAAATGTCCATTCATGAATAATTGAGTGTACTAGCTACGTTCCTTAATATAAAATCTGGTTGAGAATCATATTTAGTCCTAAATATAATATCTCAATTTATTTTACCTCCCGAATTTATATATTCATTTTCTAAATTATCCTATTGATTATACATATTAAAAGGATCTCCATTTAAAGGTAATCATGATTAAAATGATACTTTAGAATATTCAACCTGTATTTGTCATAAATAATTAATTCAACAAACTTTCTTAATATATTTGAGTCAGAAAACTAGTTTTTATATCAAGAACCGGAGCTAATATGCACAAACGGACTCTTACATTTTTCTTTATAATATTTTTCACGCCCCCCGTGTTATTAATTATTTCTCTTTGGCCACTCACTCTATAATAGTATAATTTAAGGAATGGTAACTTATTTCAGGCTCTTTAGAAATGCATGGGGCTAGCTAGTTCTCTTAAGGATACTGTGCCTTAACGTTACTATATTTTTTTTGAACGAAGACGACTCATACTCTAATAGAGCTTCACATTATGCCTAAATTAATACAGTATTTTTTTTTGAAGTATCCTAACACGTAACCAAACCAGAAGAAGCTCTTCTCACTATGTAAATTAGAAACAAAAAAAGAGAGTAAAAATTCAAAAGAACTGCATGCGAGTGCAAGATTAGAGGTCTATGAGTTAAGGTCAAGAAATGTAATTTTGCGCAAAATTATGACTTTTTCTATGACTCGATTTAGTCTTAATTCTTTGCCCTCCCTACTTCAACCCACTCACACCCACGTTCCTCATCCTCCGTCTCTCTCTTCTGACAAGATCACATGCAGATGTAGACATATCCAGACCCACAAATGCTCATCCCACATGGATTCGCGATATTGAGAACTCACCCCCACATTTCTCACCCTCTTCCTCCTTCCCTTCTCTCCCTTAACATAAGTTTTTTTAATTGTTATTATTATAAACAAGCCAGCTCCCCCCAGATTGGCTACGCATTTTGATGTTCATAATAATAATAATTCTACCTTCCATTTGTTCTCGAACCAGAACTCCCAGACAATTCTTCTTGGATCTGCAAACATTCGCTTAGCGTCTCTGCATTGGTACTGTTAACTTCTGTTCCTCCTTTTTTTCCCTTTCCCTCTCCTTCTTTCTGCTTCTCCATGGGGTATTGGGCCCCCTCCCTTTTTTCTGGTGCCTCGTTTTGTGGTTATTGTCATTTAAGGTATTGTCTGGTTCGTTTTGCGAAACCCATTAATGTTTCCCTTCAAACTGTGATGGGAATTGATTTAGCTTTCGGTGATACATTATTGTAATTACTGAGATTGGGTGAATCTTTTGGGAGAGCTGAAAAGGGAATGTTCAGTTGTCGCTGGAAAATTTCGAGGTTACAGTTCGTTTGGCAAATATACTCTTTGTTTTTTGTTTTCTTTTTGGTCTTTGGTTTTGTTCTTACAGTGTTCAGAAATGAGGAGTCAACTCTGCTTTCTTCTGTTTATCAGGGTTCAGAAACTAGGAGTCGTGGCCTCGACCGAAAAATTTGAGGGGGAAGGAAGAGGAAAGGAGACTCATTTATTTACCTTTAAGAAGGCTGGATTTAATTTCTGGATGGTGGTGATCTCCATGAGCTGTTTAAAGTTACGCATTCAATTTTGTGTAAATGGAGTCAAAATCCTATCTCAGAAGGGTCTTACTGTGCTGTATGGGTAGACTTGACAGTAAATGATAAATCTATCACGGAGTGGGGGGTAATTCTTTGGGTAGTTGAGGAGGGTTGAGTATATTTAATAACAGGTGGGTATGGCTGCAAAACTCCTGCACTCTTTAGCAGATGACAACCCTGATTTACAGAAGCAGATAGGATGCATGTCCGGGATTTTGCAACTTTTTGATCGGCATCATATTCTTACTGCCCGACAGATTAACCAGAAGAGGCTTCCTCCTGCTAATCGTCCAAGTATGCCCCACCTAATTCAGTTGTTTATTTTTTTTTTTTCATTTTTTTTTTCCTTCGTAAGTCTCGGAATGATGATCATTTGAGCTGTGTTAACCTGCTCATGGCACTGATTTGGGACATTGAGGTTAACCTGCTGCATTTCCAAATTTATTGCAAACAACAGATTTTTTTTCTTTTTCCCCAAGGGCTTAGATTTTTAGATCTTCGATCTCTTTCCTGTCTCTTCCAAACTTAGGTTTTCCTCGAAATCTTCTGAATTTTCTTTGCTTTCAAAGGAGAGTGCAGCATGTAGGTATATGATGAAAGATTATTCAGCAATGATCACGTTTGAATTTAATTTTGAGACTTTGGGTTGGAGAAGATGTGAACTTCTCTATGAATTGGTCAGCTTATAGTGTTTTTTTTTTTGCCAACCTTATACCGCACCATCTAGTGTTGGTTCTTGCTCTTATGCTTCAGACAAGTGCATCACTGTTTTCACAACTCATGCTTCTCTAATTATAGGTGGAAACTCTCACTTTGCTAACGGCATCCTGGAAAAAGATTCTAGTAGTGCAAGGCAGCAGCAAATAACATCTGTACGTATTTTCCTCCCTTATCTTTGATGGACTAGCTATTATTTTACAGTTCAACTAGATAAGTTGTCCTGTGCACTGCATACAGTTTGAGTAATGAGTTGCATTGATCATAACTTGTAAATAGTGTGGATTGTTATAGGTTTTTTTTTGTTTTTTTTGTTTTGTTGGTATAACTCAAAAAGTATCCTCAAGCCACTTTAGGCTTGAGACTAATCTTTATCAGGTTGGGAGTGTTAAGGTTAAAATCCTCCCAACAAGTGTGTTTCTTGGGATTTGAACTTGTGTTTTCCTCCTTACAGGGGTAAGACCACTTATTATCATCTTAACCAACAGCTTTTTGGTGGATTGTTATAGATTTTATAACATATAATTGAAAAAATTTGGATAAGGCTCTTAACTGAGGCATGGACCTTTTTTAAAATTATTTGCATGTGCCAAAAACCAGTGATTTATTACCCACAGCTCGTGAATCAATTTGACTACTATCTAAATGTTAAAGGCTTGAGAATTTTGAAACATCAATATCTTCCTCAGATCATCTTAAGCATTCAAAATCTAGAAACTTTCTTGTTCTGGATGCATCTTTCTTCTCGTTTTGGGCATGCTTCTTACTATCTGGAACAAACACAAGAATTTGCTCTGAACTGAACCCATGCAACTTGTAGAATTTATTGCAGGATGTGAGCCCAAACAAGGGCTTTGGTGAGAAACAAAGGATATCCACAGAGTCATCAAGAGTCTCTTTCTCGTCTTCATGTTCATCATCCCTGTCCTCTCTGGATTGCAGAGCTCAAATGGAGGGTTCCTTTGATCGCATTATTTATCCTGAAACTCCTTCAAGGGAACCAGTTATGAACCAAACAACTGTCTCTCCCCATTTAGGAATGCAATCCCTTGACCTGAGGGATGTGGTGAAGGATTCTATGTATAGGGAGGCCAGAGGACTACCGATGAAGAAGGCTACTGCTGAAGAAGAAGCTGTCTTTCATGCTGTGAAGCACAGGGACTCCCCGAGACCACTTCACCTGTCCAAATCTGCTGATGGATCTTGTGGAGTTGGAATTGATGGGAAGCAAAGTGTGCCTGTTGATGTAAAAGAGTCTCTCAGAGTTCTTGCTAAACTTAGAGAAGCACCATGGTATTATGGTGAAGCCAGAGAGATTCCAAGATCATCAAGTGAAGTAAAAGATGGACACTGGCATTTGATCTCAAGGGATGCTCCTCGGTTTTCTTATGATGGAAGAGAAATAAGTCGTCTATCTTTTGAATCAAGGGATACGATCAAAGGCCCACCAAAGCTAAAAGAGCTGCCTAGACTTTCACTGGACAGTAGGGAAGGCTCATGGTGCACTTACAGTGCTGATTCAAAACCCAATCTCCTATCAAGGAGCCTTGGAAGTGGCAACTCCACCTCGGATGATAAAATGGGTAGTTTACCACAGTCAACCCAGAGGCGACCTCCTAGTGTTGTAGCAAAATTGATGGGCTTAGAAGCATTGCCTGATTCCTATATGGCTGCTGATACTCCATTGAATTTGGGCGGAAATTTCTCAGCTCAACATGATACTCAGTTTCCAAAATCATCAAAAAATGGACTGATCAAGCCTCTGAAAGTTTTTAATTCCCCAAGAAGCTCATTGAAAGACCCAACCTCACCACGACGAAAGAACCCTGATTTAGTTATGAAACCTATTTCAAGTTCGAGATTTCCAATTGAACCGGCACCTTGGAAGCAGCAGGATGGAAATCAGAGCTCTCAGAAATCAAGTTTGAAGGCCATGAAAGCTCCAACAAGAACACCAGATTCATTTCCTTCAGTTTATAGTGAGATTGAGAAGAGATTGAAGGATCTTGAGTTCAAACAATCTGGAAGGGACCTCCGAGCACTCAAACAGATACTGGAAGCAATGCAAGCAAAGGGATTGTTAGAGACCAGAGAAGAAGAACAAGCTGTGGATGATGAAAGTCAAAGAGACAATGGAACAAATACTGTGAGTCTGAGTCAAAACTCTAGATCAGTAAGGCAACAAAGCCCACATAGCAATAATTTTCTGTCTTCCTCAAGGAGGGTAGCAGACTCAAGGGCTTGTGAGTCTCCAATTGTGGTCATGAAACCAGCAAGGCTTGTTGATAAAACTGGAATTTCTGCTTCCTCAGTAATTCCTGTTGGCGGACTTTCTAGTTTCCATAAACTTGACAGTGTTGCAAATGAAGATAAGAAAAGAATTTCAGCTTCCAGTCGAATATCAAAAGATCACTCTCCTAAAAACAACCGCAGGGATACTACTGCCAGTTCCAATGATAGGAAAAATGGTAGCGTCAACACTATAAAATCTGCACAATCTCAATCTAGGTCTCAACAAATTTCAAAAGAAAATAGCTTAAGCTCAATAAAGAATTCAGGATCTGTGAGTCCAAGAATGCAACAGAAGAAGCTAGAGTTTGAGAGGCGATCTTGTCCACAAACTCCACCATCAGATTCAAATAAAGCCAGAAGGAAATACAGTAAACAAGCCACAGATTCAGGTTCGCCAGGTGGAAAACTGAGACCAAAATCCCCTTGCTTACAGCAGAGTGATAACCCACTGAGTCTGATAAGAAATGAAACAAGAACATCAAGTTGCCAAAAGGATGAAATATTTGTGGAATCTGATAGTATCACTGTCTCAGACTCAAATATGGATATGGAAGTCAGCAGCAGTTTACAATCTCCTCAAACTAATGATAGCCGGTGCCCCTCCATGAAAACTGTGAAGCAGCCAATTTCTGGATCAACGCAGAAGGTAGATGCTCCTTGATCTTTCTTTTTATTCAAGCTTTATGATTGAATTTATGGTGACAAACACTAATTTGCTACTAAATCTTCCAATTATAAGAACATGTATATTTTTCATTTTTTTATTTTCAGAAATCAATTCCGAGGTTGCACGAGGATGAGTCAGTTGCTGATATTGCAATAAATTCCCAAGAACATCCTAGTCCTGTCTCAGTCCTCGATGGCTCTGTGTACAGAGATGATGAGCCTTCTCCTGTAAGGCAGATTGCTGATACTCCCAAAGGTAGAGTTTCTGTCTTCGACTCAAGTCTAAAGAGATGGGAAATCAAGAGTGAAACCATCCTATTACAATACCTGATAAAGTGCAGTGAAACTGTAGGAAAAATTCTTGTTCAATGAAAATCAGATTGTTATCAAGATGGATTAAAATTTTAAACATTAGGAATGCTTAATCTCTTTGTTATTAACTGTTGACTGAAGGAATGAATTGAGAATCTTCCTTCTGAGGGACTCAACAAGTTGAGACTATTAGTTACTTGTCCTTGTACCGGCACTTCGAGAACAAAATAATATGTGAATGTCATTTTGGTACATATAAATATGGTGTTACTGAAAAATGCTGTCTTCAAGTCACATACAAAGTGCATATATGTTCAAAATAAATAAAGAAGTACTTAAGATATTCTATGTGGGTACTCTTTTTGAACCAGTTGAGTCACAAGCAAAGTACATGTATGTGAAGAATTTGTTGATGGCAATGATGTTGACCTCTAGGAACTTTCTTTTGATGCATGCATGTAGAAGTAACTGAAGTTGTGACGGGCATGACACCAATGTGTTTTAGCTTCTGTCTGTTTTTTCCTACTTAGCCTGTGCCAAAAAAAATTATCTAAAGTAATGACGAAAGAAAGAAATTTGAATAATTGTCAGTTGACCCCAAGAAAAAAGAAGAATAATTGTCATCTATGATAGTCTAGAAATGTTATGATGATTTGTTCTGTCTACCCTGTTTCATTGTAATATTAAATGCTACAGCTGATGATGCCCAAGAGTGTGAAGGAAATGAGAATGAAGATTGGTGGAACCCTGCGGATAAATTAGTTTACAGTGCAGGATCTGGAGAGATCAATCGCAAGAAACTGCAGAGCATAGATCATCTTGTTCAGAAGCTTAGGCGGGTGAATTCCAGTCATGATGAATCTAGAAATGATTACATTGCTTCCCTCTGTGAAAATACAAATGCTGACCAAAGATACATATCTGAAATATTATTAGCTTCAGGCCTCCTACTGAGAGATCTGAGCTCTGAGCTGCTGACATTTCAACTTCATCCTTCAGGCCATCCCATTAACCCTGAGTTATTTTTCGTGTTAGAGCAAACCAAGGCAAGTAGTTTCATTCCGAAAGAAGAATGTGGTCCAGGAAAAGTTGCTTGTTCAAAGCTGAATGCAGAGAAATTTCACAGGAAACTCATATTTGATGCTGTGAATGAGATTCTTGGCGTGAAGTTAGCTTTAGTTAGCTCTTCTCCTGAACCTTGGGTGAAGCCTAGCAGGCTTACCAAGAAAAGCCTCGGTGCACAAAAGCTTCTTAAAGAACTGTGCTTTGAGATAGAAAAAATCCAATTCAAGAAGCCTGAAAGCAGTCAAGAACATGAAGACGGTCTCGGAAGGATACTCTCAGAAGATGTTATGCATGGCTCAGAGAGTTGGATAGATTTCCATGGTGAAATATCTGGGGTTGTGTTGGATGCTGAAAGATTGATATTTAAGGACTTAATTGATGAGATTGTGATTGGTGAAGCAGCTGGCCTGCGAATCAAGTCGGGTAGGCGCCGGAATCTGTTTGGTATGTAGTGCGTTCCGTTGATCTGCTCATCTCAGTTCGACTGTTTTCATGTCATTCACAATTTTCTTGGTTTTTTCCCCTCGTCAAGGTGTAAAAGTTTGCGGATTATAGCTGCGATTATTTCTCCTAAGGTGTAACAAAACTTGACTTACCATGATTTACAGGATAAATATAAATTTATCGAAATTCAAAATGTGAAAATCCTTTCTGATTTTTCTCTCCCTGTCACCAACCAACCTTTTTGAAGCCGTCGGTCAGGAACTCATGGTGATTTTGTTTTACCTGACATCCACTGATTTGTTGCCATGAAGTGCCACAGATGCTCCTCCATCTCAAAAGAAGCCAGAGAAAATAAGTAGCGAATGCTATAGAAATTATTTCATCTCAAGCAAGTAAATGAAGGTTCACAAACAAATTATATGTTTATTTCTGATCCGTTCACTCTGTTGTAAGGAAGTTGAAGCGGGGACAGAATGTTGATGAACACGTCGCGTCAAACATAATTTCAAATAAGGAGTGCTGGGGACATGAATTTCTATTTTATTATGTTGATTTGATTACTCAGATAATGCCTGTCCAAGTATCATCTTTGATAAGTTTGTTCAAATCTGAGTCTGGCGTGACATCTAATTAACTTCGGATTCGAATGATGATGGATAATTCATCCGAACATGACACTAGCATCATGCACCCTACAACTGCACCCTTGCAAGTGAAGAGCCAAAATAACAAACAAAAGCAAGAAGTATCACTTTTATCTTTAATATGAGATTTATTTAATTAATTTGAATAGATTGAAAAAATTAGTTAACTTAGTTATTTGATAAAAAATATGTTGTTTTTTCTATGTTGAAACTATGATTCAAACATCTCTTGATATTTGTAATCAATAGAGATGACTTGCAGAAAAAGAGAGTACTTAGTATGGAGAATAAAATAGATTAAAATCTTATACTACCTCCGGTCCTAATTATAAGATCCAGTTGACTAATTTGAGGATATTAAGGAAGTAAGTTAAGTTAGTTATTTGTAACAAATAAGTGTTGCCATTCCTAAAATATCCTTGCTAATTAAGTGTGTTGGTTAAAACTATAATTATTAGAAGGACTATCTTGGGAAAAAATGAATAAATATGAGAGACAAAATGGATTGGGGTCTTATAATTAGGACCAAACTAAAAGTCAAACGGGGTCTTATATTAAGGACCGGAGGTAGTATTTGAGATTAAATTTAACACCAATTAACTCTTACATTAAGAAAATTAATAGAATTCAATTCAAATAAGAAAAACAAGACATCTTCGGTTTTTAATTTCGTATAGGTTGGAAATTTAAGAAAGGGAAACAATAAAAAATCACCACTTCTGGTTCTAAATACTAAAGTTAGATAAATAATTTGTATAAAGTAAGAAAATTAATTAGATTAGTTATTTATTAAAAATATGCTACCCAGTGACCAAAATTTAATATATAAAAGTAATAGGAAGAGTTCAGGAAAATAATTATAAATGTAGGAGACAAAGTTAATTAGAATATTATACTAATTTAGAACCACAACTACTTCCTCTGGTCCATAATATAAGTCATTTTAAATAATTTATCAGAATAAAAAAAATGATAGTTAAATTTGTCTCAAATTTTTAACTTTACCATGTTAAATGAGACTCTGAAGAAATGAGAAAAACAGAGTTATATTTAAGCATTAATTATAGAGACAAAATTGATAAATAAGTATTAATTGTTTTATGAGTAACTTAGGCGTTTCTTATTTTGAAAACATTTTTTTTTTGAAACAAAAAAAAAACTTGTTTAGCTATTTGTTTTTAATCAAGTGTTTTTAAAGACAAAAAAAAAACAGAAATCTGTTTTTAAAAACTAAAAAATAAAAACAATTTATTATTATTTTTTGTTTTTGTTTTTTTTTTTATATTTTTTATTGAAAAAATTGGGAATCTTTTCTTCTCTAATTAATAATTTGAGGATTTAAGTTATCATCGAAGCTTTTCTCTCCGATCTTAGTATGTTTATTCTCAAATTTAATTTTTTAAAAAAATTATCCATACAGTTTTTTTTCCAAAAATTGTTTAAAAAAATTTATAAAATTGTTCTGAGAACAAAATACAAAAAACAGAAACGAATATAAGTCTTTATGTTTTGGATCAAATTATTCTTTTAGAAGGGACTTGTACTGTAAACTAGAGGAAGTACTTCTTCTACTAATTTTTATATTTAGATGGGAGGAAATACCATTTTACTGAAACTGAAAGAATATGTTTAACGCCGTTCAATGATATTCCTTTAAAAAAAAAATTATTTACTTAAAAGTAATATTATCAAACAATCACAAAATTTACATCAACTGCGAAAGCTACCAACGTGGCCAAAACTAAACTAAACGTGGCCGCCGAACCACTCCAAGCAAAGTGACTTGGTTTGAAATGACTTGGTTTGAAGGATCAATTACGCTCAATATTTTTCAATAAAGGACCACAAAAAATACTGATTAGATTAAAGGACGAAATCACAAGTAATTGGCCATGATTAAATTACTCTCATGCCTTGAAAAAAGTAATTAATTGCTCTCCGGGTCCTTTTCTTTTCTTTTTTTTCCCAATTAATTGAGGGAGGGAGAGTAATTGGATGAATTTGGAATTATTGATGAATACGGCTGGCCTCTAATGACTCTCTCAGTCCCTTGAATTTTATTCATGAATGTCTCCTGTTTACGAGGCATATAATTGAGGCAACATGCCTGCCTCCTTATTATATGATAATAATCAAAGTTAAATCTATCTACATTTCTTAAAGGATAAAATAAAATAAAAGTGACATAATAAAAATAATTTTAAGATATAAAATATTAATAACCAGAATAATAAATGAAGGGTTAATACTATCTTTAGGTCCTAGAATTTGATTTTATTTTGATTTTAATTCCTGAATCGAAACCAGTGATTTTAGTCTCCGAAACCTTGTTTCAAAGATAAAAAACATTGTTTAAAGACAAAAAAATTTTGGGCGGATCAAGGCGATGTCAAAATTTAAGGATTAAAGATGTTATTAATATTTAAATAAATAATAAACTACTTGAGACAAGTGTAAGTGTGTGTGTGTGTGAGCGTCAGAATTACAAAACAACGCATTCAAGTCGAGAGAACACAATCCAAAAGCCTGCTCACATATCTATATATTCAAATTTACTGCGCTTAATACCCATCTCGTTCATTCTAATGAGAATTATTTTATTGTGCTTCATGAAATTAAAATATTAATGATCAAGTGTAAAATCTATAAAATGATTCAATATACGTATAAGCTGCGGCGTGCGAAATATCTTATAATGTGATGGTTTTGTTTATGTATTTTATTATTAATCATCAAGTATAAAATCTATAAAATGATCGAGCAGCACTGATTAATTGGATCTTAATTAAGAAGAGTTGTTTTCACTGCACTCATAAAATAGATTCCATGTAAATACAATTTCATCATGAAGATAGATAAAAAAAGAAAGGAAAATAAAAGCGGGGTCAAGTAGGTATGATTCATCCACCTTTCCAAACTAATGACCAATTTATAATTGAAGTCCCTACAGAGAAGCTTTAAAGTTATGTTTATTAGAAGCAACATGGTCTTCCCTTAATTGAAAGGAGGTGCCAAAATTAGTCTCTGCATAATTTCAATTAACGTCAACCATTTGGTTTTTTCCCCCCCAAAAGTACACCTCTCATATCCTTTATCTAAGAGATATTATCTCGAATCTTTGATATAAGAGCTAGTTGGGATTGGATTTAATTCTAAATATAAGACAACAGTCCACTTTGTTTTTCACTTTTTCCTAAAATATTTCTGTTGATTGTAAGATGTTTCTACCAAGGCCAAGGTGCAAAACATGTGATTTAAAGAGATTAATATAGGGAGGCTAACATATATTTGTGATAAATAACTAATTTAGCTGATTTTCTTAATTTTCTCACCAGTTCTTATATTAAGGACTGAATACAGTATTTAACTAATTTAGATAAATTAAGAAAATTAAATAAACTATTTAATTTTAACAAATATAACATGATCTCCCTAACATATTCTTATGCAACGTTGAATTATATGTCAATTCATAAGCTAAATAAATTAATTTAGAAGAAATAATGATAAACAATAGAGATAAAATGAATTAATAAGTTATTAGATTGAAGACCAAAACCAATATTTGATGACTAGCTATGATTATCTTGTATATAAAAAGATGATGAAGTGGTGCTCTCAATTTCTCTTGTTTCCATCTTCAAAAGAGAAAGAAAGAAAAAGGAGAAAGAAAGAAAGAAATTAAAAGAAGGAACAAGGGGTGAAATGTGGTCCTTCTAAAGGAAGCACGAGTGAGAGTGAAAGGTGTGTGTGAGTTATAGATACATAGTCACACACACATATATATAGAGAGAGAGAGGACCACAGGTCCCATAAATTGGTGATCGGAGGGCCAACAAGTACTCCTCTGCACGCCTACAAAGCGCATGCAACATATATCTACCTACTAAAGTTGATGATTTAATGTCTTCCTTTTTTTTGGTGTGTGTTTCCTTGTATTATCACTGATCAGGATGATATTCTGCCCAAAAAAGAGGAAGAAGAAGAAAATCTTTTGTTAATTTTACAATTTATTACTATTTACACTTTAATTTTATGCTTCTTTTGGTACGTGATAAATAATCCAAATTAAAGGTGCCGGAATTACATTATTAAAAGTTTGGAGTTGTTAATGGATGTTTGATATATTTCCACGACATTGTGATCATACGGAGATTTGTGGTCCGATTATGTTATGAATATTATATATATACATATGCCTCATTTATTTGTATATGGACCATATGGGATGTGTCCTCTCTGTTCACAAGTTTGCATATATCAGACAATACTATACTATTATATATATTTGTAAAAAGCAAGAAGTATATCAAGATTTCAAAGTATATATGCTCCTCTGATTCTAAATGTAAGGTTTATTTTATCGTGCAAATTGCACCATAAAATAAATCTTATATTAAAAATCAAAATGTGTAATTGTATTCATTCTGTTGGTCGTGGTTTAAGAATAAAACCTGATTAGTGACGACATAGTCAGAAGCCTTCTTACAAGTAATATTATCAAGCAGTTGATATAAAAATTGCTTTAATTTGTCTCTAAAGATGCGAAAACCCATTTCCCATGAAGATTATTTGGTTGTACGTGAAGCATCTCCTATAATGTTTTCTTAGGTGTGACATTACGAGTTTGAACTCCTTATATATGGGAGTATAATGACTACGTAAGTTATAATGATTAAAAAAAAAATAAAGGCTATTGGTTGCAGGTGGGGCGTACTTATACAAATAATTAACACTAATACATCATCTATAAAAATAAAAAAAATAATTAAATTTAGTTGTCACTAGAAACCAAATAAAATTAAAGAAACTACTTAAAATAAAATAAGAAACCTATCTTTTGACCAAAAAGAACTAGAGAGGTCATATTACCAGTTCATGCTTAATTCCACTGATCTTTCACTGATATCAACGTATATACTGAACTTCTATATAATTGAGTGCTACTTAATGTAAATATCACAGAAATATGTAAGTAATCACAAATGCTTTCAAAAAATAAAACCCGATTTTAATGTCATTGCAAAAAGGGACAGTAATAAAGGCGAAAGATGAAATTATAATTTTGAGTCAGAGAGTGTAATAATATGTTAGTTTTAAAAGCACAAGAGGCAATTCATTCCTAGCTATCCTCAGAATGATTTTCAGTTTTTAACCTTTGATTAATTAGAAGTCATTTTTCCCTAAAAAGTGTGTGTAATATAAAACTAATTATAAATATTGTGATAGAGGCCAAACTTTGTGCAAAACACAATCTATATTATAATTATATACTACCTCCGGTCCTAATTATAAGACCTAATTAACTAATTTGAGGAGATTAAGGAACTTAATTAAGTTAGTTATTTGTAATGAATATGTGTTGCTTTTCCTAAAATATCCTTGCTAATTAAATTTTTTATCTAGACCTACCACTGTTAAAAGAATTACTTTGGGAAAAAATGCATAAACATGAGAGAGAAAATGAATTGGAGTTTTATATTTAGAACCAAAATAAAAGTCAAACAAGGTCTTATATTAAGGACATGAGGTAGTATTAAATGTATAAATCTGACCAAAATGAAAGACAGATAATAATTGTACTGAATGTTTAAAAAGGGAAAATTAATGTACTACTCTACAATTTCAGCAATTAAATGATTGTAGGCCTCGTTTTTTAATTTCCTGTGCGCGTTCTCTCTCATAACTATAGCAGTGAGCAAGATTGCGTGTATATATAATCAAGGTAATTAATTAAGTAAACTTCAATTCCACTATGAACTAATGATTTAGTATGAGTTGTTTAGATCTAATAATAATAATATTTGTTTGATATAGAGTTATATATATATATATATAAATATATAGTCGCGTAGATTAAACGAAGGACCACAGAACTTCTTGGTCGTTTTCTTGGATGCAACTTTAAAGGACTGTTTTGAAAAACACCCAACTAGCAGAAGCAGAAACAGCAAAAACTGAGTCTCTTCCACCTGCTTTAATTAAATGGTGTTGGATCTTGTGCTATCTAGCTATTTATTTATATTATTATGTATATAACGGTAGCCACACACACACACAACACAGAGCTTTCGATTTCAGCCTCTGTGCCTGTGATTCTATTATGTTCCTTCCTTTTCCTTCGTCAGAACAACTGTATGTACGTACCTGGATTCTCTCACATTTTCTCCCTTTCATTTTTCTTTGAATCCTATGCCTACACAACATCGACATACCTACGGCATTTATCATTTCTGCACAGTCCTATATATTGGCATCTCATGTATGATAATCTTGTAAGTTTTGATTCTCTTGATGTTGAGATGAGGATATCGAATTTAAGTTTTAATCTTTTGTTCTCTCTGAAATTTTAAAAAAAAAAAAAAAAAACACACACACACACACATGTATAACTGGTCTAAATCTGATCATTATCATTTCTGCAGAGTCCTATATATTGCCGCCTCATGCGTATGATAATCTTTTGTTCTCTCATCTATATTGATTGTCTCCTCCCCCTCTCTATTCACATAGGATATATACATAAATATATAAAAAGAATTCAAAACGAATTATTGACCATGAAACTTTGGAGCGTAACCCCATAGTGACAGCTTTTTCTTTTTGCAAGTCTTGAAGAGCTCACAATGTCATTAGGTTATAATTGAAAAGTTTCAATTCTTTTTTGCTTTTTTCTTTTTCCCGCTAAGATGATGATGATCATATACATGTGTGTGTGTGTGTCTGTAAGGCATCTCTTGATGACTTGCTGTCTTTCTGAAAATAGTCGACTCTACTAACAGTTATAGCTTTCTGTACAGTCGCCTCTTTAGGTCGGCTTGCTTCGTTCTAGCTGCATGCATGCACCAACGAGCACCCACATATTTGTTTGTAACAAGCACTGTTAAAGCTAAGCTTGTTCAACACATTTATATCCCTACTTGCTTTAATTTGAATTTGAACTTTACAATTATGTCATATGGGTTACCTTTCCGTTTGAGGGTATATTTGATATATATATATATATGTATGTATATGTGCTTGCGTATATCAACTTGTATTATTTATTTATTTAAAGTCATTCAATTATTTCGAGAAAATGCAAGATACCAAATAAGGCAGTACTATATATCTAAATGCCATTACATGCGATTATTGCTGTGTGACCTACAGGATCTGGTGATGACGCAATTAGCGGGTGTGGTGGGAGGGATTTAATTAGATTAATTTAATTCGTTTGACTTTAGGTATCATTATACATAATAGGGTTGTTTTAATTGCATCAGAACTTAGAATCAGCTGATGTATTATTGTATTGACACTCAAATGCTTTTATTGTACACTTTGAAAAATATATAAAGGGGCGCTGATCACTACAAACAAAAAGAATGACAGGAACCCTAAAACAGCAGATTTATGACAAAAACTGCAAACCCATCATTCCATATGTTATAAGACAAAAACGTGAGCGGGTCATTCGCCAGAGTATGTCTCCTAAAATTATCCCAAAAAAATAGAGAGAGAGAGAGAGAGAGAGATTCCAAAAACTTCGGCCTCAGAAACAATCGTCTGACTCGGTCAATTGGTGTGTGGCGAGATATATCTCTCTCACTATATCTTTCAGTAAGCCTAAGCCAAACCCACTCACACAGACACACACACAGTACACAATTAACTGTGTATATGCTTCATGAAGATCAGAATCCATCTAAATGTACAAATAAACTAGCACCTGCTTAGTTATCAATGACCCTTTCCTTTTCGCATCATAGAAAAGGAATATTAACGTGTGTGTGTGTGTGTTAAGCAGATGCCCGGTCAAAACCAGCAAAATTCGTCATAAACAAGCTAGTACACTATATGCATCGATCTGCCATGGACTTTTCTCATGATTTATGTCCTTATTGTTTTTCTAAATCTGTACTTCAAAACATACTACTCTCAGAAAGACAGGTACGGACGTTAGATTTGAATCATTTTTAAAACATAGCATCACATCATTAATTAAGTTTTCCTTTTTGTTTATCAGAAGATCTTCATTTATTGAACAATGCAATAACAAATGACTAATTAACTAGATTGAAAACTAGCTATATATTTTGAGTTTGATAAATAATGATAATGAAATATCAAACTGGTACGCATCATAAGGATTCAATTACTGTCATACTTACAGACATGAACGAATTCATGACTTTGTTTAGCTTCTGAGAATGCTCATAAGTACATCAAAGGCATAATGCAGCTGCAGGCCGCCGTGTGCTTTAGCTTCTTGATCAGCAATTAACTGCCATGAGCAATATCTTATGAAGGCAAGCTAGCTAGCACACACCCATTGCCCTTCAAGACGGAGTAGTATCCTTATCATTTGAATCAAGGAGCCTGGAAGTAAAAGGCGGTGCTGGAATAAGGGGCTTCAGAGATGGAAGAACGAGAGGATGAGGATGAGAATTGGATGAGCTCATCAATTGAATATGGTTCAATTGTTGCATTCTTGGGTCTGTTTCCAGTGACATTGAGTATGGAGCATAATAAGGAGCAAAAAGTGACGGTGTTGTTGCAGATGTGCTTGGGCAGAACAACAGTTGGGAAACAGCTGATGAGGAAGATGGAAACTGCACACTAGTATGGCCAGGGTCTACCTGGTGATTATTATTAGTAGTATTATTTGGGAACGCACCATGGCTTCCAAATAAAGATAGAAAATTTGAAGGTTCAGAATGGAAGGGATTATTATAATACGTCATAGGTAAACAAGGGTGAGAAGAAGCATTCCCAGACGGGAAAAGATTCTGAGCAGAACCACCAATTCCGTCTTGTTCATTGTTTGTTTTCATCACCCACTTCCCTTTATCCCATACACACCCTTCTCTTTCATCTAACTCTTTTCCTTTTAGCCTCGACACTGCATCCATCAAACTGGTGCTATTATTAGCATCAAAGAAAGCTCCAAACTGAGAAGGTGGCTGATGAGAGGAAGAGCTTGATTCATGATCAGGAAGTAGGGTTTGGTCGTGTTGGAGATGAAATTGGGGAAAACCAAAAGGGATTGGAAGAGGTGGGAGCTTATCAATGTCTTGTTTTGTGGCTTCAATGAGCCAATCAATTACCTTGCTGGGCTGGTTCAGTCCAAGCCTATCTTGAAGCTCATATAGCTGAATCGCTGTGGGCACGGACAGCCTGATCCTTCTGTCTCTAAGCCCTCTAATGGTGCAGACCTTGCTGTGCCTATCTTTGCCTCCAAAAGACCGTGAGACTCGCACGATTCTTGGGTTTCTCAGACCCGACCATTGTCTTGAAGAGGAGGAAGAGCCTACCTTGTTGTATAACCTATCACTACCGTTACCAATGATGTGTTGTTGGTGATGACGAGCAGTACTACTATCATCATCCTCTTGCTTCCCTTGATAACCTTTTCTTGAATTTCCAATTATCATCTTAAATAATTGTTACAATACTCTTCTCATGGATCACCTGCCGTCTGCAAGAAATCAACTACAGAAGTAATTCATCCATCAATTAATTCACGTATCATCATCTTCTCTTATATATCTTCTTCATTTTCAGTTACTTGAAAAGATTATGCACTGAATCAGCTGGAAGAAATGCTAATAAAGTACGCATAGCTTTGGGTCATAAAATTAAGAATTCTCTCCCAGGAATAGAAATTATATATATACCGATGTGAAATCAGTTTTTCAATTCCATGTGAGAACTCTTCAACTTTATGTCACTTCAGAATAGGCTAGGGCAAAGTACAATTAATTGTTGAAACCAAAACCTACACCTTAATCAGACGGAAATTTTACTGGTTTTGCCGGAAACAGATTAGAAATCAGGTCATGAGAGACTATAACAAAAACTTACGTGAGAGAGAGAAAATTCTGAGGATGCTGTGTCGCTAAGCTTCCACCGTGTAGACAAGGAAATAAAGAGGAGGAGGAGGAAGGAAGGAAGGAAGAAGGAAAGAAGTAGAAGGAGAAGGAGAAGGAGGAGATGGAAGCAGCAAGATCGTCTTTTCCTAGAGGATCTCTTCAATGCCAACAAGGAGAGCAGATGAGACCTCAAGTTTAGTCTCAAACCTTTCTTTTAGAGAGAAGAAAATGTAGAAATGAAAACTTTGGTAAAGAAATGTTAGAATTTTAACATCACCACAACGTGAAAGGAATGGAGTTCTTTCCACGTGGCACCATGTGAATGTGACACGTATGTCATCCACGCTGCCACTAGTAATCCTGGTTAAACATGCCACTTTACTAGCTGGTACAATCACTGGATGGCTTCATATATGATTAACCATTACATAAACAATTATATTCAAACTGTTTAGTTAGAATATGATAGGCTTCCCTATATATATTGATTGTTAAAGAAGAAAACAGTGAGGGAAATTAACGTGAGGGGAAAACAATGGTTCACTCTCAAAAATGCAGATTTACTGAGCAAATATATAATGATGAGAGGAGAAGTATCTATAAGCTGACAAAACCTAATTAATTAGTGATGAGTATTTAATGTGCTTAATCATGATTTTGTTTGAAAGACCTGATTAAGTTGGTTGTATAGCAGAATTATTCACGCATAAATAGATCGACGACGCTATAAAATATCAGTAAAGCAACTCACAGAGGCCTTGTGATGGTACACAATTAATTAATTGAAAGCAGCTAGAGAAAGCAGATTAAACAGTAATTATAGGGATATATTGTGGAGAAATGAAGAAGATAAATGTTAATAACAGATGTTCCAAAAGGTGTGGTGTATGGAATTGGAGTCAGAGGATCCGTTGGATTAGAGGATATAGAAGACGATAGATGGCTCATGGGTAGCTGCACTATATAGAGGAGGGACCAACTTAGGTTCTTTAAAGCATCGATCCACTACTCAACTTATAGAGGGAAAAAAGGACCACATGCAGATATGGCAGTGAGATTTGCACGGCACAACTTGGACTCTCTAATATATATCTTTCATTCTACACCAGTTAATTATGTTGGTTTAATTATTCCTCTAATTTCTCTCCAAGTGGTTTATTCATCTCATCTTGACACTCACACTTTGATGACACCTTTTAGGTTCTTAAAATTACATATATCAGATACCCCAGATATTTCGATATGTATATAGAGATATGTATCTTCTTTATAACTTTCCTTTTGTCAAGGAATTAATAAGCTAACTTATGCACAATTTGCAATGTGTTTTTATTCTTAATATGGTAGTGGAAACAGTTAACTTTATGTAAAGATCTGCTATATATGGGTGTGATTTAATTCTTTATTACGTACGTGACAGTAAAATATGACCATCATCATGTGATTTTTACATACTTCTGAAACCAATACATATTATATAAAACACTTTTATTGAAAAGTAAATAGAAAAAATTGGACATGCTCTTTGAAAGAATATACTCATTCAATCTTAAATATAAGATTCATTTTATAGTACAAATTGCACTACAAATAGGTCTTATATGAACTACCAGAGAAGGAATATATTAAGTAAAATTTAATTAAATTCTAAAAGAGAGTTAGTACACTTTACATTTTTCCAATGACAATTATATCACAAATGTGTGTGTGTGTGTGTGTGAATCTAGAAGTTGCTTTCAACTCTCGTAGCTTTTGCTGACCTTACAGCACTGCAGCCAATTATAAGCCTCCATGTATATAACACGGTTTTCTTGGCATACATATAATTAAATAAATATACCGATTTATTGTTATATGTGTGTACCATGTCATATCTAAGATTCATATGATAATTATAAGTTTGTTTCATACCATCCTGAGAAGTAATACACATGTATTTAGGTTTCAGAAGAGCAAAAAGCTGAAGAGCAAATGTCAAGTGAGTTAGTGAAGAAAGAACCCAGCCCGCAGGCTCTTCTTCAGTCTTGCTGCTACTGTAGCTAGAAAAGCAAAAAACTGACGGTGATAAAACTTGGTGCTTCTTGAAAGCTAAGCTGAATTAATATATACATACATGAAAACTAATAGTTAGCTTTTGAGGAGGCAGAAACCCGAGAATGGTATACTTTGAGTTTGAGTACGCTGGACCTAAAGGAGAGAGAATAACAAGCATCTATGATGAATAAGAGAGGGCACAGCTTTTTCCCTTCAAGATTGAAGACTATTCACTCAACAATTTCTAGAAATAGGGAATCTTCACCAAAATAATTGAGAGAGACTTCATGACACCGCAACAACACTTACTGCATGCACCTGCACTTGTTCACTATACTGGTCAAAAGCTGAGCCCTACTTTATGGACAGTTTCTTCGAAACCCTAATTGGATATTCATTATTCAACCCCATCAACGCAATAATTCGCTGTCTCTCATGCTTCATTTCCCCGCCAATGCCTCTTTTGCATCATCATATACTTGACCATTTTATCTACAGTAACCCTAAATATTTAGTCAGTAACTTTGGAACGTTGAATGGTCAGTTAAAAAAAAAAAAAATCCTTTCACTGCCTCTCAGATATAGAGAGAGTTTATGCACTTTGCTACAAGTTGACATTGCCAAGTCATTAATGTTTCGTGCATCTGCTTTTGAAAAGAACGTGCTGGTTGTGGATTGGCCAAGGATGTTTTTGTTTTATTACATGTCTGGGCGTTACTGTCTTTCAATATCAAGTTAGTTATTGCAGAGAAAATTGGTGGGCTCAACGAGAAGAGCTGAAGAGGTTTCGTAAAACATGATTATTGATCCCACATCGCCTATATACAACTCTACCTGAACCACATTGTTTTTCTTCATCACAGATTGATCAGCCAACACAAACCATTATATTATGAATGAGATGAGATCCGTTGATAAACATTTACAAACACTCAATCATATGCGCTTATAAGATCCTAAGACCAAATAGTGAAGCGCCAATAATAATTACCTTTCCCCTTGGTTGTATATATAGTGCTACCTCCAGTCTTTAATATAAGAATTAGTTGACTAATTTGAATAGATTAAGAAAATTAGTTAAGTTAGTTATTTGTAATAAATACGTATTATCTTCTCTAAAATACCCTTACTAATCATGTGTATTAGCTAGAACTACCATTTGATGAAACATATAATATGTACAATTACTATAAGGACTATCTTAAAAAAATAGATAAATATGAGAGACAAGGTAGATTGGAGTCTTATATTTAAGATTAAATTGAATGTCAAACTAACTCTTATATTAAAGATAGGAGATAGGACACAATAAAATAGATAAATATGAGAGATAGGGTGGATTGGGGTCTTATATTTAGAATTAAATTAAATATCAAACTAGTTCTTATATTAAAGACAGGAGATAAGACACAATAACCTAATGTAAAATTCAGTGGGATGCAGAGATATTATAGCAATGGTGGTTTGAAGGGCTGCATGCAGCAGAACATTTAAGAGGAACAGGGGGGGAAAAGCGGGTAAGAAAACATAAATTTTGGTTTATATGGAGAGATCAGAGAGCAGATGAAAACGGCATGTCATAAGAAATAAGTGCGAAAAACGGGTCGTGAATGCCTGGGGACTCCAGTGAATACAATAAGCGTCATCTGTGAAAGAGTGCAGCTATTTATAAACATGACGGCCCCAGTTCATTTAATGGCTTTTGTGTGCATTTGCTCAGATAGAGATCCATCAATCGCTTTATTGCTAAAACCCACCACACATAGCCAAATTCCCATTGCCGCTTGGCTTTTTTTTAACTACCTATGTGCCTTCGCACGTCTCACAACTTTTATTCATTTAATTCCTTAGTATTTCTTTTTTGGCATTGCGGGTTTCTCAGATTTTTTTTTTAATTATTTTACATATTTCCAGTTTTCTTTGACCCATTCAGATTTGATAAAATATTGTCTTTGGGGTCATTTTATAATTTTTATAAAAAGATGAATCAACCTGCCTAAAAAGACAGTTCATCTCAGGCAGTGAGGTCAGTTAGCTTGAAAAAAAAAAAGAAAAAGCGGTATAGCATGGTGTAAATACAAGAAATACATAACATATTAACAAATAATAGGGTTACAAGTAAGAAACTAAAAAGTAGTGAATATTTATAAAAGTAAAAGGAGGATACAATGATAAAAGAATGATGAAGCAGGGTAGAGACTGATATTTTATGGGAAGTGTGTAAATGTGGTGCCCCCATATGGCGAGGCAGTTACTGCTCTGTGCCGCAAGCCCACCAACAGCGACCTGTCGACATAAACACAATACATGCCAAAACCCTTTCTCTTTCTTCTTATGGGTCTGTTCCCTTCATGTATAATCTTTGATTTAACTCCCAAAGAAAGAATTAAGGAACAATACACATGTGGAGATCAGATATGATTGTACAGAAAGAGAAGAGCAAAGCGATAAGTAGGTAAAGAAATGATGCAAGTAAAAAGGAGAAGGAGGGGTCCAGGAAAAGAAGGATGGAGGCATGCAGAGCATTTGGAAAAAGAAGAAGCAAAGATGAAGGAAGCTTCTTTCTTCACCCAACTTTCTTACTTCACTCCTAATTCCACTAACCCTACTCCTATCCTTCATCAACTCCAACATTATAATCATATCGATCCTCTTCCCACTCCTACCTGCTTCCTACGTCAATATTCATCATTTCCCTTCTATATCTTCGCACGCCCACTACAAACACCTATTTCTCATGTTCTTGCTGTTTCATAATCAAGTCCTTATTTACTATGATTTCTTGTACTTTATTACGATTTCATTCATATACATCATTATATGCCGCCTCATCACTTAAAGTACGAAATATACGTTATTCAAACCGGTTCTCTCGAGCCATTTAGCGTAACACTGCATCGTATGCCATCTGCACGAGAACTAGTTTGACGCGATTATCCATGCTTTTACCTCTTCTTTATGAGCACAGGTTACCCTCAAAATAACGAGAGCTTGGTCAGCCAGGCAAGTTGCATAAGTTTTGTTCTTCCAGTTCAGCACTAAAGCGTTAACCACAAGTGATTGACTCCGACTTCTATTCCATTCTCGTGGCTCGTTACAAACAAGTTGAACAGAGTCGAAGAAAGGGAGAAGAGACAGAACTAGCATCAACGGGTATCTAATATTAGACTGACATAAACGCTCTGCCACTCTTGAGCTGTCCTTTGACCATGCATATCTTTGTTGTTCTCACTGGTGTTTACATCCTCTGCTTTCCGCGGACTGTGAACCCACTTTCTACGCAAGTTACTTTTTTTTTTTTTTTGGTTGCCAAAACAAAGGTAAACAAGGCGGGATAATAAAAAATATAACGGAGAGAGACCAGAAGCCAGAGCCCCGAAATGGTTTTTAGTTCATCCTAGCTACTACTTTATAAGGGAAAAGGTTGTGTATAGATTCCATAGTCGTGGTCTGCAAGGCTACATGCCACGAAACAGTTTGCTCCAAATCTCTCGGCCTTGCTACCTAATGCCCACAGAGAATGTCGAGAAATTGTACACGACACAGACATTAGCGAAATGGAAAGCAAGATTCAACAGGGAATTCACAATTCCGCATATCTACGCAGAAAAATTGCTTCCACAACACCAAATAAATAGCTTGCTAGAATTGGTAGAGAACTATGAGTATAGATCCATCCGCATTGCTTCTCCTTGCATCACATTTTACTAATACTAGCCTGAACATAACTCCGAACATTGAATCACGAGTTTCATATCTCCTCCACTGGAAGAAAACCGGCACTATATGGACTTCCGGATACGCTAGACAAGAAACACAACCAATAATAGAGCAGCATACAGCATGTGACAAGTAGCTCACCACTTGAGACGATCTGAGAGACACTAATCAGTAATCAAAATGAGAAAAATTAGACTCGGTTTCGGGAAAATAAAATGCTGGGTATCACTATGTATGCTAGACGCATTGTTGCAATCACACTGCAAAGAATAACCGGTAAGAACACAAAAACTTCAGGCATCATTCACTTTATGCATTATCAATTCACCGAAGTAGTTGGCTTTTAATCAACACTCAGAAAGAAGTACAAGAAGTCAAACTTCACTGCAGCCAGCTGTGCTTTATTGACATATGGTGGTTACAATTTTAAAGCTAGAAATCCTTCACAAACATCACTAATCAGCCTTTTCACCGACTAAAAGAGAAAGGTGATTGAACTGCGTCCGCCATTCCAAGATTGCACACACCTGGTGGCATGCAAAGCACAATTAGCTATTGACAGTCACTCCAACCCAAAATAGTGTGTGTGTGTGTGTTGTCTATCATAATTCACAAACAATTACATCCACACTACAACAGTTAAGAACAGAAATAGTATCAAACAACGGCATGAAAAATGGAACATCATAAAAATATAAACAAAAGAGGAAAATAAGCTAATCAAAGGCAGTGAATTGTCCAGCAAGTTCACAGTCCCTTCTGCTCCAGATGGTTCCAACTAAATTTAGCGTGCAAGTAGTCTGATGATAGTAACCACTTCCAGAGATCAGGATGCCCAATTGACACTGATTGGAAAACTGGCATTCAAGCACATGTGAAATCCAAACATAGCCTCCATTCTATAGCTTGAAAGGCACAGAGGGTAACAAAACGTATGGTAGAATCAAAAGCGCATAATGTCCTTTGCAATTTTCAGTTGACAAGGTAATCACATAGGAGGATAACACCAATCACTGAATGAATGAAGCTTTGAACGGAATCAACACTTAAATCACGCAATATGAGCCAAAGAAAACAGGAATAGAACAATCCAGCAATTTATTAGATTCAATCTCTTTCAATTTCACGTAGGTCCTTTTTTGTGGCTTGCAATGTAAGGATTATTCATGGATTGAATATGGAGATAGAAAATTTTTTTGGCCTTTTTCCATTTTTTTTCCCCACTAATCCCCTCAGAAACCCAAAAAAGCAGAACTCTGTGATAAAATTTTCTTTACAAACTCTTAATTCCATAAAAAGATCCAATCTGCATGAATAATAAGTGATGCTTTACACTGCCATTCCATTGTCAAAATTTTTTAAACCAAGAAACATCTCAATTCTCATTCCCACCTCTTCTTCGAATTCTGTCTAGTGGAGAAACTTGAGTTGCTTCTTTCTACTTTTCAGAATCCAGACCCTAATATGAGCCTGTGAAGTGTAATGAGCATCATGATTGCAGCGTTGCTTTGCTACTGCTGTGGTAAATATACAGAATCAGAAAAAAGTGGCTTAGAACACTTGTGATTGTGAGACTAATGGTTAAGTAATCCTGAATTGGGTAAAATCGATCATATTGACTATTTTGCTTATGCTATGGATTATATTTATATGATATATCTCAAGCTATTTATAAAGTTGTTTCAGAATCTCACCGTTTCATACAATTTGTAATTCATAATTAGAAAATTAGCCTCCAAGTTGTTATTTTTCATTCATTAATGAATCCATGATTCAATATGTTTTCAGAAATATGCTTTCCAATTCACGATACACATCATAATTTGACAACTATAACGTCAAAGCATTAAGATTTCTACACACCAAAACCACGAAATGCAAACTTTGTAATTCTGTGTCTGTGGATTAAGTTTGATAAGTAAATCAGACAACTGTCAAAAGGATTTTAAAGCTGTCCAGTCTAGTAGACTATACTCTTCACCAAGTATCTCTACCGCAATGAAAGAAATGACCATAAGGGTAAAACAGGGCACTGATCATAAATAGCTGGCACTAATCCTGCCTCAAATCCAAACTACAAAGATCAAAACCAACCCCAAACCAACCCCAAATCCGAACCAAATATTGGCTTACCCAACCTGCGCAAAACATGACAGGTTGAGCACCCATAGATTGTAAAGATAGCACTAAATGGATTTCTTGGGGTAAAATGATTAGACGGGGGAAAAACAAGAATCAAGTCAAAACACAAAACGACTTCAATAAACTCTTCAGTCCCATTAAATTCCAGCATTTAAAGTTCTTTTCACTATCCAGTAAATGGCTCAAACGCTTCACTGATGCCCTATCACTGTAATATACATGTCCTCATCACAGCCAAAATTGTTTTCAGAAGAAGACATTCAATGAACCATCACCACACATCAGATGTCAAGGAAGTAAAACCAAATGCAAAATCAGCCTACTGTCAACAGAGCAGAATAGTATGCTAAATGTCTGGGTACAAATTATGTCTACAACAAAGTCTACGTCTAAACGAAACAAAATGAGTATTGAAGCTAAGTTTGAAGATCTTGAAAAATCTAGAGATTCGAGAGAACACCAACAAAACAGAAGGGTAAACTCATATCTAAGTCTTCAAAAAATTTATCTTTTCTCTCCCCATCTCGTATTTAAGATCTTCAAAAGTATGCAAACTGCATTCCAATAACAGAACCCATATGAGGCTACCAAAGGAGCCTACCTGCGTTGGTCGCTTACTCTATAGATTATGCAACTTGTCAATTCAGTGTTTGTCAGTCTCAGAAGCAAGATCTTGTCAAATATCAGCTCAAGGGAAAGGGTCCACGGTCAACGGATAATGTTGCTGCCACTGGCTTGACGTCCTCTAAAGAAAGGACTTTCTGTCGGAAGAGTTCTACCCGAAACTACTACTTTTAAACATCAATTGCATATCATAATCCACCACGTAAATAGTGAAGTAAAATAATACGAAGCAAGCAAATTCTAAAATGCCAAAACCCCAATTTGCAATGGGCGGAGCTTCAGTCGCCAGAATGTGGAGAAGCGGCAAACACTCCCAAGTACAATTCTAGTCTACCGTGGAATTAAGCACGCGAAATTAACACACCCATGCCACAAAACGAAGCTCCAAATCACAAAAACCCAATTTTTAGATGCTTGTTCACCATAACCTACGAGAAAGGTACATTTTCTCGTACAAAGTCATACAGAAGATGAATTGCAGAGCTCACCTATTTCTGGTAGCCTCCACCTCGAGCATTAATGTCTTCTTCAACCCTGGAAGTCACATAAACAGGGGGAAAGTCCGAGACGTCAAAGGTCGTCTCCTTCATCATTTTCTCCACATCGGCCTTCTTCAAGATAGTGCGGCGGATCGGAGGACGATTCCGCCGCTGGTCGCGAGTATAGTACTTGATGTCGTAAACGGTTTCAGGATTGGACGTGGGCACAATGGCCTTTTCCCTGGCGGTGGCGGGACAGAAGACTCGGTACTCAAGCGCGCCCGGCAATGCCGATTTGTATTCCGGGTCAGCGCACGGGCCGGTGATCTCCCATGGCTTTTTGAAGAAACGCTTCAGGTTCTGGAAGAGGGAAGTGGAGGCGGACTTAGACATGGCAAGCGAGCGAGATAGAAAGAAAATGGGAGGAGGAAGAACGACCTTGCGAAATAGAACAACCCAATTTCTCCAGGCGACAATTCCTCGCTTTGTGAATCCGACACGGGTTAGCCTCTCGAACTCTCGGTAGCAATGAAGAAATTTTTTTGGGCCAACTGAGAAGAAATATATATATATATATATATATATCCCCAGTTTTTATGATTTTTTTTTCCTCCCCAACTCCTATATTGAATAGAAACCAAACTATAATTTTAGAAGTGATTTTACGGTATATGAAATAAATATGTAAATAAGTTGATCTCTATTTGTGGAAAGGTAATTTTTTTAGAAGTATTTCTCATATCATCCAAACACCTTCTAAGTAACTTATTTCTAATAGCGATTAAAAAAACTTTGACATAACATTGTTAATCTATGGTATCCTTTAGCCATAATATTTGAAGGTTATTCAATGAAGGTCTGTTTCGTTTTGAAATCATTTTATTAATTTTAAGGTGCTTAACAACAATAGGAATGAATCTTCACAAGGAAAAATGAGCTTTTAATAATAGCAAGTGTGCTCAGGATATGATTCCCTGTACTGCATTACATACAGTTTTCAAGATACCATATTTTCTGATATTTATATATTTTTTTAATTATAATAAATTTATCTTCTTTTTAATAGGTGACGATTGAGCGATGTCCAAAAAAGTATTATAAGAGATCCAAATTAAACATGCGTAGTTATTGGTTTTGATCGAAGTGATGTGAGTAGCTTTGATCAAAATATGGTTTTGGTTAAAACCAACAAAAAACCAAGTACACATAACATTGGGAGGATAATTCAGTCACACTAATAGCCAATTCCTATTCATCCAAAAAAAAAGACAGTTCCTCAGATTGATCGCCTTATCATTTTCTCGTCCTCTTTCTCTCATTCCATTGACAATAAATGCATGGGCTAGCCTTCTTGTTTATTTTAAGTCATCTCCAAAAGGATCGTGGCCAACGAGGATAGTCTATATAAATGTCTGCCACAGTGCCACATTCAAATTGAACACCAACTTGCTCATATTTTCCACGAAACTCTGGTACAAGCCTTCGGCAAGAAATAGGTATGACCGATCAAAGGCCACGAATGAACTTCTGTGATACCGTGGTTAAAATGGTAGCTAATCTGTGTTTTTGAAATGCACTCTTTCGGTCGGCTTTGATATATATGTGTTTGTCCCTTATTGTTCTTCCGGTTAGCTGATTTCAAGTGCAGTTAACTGCATCTAAATGAGCTAATCAAGGGTAAGCAAAAGTTAAATGCTTCTGTTACCAATGAACTTCAGCCATTGGACACTGCTATTCTTTGAATGGAATGAAATCAAATTGGATATTTTATATTATGGGAAAACCATATTGAAGGTACTTATACTTTGTTTCAATTTTTAATTTGATACTTATGTGTTTTTTGTTTTTAACTAAATCTTTTAATTTTGCTCTATTAACATTATTAATCCTTATGTAGAAACTAAAAATATCAATAGAACAAAGTTACAAGAGCTAATGTTGCTAAAAAGATAAAATTAAATGTTTAATTGAAAGGAAAAAAAACACATAGGTACCAAATTAAAAATTGAGAGAAAGTATAGGTACATTCAATATGGTTTTCCCTTATATTATTCACTTCGTATCTATCTGTCTAGTGTATGCCTGAAGTCCTTTTTTTTCTCGGTGACATAAGTCCTTTTTCAGAGGAATGAAGTAATTCTTCAAACAATATCATACTTGTAACTCGGTAAATTAGTTCTCACTTTTAGTAAACTCGCTTTTGTTACTAAAAGGAATCAACTCTTAGCTTAAACTGAAATTAGTTCATCGTTTACCCACTCAAACGCCTCTTAATCCATCGTCACACCCTCATCTTACATCCACGTATTTTGTAATGATCACTTTGCGATAGCTTGGCCCTTCATATTTCCACATATCATGAACCACCGATGATATAAGCCCTTCTAATAAAATTGCTCAACCTAATTTCCAGCGTCACACTACTTACACATCATAGATGGTCAACTAGTCATTAACGATAAGAGAAGTAGTGCCCGATTTGGTATGATATAGTTTCATTGTCTTCTACTCATAAACTACCTCTAGTCTTTAATAAGAACCAGTTAGGAATTAAATTTTATCTTAAATATAATATCCCAATTTATTTTATCTTCTAAATTTATAGTTTTTTCTCCAAAACATCCATATTAAATTGTAAAGATTCCCACCAGGGATAGCACCACTACACATGATAAAAATAGTAGTTTAAGAAAATCAACATATATTTATTATAAATAACTAATTAAACTAATTTGTTTAATCTTTTTAAATTAGATATTTAGCTCTTATATTAAGAACATGATGCATATATCTCATTGCTCATTGGAATTAGGCCTAAACTGATCATGCTTGTTCGTATTCAAACTTACTCAGTTAGGGATACCAGTTGGAGAGAGAGGCATCCTAGAGGTGGGTTTCTCGTGAATGAAGGGGGTCATGAAAGAAAGGAATACAGGACGTCAGGACCCAGGGGAAGTTTTCAGCAGGACAGAGAGAAGATGGCTCTCGGATTTACATTATCTATTGGAGTAAACTCGGAGCGCATTTGGATCAGCATTGAAACCAAGGTTTTAGGGGGCCAAAAGCTGTTGGAATATGTTCTATGTTTGGATTACTTTTTCACTCAACCACATAAGACTATAACCTAGGTCGGATCAAAAGAAACCAGAATTAGCTTTTACCCACACTTATACCTGCAAGCTCTTAATACCAAAACACACTCAAAAACAAATAAAAGTGCAGCAAAATATAAATACATCCAACACATTATACATGGATGGCAGAACAATTTAACTATGTATATATGGGTCAGAACACTTCGTACTTAGAAACCATAATAATGAACTTATCTTAGTTTCTGCAAGTTGGATACAAAATTTGAAGCAGCAAAAGCTGCAGAACCACCAACTACAGAGAGCAGAGCGACTACGATTTGCAAGCCCACCTCTCCAAGGTTGTCCTCAGGCACCAAATAAACACACAACGGTCCCAAAAGCAGTAAAACCAGACTAAGGGTGAACAATGAGCTTGGGGTTCCTGGATCTGTGGCTGCAGATAACACCCCAAGTTCTTCAGCTTTTGAGAGGAGTCCCAATCTCTCTATGGTTGAAAGGGAAAACCCAAACTTCTCTGCTGCTGATAGCAATCCAGCTTTCTCTGCTTTGCTTAACAGCTTCAGTTGCTCCATTCTGGTAAGCAGCTTAACGGGAGGTGTACCTGTTATGGTGCTACTCCGAGGGCCTTGTTCTCCCGGTCGAAACACAGTTGAACTCTGCATTGTAGACATGGAGTGGTATTTAGATGGAATCATTTGAAAGTGAAATATTCTGCATCGACATTACAGCCGGGTATCTCCATTTGACAATTTAACATTCATTATGTCTATCTCGGTATCCCTCCTGAATGGACAGTCAAATACTTATACGATATAATTTGCACTTGGAAAACCGTTGGTTTTGGTCAAAACGTAAGCAATATGAAATTAGCTTTGCCTTGAAAGTTGCAAAAATCGGTTTTCCACAGGTTTCTAAACATAGCCATAAAAGATGCCAATCTAACACTAAGTGCGAACTTAGCTAAATGGCTAAACTTAGGCCAGGATGCCTTTTTAGTTTTTCCATTCACCAAAGAAACATGTCAGACATCCATATAGGGGATGAACTTATGCACAGCTGTTTATCGATAAATTCTTTAATAAATGGTGTCATGTAAATGCTTTTATACAGCTCTAACACTTGGTCATTGGAACTTTTAAACAACTTCTTTTTCACACGTCATAACTTTATCACAAAAATCTTGGTAGCAAATGCCTATGAGGTGAATGAACTTTCTCATTAATACTTAAAGAAACTCTACCTAATTCTTACTAAAACCCTAAACACCTACAGAACTGTAGCTTAAAGCAAAATTCTAAGAGGGACGAACGTTTTCCTTTCTAACATAACACGCATCCTGTTCCACTGGTGAAATCACAGAGCAATCAACTCCTTTAAACCCGAAATTGATAAGACTATCAGAGGAACCGCCTCTTTCAACATGACAATGCCAAACGATTTGTAATTAGCAATTAAACATCACTCAAGCAGGTGCAAGAAGAACTGAAGAAGAAGAAGAAGAAGAGGGGATAGATGTCCAATTTGATGGAGGCCAAATTTAGCCAAGTGAGGGACGGACCTTTCTAGAGCTTACAGTTCTGGAAACCGATGGAACGGGCTTCTGAGTAGCCATGGATTTGACAAGTAGGGGAGAGGTACGGGTGAAGGGCAACCCTCCGTTGGTGCTACAGAGGGATGCTGCAGTGGCCTCCATAACCATAATCGTAAGCCCTTTCCCTTCGTCGTCTAGAAAGCATGCATCTAAACTGAGAGGACGAAGGTGAATCGTGAATCAGAATGAACGATGAGGAAGATCACGGATTGGTTTCCATTGTTTGGATGTCCACGTGTCAGCAAATGGTTGATTCTTTCTTGCTGCTTTTGCCGAACATTTCGTGGTTCTTAGATTGGGATAGTCTTGGGATTTTCCTTTACTCAGAAAATTGACCTTTTTTTTTAAATTGTGTTTCCCTATATACTGATTGAAAAATACAAAAAATGCTAATACTCTTCCCCCCCCCCCCCAACCGCATCGTCACTTCTACTGTTATACACCAATCCCAACATATAATTAAATCTGTTCATTCCCCTTTTTTCCTGAAGGAATCTTAATTTAGTATTAATATCTTTATACTCTATTGTAAAGTAATTAAAAATTTAACATTTTTTTAGGGGAAAAAAATTAACATGCCCTTTCAGATCTCTCGTCAATGACGAGGGTAAAAGTTGGAATGAAGAAAACTTAATTGAAAACAACTCCAAATCAAAGACATTTTTTAATTTTACCGAAAGAAGTTACTTTTATTAATAACCAAAGATACAAATAGTGTTGCCCAAAAAAAAAAGGTACCAACATCAATAGCTAAAGCTAGATAAGGAGGGAAAAAAAACTCTCCTGAAATTCTAAGACACAATAAAAAAAAAAAATGAAACAAAATACTACCTCTATTTCTTAATATAAGAGCTTGTTTAATTTTTATTTTAGTCCTAAATATAAAACGTTAATCCATTTTGTCTCTTGTATGTATTTATTTATTTCAAGATAGTCCTATAATAATAGTAGTTCTAACCAATACACTTGATTAACAAGAATACTTAAAGAAAGACAACACCTATTTATTACAAATAACTAACTTAACTAATTTTTTTAATCTATTCAGATTAGTCAACTAACTCTTATATTAAGAACAAAAAATAGTAGTATTAAAGTAGCATATCTTAATGTTATTGCTTTATAGACATTAATCTCAAAAGTGATTTGGGACACTTTGACACCAGAAAATATTAAGGTACACAAGTCACAAAATATAAAAAAAAATATTTAATATAGAGTATCGATATTTTATGTGTATAAATTTTGTAAAATACCAATACTCTTTGAATGTAAAATCAATAAATTTTTTGATAGGGATTTTCCAATCTTCCCAATTTTATATTAAAACTTAGAATAAAACATTCTAACTTCTCTTGTATTTTTTCTTAATTATACATACATCTCCTCTCTATTTTAAAAACATATATTTAAATCCAAATCATTAACTCTGTTAAGAATATTTTAAAAAGATGTTTTTTAATTAAAACTTAAGTTGAAATACTTTTTATTTACTAATTTACCCTTCATAATATTAAATCCCTAAATTTTGACTAAAACTATCTTAAAGAATTTAAGATTTTCTCTTTTACCTTAATTTTACGTTTCATTTCTACAAGTTGTTTTTTGTTTAATATTTTTATCATATTAGGCAAGAAAATTAAGTAATTTAGTTAATTTAAACATAAAAAATACTGAATATAAATTCAATCGATTCTTTAAACAAATATATCATCGATCAAATTAAATAAGTCATACATGTTTGCAACAATTTTTTTTTAAAAAATTTAAATTATAAATTTAAATGATTTACATAATTTCCCAACTCAAGTAATTTATATTATATGATAAAAAAAAGTAAACATAAAATATTTTCTAACCATTTAAAAGCAACCTTAAGTTTCAATATTTTAGGAAGAATTAAAATTATATGATTCTATAATATAATAAAATAAAATTTTTTATAACATATTAAAAATTTTGAAAATACATGTATTACAATTATTTTTTGTTGTATCAGAAGTTATTTTTTTATGGATGTCAATGTTTAAATAATATTTGTGTTAAAAAGGGATATTTTGGTCAAAATAAAAATTTAAAAGTTAAACTTAACAGTCAACTAATGATTGGATGGATGAAAAGGTAATCTTAAAAATATAAGGGTAACATACTTTTTAATTTTAAGGGAGGTTTATATATTTTTTTCAAAATAGATGAGGGGTCTCTATAATTTAAGTAAAATAGAGGGGTGTCAATGGATTTTACTCTAAAACTTATTTACAAAAAAAACATAGATTTCTTTGGAAAAATAGCAACAAAAAAAAAAAGACCCCCAATATGAAATTATGAAATGGGTACCTTAATAAACAAAATTGCCTCTAGAGATCAGGTCCTGTATTGCAAATATCAAAAGATGGTAAAATGTCCATAAAGCCTCTAAGCTGTTGAGAGTTTTTAATGAAGGCAAAGACAAGAAATTTGATGGTGGAAGGAGTTGGAGAAACAAGGGTCTACATGAAGAGGAGCTTTTCAATCCTGGGAATCAAGTGAGTAACTTACTAAATACAGTCTTCTTCTATTCTTTCCTATGAGACCAAGCATTATGATATTCTTGATGTTGGTGGGCTACAGTGTGGGCCGTCAGGTTACAGTGGGAGGGAACAAGAGGTGAAGATGAAAGATGTTAGTTGTAGGAAGTTGTAGTTAGTTTGAGGTGGGATATTTTTGTTTTTGTAATGTGATTGCTTAGCTATGATTTGCATGGTGTTGGTTGCAATGGTCAAGGGTTAGGAGTATTAGGAATGGCGGAGTATGGGCAGGAAAATAGAAGGAGCTAATGGGTGTTAGTTTGAGAGTGAAGTTTAAGAGTTGCAATGAAGGGAAGGAATGAGGATGCTGTCATTTTTAATGTTGAAGTTGTCAAGCCCTAAGGTCAAGTTGGGAAGAGAAGAGGTTGTTGGTTTTTACCATGTTAATGTGCACATGCCACTAAATCTTGGAAAAAATTGGTTGCTGTCAAAACACTTTTAGTTTTTTGTTATTTGACTTACCATTGTTGTGATTTTGCTTTGTACTATTGTTACTGCAAACTTCTTACAACGATGATATCAACATGACATGACAATCTGGTAATGTTGGTGTTTTGTTTATGGGCTGAGTGATGTTAACGTTTTGTATTTATCAGTTCTCTATAGTAATGACGCAGATCTATTTAATGTTCTCAAATTAGTAAGAAACTCAGTGACAGAATTGTTATTTTACATGAGTTATTTATCAGAAGTTATAATTTGTCTTACCATACTTGTCAGTCGCCAATGAAATATGAAAATAATGTCATTTGGCCACAAAAAAATAACTTTACATGAGTTGCTTATTAGAACTTGCAATTTGTCTTACTATACTTGCTATTCGCCAATAAAATCTAGAAATAATGTTATTTGGCTACAAAAAGTTAACTTTATATGAATTACTTATCAAAACTTGCAATTTGCCTTATTATACTAATCATTCACCAATAAAATCTGGAAATAATGTCATTTAGTCAGAAAAAGTTAACTTTGCATGAATTGCTTATCAAAACTTGTAATTTGTCTTATTATACTTGTCGTTCACCAATGAAATCTAGAAATAATGTTATTTGGCCACAAAAAGTTAACTTTACATGAATTACTTGTCAGAACTTGCAATTTGCCTTACTATATTTGTTATTAGCTAATAAAATATGAAAATAATGTCATTTCAAATGTAATCATTTTAAAATATCATTTCACTAATACATAACTGACGTTAACAATTAACAACAGAGTTGAATCATAAAGTAAGTAAATTTGTTATTAACAATTAACATTAGCAATTTTATATTGTAAATTTGTTATTTCCAACTACATATTTGTCAATCCCCTTACTCAGTTTGTTATTCTCAACTTCACACTTGTAATTTCAACAAACTTGGTATTTTCATTTCAGATCTTGTTAAATACCAAGTTTGATCTACTCATTTTAAACCACTCAAACACTTTACATTTTAACAACTCTTCAATCCAATTTACACTATACCAAATCAATTTACACATCACACTTTAACTGAACTTGTTAAATAACAAACTAATATTGTCATCTTTCTAACCGAACTTGTCATTCTCTTCCCAGCCAAACATCATTCACACAAGTTACTTTATACTAAAACATTGTTCGGTAGTCAATCAAAAATGGGTTCTTCTATTTTTGTGCCCTAAGTGCATTCCCCCCCTCAATGTATTACTCATACTCGTAGCAACCAGCCTAAACAAACAAAAGCATCAAACTGACTACCAGATTGAATCGCTCAATGTCGATGTTAGCTTTGATAATCAAATGTAATGGCCACCCAATGTGCGATGATTCCTCTGCCTTCGACAATGTCAACAAAGCACTACTATGTCAACCTCTCTCACAACAAATACACACTTCCCTCAAGCACGACTCCTCTCAGTACTACTGTAACAGCAAAACAAAAGTAAGCTCATGCGTGAAAATAGAGAGTATGGAGAGAACAGAGTGAATGGTGGGAAGTCATCAGGGGAAGTGGAAGTAGGCGTTTTGAAGAATGGAGAGAACATAGCTTCGATAGTCTTTTGTTCCAGATCACTGAGGGGTTTTGGACATTTCACTATCTTTTGATATTTGCAATATAGGACCTAGTCTCTTGAAGCAATTTTATTTATTGAGATATCCATTTCACAATTTCATATATTGGGAGGTCTTTTTTTGCCATTTCTTTTTTTTTTTGAGCCAGAACAAATAAAACACATATTAAGTGTAAAGAGTTCTTTTTGTAATTTCCACTAAAATATACTTTTAAGATTTTAATTTTATACAAGTTTTTAATTTAGTTTCTTAACTTTAAAAAGTATATTTTTAGTTATTTAATCCTAGAATTGTTAATAAAAAATGATGATATGATAAAACATTCTCAGATGTTAACATATTAAATTTAAATTTGAAAACAACTAAAATTGTTACAAAAAAATTATTATTTAAGACTAACAATTTTAGAATAAAAATACTAAAAAATATTTTTTTAATATTAAGAGACTAAAATAAAACATTGTATAAAGATATATTTACAATTTAACATATAATTTAAGAAGAATTACAATGAGATCTTAATAAAAAATAATTATAAAATAAGTCTTAGAAATTACTATTTTCCAGTCCGCTTAGATTGTTATTAAAAATTTTAGTAATTTTTTTAGACGTTATTGTAATTATCCCCATAATTTACTAATCTCTTGCACTTACTTGGAGAAATTTTTTGTTTGGAAAAATTATAATTAGGTCCCATATAAGGGAATTAAATATAAAAAAGTCCCTCAAAATCATGAAATCATTTTAGAGTCTCAAGGGACTTTCTTTTAGTAAATTTTATTTGTTTAATTACCAAATTACTTTTTTTTTTAAAGTTTGCATTGACAACTGAAAGACCAGTGGTTAAAAACTTAGGATGCAATGATTGACAACTATTGCGGCTGGTATAGTTGTCAATCATTGCACCCTAAGTTGTCAACCACTGCTCTTTCTGTTGTTAATACAAAATTTAAAAAAAAAATACTTTGATAATTAAACAAATAAAATTTATTACAAAAAGGTCCATTGGGACTTCAAAATAATTTTATGATTTTAAAGAATTTTTTTGTATTTAATTCCTTTAGATGGGATCAATTGCAATTCTCTTTTTTTGTTTTTCTTTTTTTATTTTTTTTTGGTAAGACCCTTTTTGTTTTTCTATTGACTTCATGAAGTAGCTTGACATCACTTCGTCCATCGCCCGTCTAAAACCCAGAACCCTAACCCTAAGCCACCCTCTCACTTTCTCGTTAGTTATCTCCTCTTCTGTCAATGGCGGACTCCGCGTTTTCGATCCAGTACCTGAAAGATTTCATGAATTCTCAAATCTATGACGAAGAGAAGTGGGCCTTCAACATGGTAATCTTCCCACTACATCCCTTTATTTTTATCTAGTCGTTTATACGCTGGTTCACCAATCCGTTCTTTCTCCTCCTGATCCATTTAATAGATATGATCAAAATCTTTTGTTTCCAAAGCCTGTTGTCTGTCTTTGGGAAGAATAGTGAGATAATTCATGAAATGGCTTCAAATGTTTTCTTGACCACATTTTTTTTTTAATATGCTTGAACTGAGCCTGTGGTTAGCATTAATACGAAACGGGAAACCTCGAAATGTTTCTTAGTATTATCTGGATACCCTTGAACTTGATTGATGGATCAGTAACGGATTGCCCATTTTCATCACGAAGCATCAGGGTAGCTTCATAACCAATAGTGCGTGCTTTGATTTTTCCGTTCGAGAGCCACTGGATGCATCCGTGGACGAGTGTCAGTTCTTAAGCAAACTCTGATTATGTTTTGACTGGTTTGGATGCATCGGTTGATTGTCTCTTTCTTGTCATTATTAGAGCCTTACAAGTCTCGCATGTGAATCTTATGAATTTGTTATTACATTGTTTGAGTTTATTGTAGGAGTAAACTGACAATTAAGCATATAAATTTACAGATCCATTTAGCTTTAGTCCTTGAATATATTGGGAGGAGGAATCCATTGCTGGTTACATTACTTTGTGAACTAACTTGTGCAGTTCCTAAACTTTGAGTGCTAAAGGTAAATGGGTTGAAAATTCATTGACTAACTAGTACTCTCATATTTTGATGTTGCTTTGAATGGTTTCAATTGTTCCCATATGTTAGGTTCATGCCAACTTGAATTGATCTAGCTATCAAAGTTAACAGCGACTTAATACTTGTTCAGTGTATGTTTCTCTGTTTCCTTATTCAGTGCTAAGGTGTGGATGATTATTGTCTCACGGTAATACCTGGGGTAAAGTAGCCAGTTAATATGTTTGTGTTCCTTTTTTTGTTTTGATGTGTTGAGACTTGGACCCATTGGCTTATTGCCTGCATCTAAGTGACCTTGCTGTTTGCCATTAATATGATAATTGAGCTTGACATTCTTCTGCGGAAAAGGTTCTTGATTGTGGCCAATTTTGGTTAGAAACCTATTATAGATTGCTCATTATTTGTGGTTGGTTAATCAGTTATTCAAGAAGTTACTGCAAAACCGTTTGAACGCAAGAAATTGCTCATCTATGGTTAGGAAATAGGCTCCATAAATATGCTTTAGTGCATGGTTGGAGTAAAAGAGAGTCTGACCAAATGAAGAACTTATTGACTGATAGGACAGGATTGCTTCTGTAATGCTTTTTTATTTTTATTCTGTTTAAATATACTGTAGAGTAACTGATATATGCATTGTTTCCATTATGCATATGGATGACATGCTGGGATATTTTGGGGGTATGCATGCCTCTAGTACCTAGGTGTAATTGCATCTTCTTTCTTAGATGGACAAATTACATTTGAGGATCCTGAGTTAATATTTACTCTGGAGGACCGCAAGTTTCAAAATCAGAGAGGATCAAATATTATTTGCTGTCATAAGAGAAATACTCAAGATTCCAACGTTAGAATTATGTTATATACCTGGCCTTCAACATTAGAAGCAGCTTAAAACATTGGAAGTTGAAGGTCTATTTGCAATAACATCCAAAATTTAAAGTCCTTTGGTCTTGTTAAATAACTTTGCAATTTAAGGTAATTTTGCCTATTCAGAAAAAGGAAGACGAGTCTAGGCAGCCCTGGCAGCAGAGCCCAGATGCTTTTAACATCTTTTGTTGATGTAGCATTTGGCAAACCAACATGGTAATTCATGTCAAGCTATGTCATTTGATAAAAGGCTTGAATGCCCTGGCCGAATGGTATACTGTTTGCTAGTCCAGCAATACGAATGTCTTGTTAACTGAACCCAAATCCTACCTGGAAGTGATCGTGATATGACGGCATGGTGTTACCCTAGTGCAATTCTTCCAAGGCATTACGTCTTTACCACTTGGTCTCCGGTGGGAAGGCGCCTTGTTCTTAGCCTAAGGCACTTGGCTTTTGATTGTTTTGAGGCTTCACAAGCTTTTTATGCTCTCACATCTCAAGGCACCGAATACCCACTTGCGCCTTCCTGGGGAGTCAGTAAAGCAGCATGTTACTTTGGGTTAGGGCATGAATGACATTAAAGTGGGTCATCTGGTATTGAATATTGAATGTGTTATTGAATGTATTAAAGTGGGTCATCTGCTTCGTTCTTTTTCCTCTTACAGAAATTGCTGCGTGCTGCTGGGTTATTTGGAGGATCAATACTCCTTATGCGGAATTATGGTGATCTTATGGCTATTTAAAGGGAGAATGAAGGAGCTGCAGCGGGCTGCTACGCTCTGCTTCGTCAGTAATTTGTAGTTTCTTTCAGTAGTTTATAATGAGCCCTCGTGCATCAGTTCTAGTCCTTTAGTGAGAAATGAGTTTGCAGTTTCCTATGGGCATCAATTATGTAGATGTTAAAATGCGTCCAAATTGGGCGTATGCACTTCGTATCAAGTTTCATTTTTCATAACTTGAATATATTTTGTTATATCATGTTTTTAATGAAAGTTTTGCACGACCTCTATCAAATGGGATTATAGGCTTCCAATTGAGAGTATCCATTCGAGTAATAAGGTGAAATTTAAATTAAATAAAGAGATGGAATTGAAATTACTTGACATAAAAAGATAGAAATAAAATGTTGAGGTGTACTCACTACTCAGGTGTCTCAGTGTGTGTATTTTTTCTTCCGTTTTTGGCCAAATGTGGGGTGCTCGTTAAGGTGCGGGTTACTTGTACTGCCTTCGACTTGCGTGGCCAAGGGTCAGCCTGCAAGTTGGTGGGCCGTCTCTTTTTTTTTTTCTTTTTTCATGTGTTTTTCAATATATATAATATAATTAGAGGATTTTGGTCTTAATTTTTTTTTTTTGACTCAGGCCTTAAATTTCATATGCACAATAATCACTATACATATATGCGTGAAGAGCATAATCCATTTTTTTTTCATGTTTTTATCTATTTGTTGCTTCACTATATACGCTTGTATAAGATTAAATAAACATATGATTCTTATATGTATATATATAATTTGCTTAATTAATTTCAGTAAGAAAACGAGTTCAATTAATTATTTATTAAAAATATATTAATTTTTTTAAAATATCTTTTTAAATTATAAATTAATTTGCATATTATTTTATTATAAATTATTGTTTATGTTCAAAATTTCAAGTCTAATTTCAATATTTGACACTCAAGTCTAATTTTAATATTTTAAACTAAATCCAACTCATTAATAATAAAAAATTTTTTATAAAAATAATAATTGGAGGGAATGAGCTGGTAAAGAACAACTTCAATCTGCACCGACTCAGACTAGCCTTCACTGGCACCGTGAGCTCACTTTACCAGCATTATTAGCCTTTTGTGTCAATTTCATGACAGATTGTTTAATATTTGATGACCAATATGTTATTTTAAAAAATACTAAAAAAATTATTGATTCTTCAGAGTTTTTTCCTTTTTTGGAACTGGTGACCCTTGAGAGTTTAAACGCGAGCAAGAAGGTTAATTTTGCGATAAAAATGAAAAAAATTAATTTCGTTACTCCCAAAGAAAATTTTCATTAATAATAAATAAATGTCAGATATTTAAACTTTGTAATTAATAAATACAAATTAAAAAAATAACATAAAAATAAAAAATACAATATTTCAATTCTGACCCGTAAGAGATCAAGATCTCAAGGGAAAAGTTGTGCCTAAACTAGTATTTTGCAAATACAGTTAAATGATTAAAATATTTTTTATCAAATTTTTTTAAAAAAATTATCAAAATTATCATTATGAATATATTTTTTATTATTAGTTGTTAAATATTTGTGATTATCACTTCACAACTTAATAATAAATAAGTTGTCTTTTAAAAGACGGATATTTTGGTGACTAACAGCTGTGTTGTCAATGGTCTATGAAATCGAAGCTCGAATGATTACTACACCGGTGAGACAGTAAGCTGGACAAGAATCCAAATGAAATTTTTAAATCTTTGACCTTAGCGCCTCTTAATATTTTATCTTTTGACGAAATATAAAATATTGCACGACAAAGTCAGAAATAGCGCGCCAACAGAAGCTTAATTGCAGACGATGGGACCCAGCCTCCCGAGTCCTCAGTGCTCAGTCTGCCTCATTATGAAATGCGTTTCTTTGAAAGAAGAAAAGTCCCAGCCCAGCACTTCAAACTCTGGGGACTTATCTCACCTCCATAGTGTTGTAAGCTTCTTCCCCCATAAAATTTTTCTCCTTTACTGTGAAGCTTAAATTTGAACTAGCATCAGATCTAGCTTTATTTGCTTTGGGGTGTATGTGTGAGTGGGGATTTCGCCCAAAGAGGTTCCACTTCCTCTTGATTTCAATGAAGAAGATAAAACATGAAAGCCACTGTTGATGAAATAGCCTTTTTCTTGGAAAACGTTATTATTTAGTGGCGTTTGCAGAGATTTTGTCTTAAGGAAGAAGACGATAGTCTCAAAATGGTCACCAATTCCGAGGAGATAGACCTTACTCTCAAGCTTTCTCTGGATAAGCCTCACGCAGAAAACGCAGAAAAGCTTCTGACAATACCTTCATCATCAATAAGTGGGGACATAAGCAAGATTCTCGTGGGAAGTGGGGCTAGTGGGGGTTCCTCTGTTTCTTCTCTGCATAAGCCTTGCTCGCTGCCATTGAAGGCCGAGAAGATTGAGTTTCAGGACTTGCAGACGATGAGAAGACCAAAAGATGTGAAGAGATTGACGCTACAAAAGCAGAATAAGTTGGAAGAAGCGAAGATAAAGAAAGAGATATCTCCGACGGTGTCGCTGCCACCGCCTCTTCTGGCATTTGATCGGCTAGAGGTGCCTTACGAAGTGGTTGCCAGGGCTGCTGCTTCTGTTTCCAAGAACCCTGCATTCATTCGTGCCCTTGCTCAAATCAAAGAGGACTTGAAACTTTTGCAGGATTTCAAGCATAAGAGTAAGTTTTTCGAAAATGTTCCTTTTCTTTCACTCACTCAATCACTTAAAAATACCTTAGTATGAATTGATTTTTCAAAGATTTCTTAATCTTTATTTGGTTCTGTTCAACTTGAATTTCATCCTTGTGATATTTATGATTGATGCTTGATTAAGCGAACGAATATGCGGATGTAACACTTTGTATGATTTGTTTGGACAAAACCGCTATTTGAATATTTTCATTCACTGCATATCTCACCTGTTAATTAACGACTTTGTCTCTTCGAACAAATTACTTTTTCAATTACATGAACGTTAGTCCGTCGTTATTCAAATAGGCTTATATTTTGAATCTGGATACCTCTCCCTGCATTCTTTTGCCTAAAATGACCTGAAACAGAACTAAACTTGCCAAATTTTAACAAATTTTCACGCTAAAATTATGTCTCAGACAATAGGATTCCCAAAAATTTACAACTGTCCTTGATCTAAACTACTATCTTTCTGTTCTGTATGATTGTCGTCCTTGACTCTAGAATGTTCTATAGTTATGCACACAGCCAACCATAGAAGTATTGACACAAAAGAAAGTGATTGCGCATGGAACTCACTTTTCTATTTTATACTCATTATCTCTATTTTCTTTATCTTTTTTCTGAATGCACTATATAAAATCACTTTCTAATTGTAGAGGGTCTGGATTGGTTTGTATATGTTGATTCCATGTTTATCCATCAGGACCTCAACATTAGTTCTTTGAACCTAAATCCATTTGCATACAGGTGCAAGAGGTTTGGCCAAAGGAGGGGCTACTTCCAGATTCCTGAGATCTCCCAAGAAGGAGAAAGATCCGACGGTGAAGGAGGAAATACCGGCCAGGCCTGCTGAATCCATGTTAGTAAATCCTCTTCAGAAAAAGGTGAAGCTAGAGCATTCCTGCTTGCTCAACTACTTGGAATGGTCCCAGTAGGAATGGTTGAATACCAGAAAGTGTTTTTTTACAAAGGAAATAACACTTAGGAACTCGTAATATTGACCTTCACATGGACTATATGAATGGGTTATTGTGGATATTTTCTTAAACTTATAGATCCAACGTTCCAAGAGTGTTTTGGATTTGTTATTATCTTTGGACGAAACGACCTTTATGGAATCCAGAATCCTACGTTGTGCACTTGGGATGCATCAATGGCAATGTAATTTTATGTCTTTGGAAGAAATTTTTAGAGTCCTTAAGGTGTTAATATTATGAGTTATACTGTTATAGGTAGGTCATTAAGTGTCATTTTCCCACTTCTTTACTGGCGTGACAAGGCCAAATTTGCATTATATGTATCTGCCATGGAAACTTTGGAAGCGTCTGTGGTGCATTCCCATGAAGCACACATCTTAGGCCTGTGCTGTTTGTTAGATTTGTCCTTTTAACGAGGAGGAAAAAATGAAAACATACTGACTTCTGTAGAGGGAGATTCCATGGAAGATGGGTTCTCTTCCTTCTGCTAACTTCTGCATTAAACTGTTCCTTGCAGTCGTAGAGTAAAGAACTTGTGATTTTATGTTCCTTCGTTTATGTTTGTTTAGATTGCTTTTTATATTCTTTACCATATAATGAAAAGAGCAAGTTCAAGAAATCCTGTACTTCTCTATAATAGCTAGGCACGGGAGTTAATAGAGAAAATTTTAGTTATGAATGGCGCTTTTCACGATTACCACTCGCGTTTCTTTTCAGTTGTTACAACTTGTTCTTCAAGGTGGTGATTTGGACTTGTGATCTCTTTTAGAAGAAGCATGAAATTGTGTAATACATAATGTAAGCTTAATTGCATTGCATCCTCGCATCATATGGATTCATTACGTATTGAATCAACTATAAAAATTAATTTCAAATAAATTTCACTTGTGTTTTTCAGATTCATGATGTAAATTTTGTTGTTATGACATATTCCTCCCTTGATTACAAAATTTCAAAGGAGAATATTTTTACCTTTGCAAATCATACATTTTTAGCAGTTCATTCTAACCTTAATCATTAATGAATTGTTCAATTGGATATTGAAACTGAATGATTTTTGCAATATTGATTTGTTAGAAATCTAAATATAGAGTAGATATAGAATTTATTTTTATTGTGAAATAAAAAGTATTCCTCATATTCTTAATCTAAGATTTATTTAATTTGTTTCATTAAATTAAAAAAATTACTTAATTATGATAAACATGATATATTTTTCATAAAACATCGGGTTCATAAGATATGTTAATAACTTGATATTACATTTTCCTTAAACTTATATTAGCACTTTTTTTGCACTAGGGACAAAAAGATTTTTTCAACTTTTTTATTATTACAATCAAGTTTTTTTAGGATTACAAAACAATTATCGGATTTTCAGAGATCTTTTTACAGTATTTTATCTTTGGTGAAATCTCAATGCAATTCTCCCATTGTTTTTTGAGTTTACAAAAGACATTTTTAGAAAATATAAATGTCTAAATAATTATTAAACAAAAAGGGAGTATTTTGATTAAAAAATAATTTAAAGTCAAAATTTAATAATCAACAGATGAAAATAAAATCTTAAATATAAGGAAAAAAATCTATGTAACATACATTTTAATTACGTAACATACGTTTTAAGAGAGGTTTATATATGTTTTCAAAGTAAAAAAATTTATAAGTCATCCGATTTCCTGAACGCTATGGTTATAGACTTATAGTATAACGATTTTCTTATAAAATGGATTGTGTACTGGATTTTCTGGTAGATGATTAGAGTTTGAACCTATAGAATCCTGCCACGCTCTCGAAAGATTCCGAAGACCATTGGTCAAAGTCGTCCCTCTGCTTAATAATAAGTGAGGTTAGCGCCAGCCTGCGTGCTAGCTTCCTTCTCAAAACAGAACAAGTCACACCCAAACTCATTCCCACTGCGCGCCTCCGCCCTCTTTGAATCTCATAGGTATTTGCAGATTACCACCTGTCTCCTCATGTCACTTTGAATTATTTATCCCCCTTGATTCCGAATATTCTTTGAGATGACGATGATTCCTTGAACCATCAGGACTAGAGGGTCGTATTGATTACTGCTATTTGTTTTGACGTGTCCACGCTTTACGTTCATATCATATCCAAAGTTTATTGCTGTAGTCAGAGATCTTACGTGCCCCGTTGCTATCTTTCAGAGGCGTGAGGGAGTAGCAGGACCGAGGACGAGGGCCAGCCCCCATGGCTTCTTCAACCAGTAAGTCCCATTCGAATTTGCGGAGTTGTAGTTTTTAATTATCTGGAATCGGTATTGAACTTTCTTTTTTTTGCATTGGTGTTACCGATTGCCGAGTCACTTGACTCTGGATGTTGCTGCCATGATTTGTTTTTATTTGCAATGGTTTTTCTTTGCTTACTAGAAAATCTCTCTACTCTCTTTGTTTCTCCCCGCCGAGACAATTAATTGTTTCTTGATTTAAAAAGGAAAAAAAATTCTTTTCAGTTGCTCAAGAGATAATTGGAAACTAACTGAAATTGTGGAAATTTGACTGGTTGGTGAATCAAAATGTTAAATGGCACGAGAATTTCTCTCTACTCTGTTTGGTCTCTCGAATATATGACCTGGGACTGCGGTTTATTTCTTAATGAAACTTCCTTTCTACTGGTGTTGCGATCACTGGAAACCAACGTTTCGGGAAATGACCGGTTGGAGATTCAATGTTAGATACTACACTGTGCCCCAGTCGTAGACTTTCATGCCCATCGGTTAATTGATATTGTGGCTTTTTAACAAATAAATTTTCGTTTTTTCCCTAATTACTCTCTGTTTCCTTTTCTTGATTTAAAGAATGTATCTTTACTGGACTGTTGATTTAGACTCTCGCTGGTGTTTTTGTTTTGATGCTTAATGTATCCTGCGTTTATGTTTTTCTCTTTTTTTTTGGGGGGGGGGGGGAATTTTATTGCAACTGGGGCTGGCATTGATAATCCTTCAAGGATTTTGTATGTAAGAACTATGAATCTCAACCCTTCTCATACTTTTAAGTATTTCTACACAACTCGTCTAGATTCTATATTATATATATTCATGATGACTTATGCATGACCTTGACTTGAGCTGGATGAGTTGGAATTATCTCCCTGTTTACTCTTTATGTTTCCAAATGATGATTCTTCTATGGAATGTATGCTGCTCTATGTGTAGTGAGCAAGACAATTCTTAGGAACGTCCTTCTTCTACATGCTGCCGTTCTAATTTGATCATGGTTTTTCATTTTATGGAGTTTGCCCATAAATTCTGCTCCTTTCTTTCTTTTCTTAACTCATTTGTATGAGTATCTGCCTTTCTGGATGTAACTTAGCAAATCGCTCTCTGCCTTCTTGTTAGGCATCCAGGAAGCATGGAAATGAGAGATATATTCTCATGTTTATTAAAACATATTAATTTTATTAAGACTTCATCTGATAAATATCTCAACTTGGTGTTAAAATTCTATACTCGCAGGTTTTGTACTCTTTATTTATCTATTTCTCATCGCTGGGTGCACTGCAAGGCCTCTCTATCCGCTTCCCGGTAGAGATACTGAGAAAAATAGACAGCCCCTGCAAACTTCTCGCCCATATAACATTGCACACCGAGGTTCAAATGGAGAGCTTCCGGAAGAAACTTCCCCTGCATATATGGTGAATTGACGAAATCTATCCTTTTATTGTTTACATATGTGATTTGAAATTTTACCAAAATCATGCATCCAAGATTATTTGAGATGCCCCGATTTGCTGTCCCATCAGTCATCTTTTTATGTTTGTTGATCATATACTATATGGCTTAAGGCTTTGTTTTAATCATGGAATATTGACTTTCATGCTATTTTCATTGCGTTTCTGGAAAACGGAGAGCATAGTTTTCTTTTTCCTTTTTTTTTTTGGGGGGGGGGGTGTTGTTGAGGTTTAACATGGGATGAAGGGAGTAACCCGTATGACGTTTATCTCTTAAGGAGCAAAACGACAATCAGTTGTTTAATGAATATATCTGCCTAAAATGAGTTTCGTTGCAGAGAGCTATTGAAGAAGGAGCCGACTTCATTGAAACAGATATCCTGGCTTCCAAAGATGGTGTTCTTATATGTTTCCATGATGTTACCCTTGATAATACTACTGACGTTGCAAAGCACAAAGAGTTTGCAGACCGCAAGCGGACATATGAAGTACAAGGGTTCAATGTCACTGGCTTCTTTCCTGGTATTATAGCCATTCTTTACGCAGCTTTCTTGCAAATACTGTCACTAAACGATTACTGTTATTTATAGCTTATTACGGAAATGTACGATCAAGGAATAATATCCCAAGCTCCAATGTTTTTTTAAGTGTATTTGTTCTTTATATGTAGCATCGAGAAGTTTGGATTTCCTTGAAATAACTCAATTTTCATCAAATAACTATACTGATGAAATGTGCGCAGTTGATTTCACGTTAAAGGAGTTGAAATCGTTGAGGGTGAATCAGAGGTATAAGTTCCGGGATCAACAATATAATGGTTAGTTTCTTTTTACCGCCAGAGGCTTCTCATTCTATTATGGATTTCCCCCCCTTTTGTCTTTGACTTGTCCATTTAAAAATTATAAATTATTCTGTGATCTGGGTTAATTTTACTAATACCATTATAACGAGAATTTTTTATTTACAACATAGTTTCATATCCATTAATGGCATACTACAAGGGTTCTTTAGTGAACATAAGGAAACTTTGAGCATTTTGGCATATATAATAATAGTTAACATTATCTTCTTACTTTGAATATCTTTCAGGAAAATTCCAAATCATTACTTTTGAAGAGTTCATCTCCATTGCGCTAGATGCGCCCAGAGTTGTTGGAATATATCCAGAGATAAAGAATCCAGTATTTATCAATCAACGGGTGAGTGTTTCTTTGAATGTGACCAATGAATTTATGTTCAGAGAGCTAATCTGGCTTTCGTCTAAGGGATGAATATATCAGGATCCCCTGGGGTTTTATATTGTTTATTTGCATCAGTGGTTTGCGTTGGCGCATCATGTATAATCAATAAAAGCTATCTCATATGTGTTTGAAGATAAGACTTATAACTAATAAGTTGTATTTGACGGGAAATAATGGTCTGAAATTTCCGAGGATTGCATTAATAACAAGATTGTTATTGTCCTTGGAAAACTTGACGGAAAAACTTACAATTAGTAGTTTGGCATTCAACTTTCAGAAAGTTTTTTCACATAACCTCGACCCGCTGCTTATTAAGTGGATAAAAATGACAGGTGAAATGGCCAGATAATAGAAGATTTGAAGACATATTTGTGGAGACCCTTAAGAAATATGGATACAAGGGTTCATACTTGTCAAAAGATTGGTTGAAACAACCTGCATTCATTCAGTCTTTTGCTCCAACTTCACTTGTATACATATCAAATCTGACGGACTTGCCCAAGATTTTATTAATCGATGATATCAATATCCCGACGCAGGACACTAACCAGGTATTTCATCTCCTTGGTTTAGCTCCTTGTTTAAGTCATACTAAACTTATCTTCCCTTCTGCAAACTCTAGGAATCCACTGGACTAGTCAACGAAGTTTTTTGGTATTATGCAAAAATACTGATTCAAATTATTACGAGCACAGACAACTGAAAAATAAGCTTTTACAAAGAGAAAAACGAAATGTAGTTGGTCTGCTATACAACTGTGCCACAGTTTTGAAATAATGAAGAAGCCATAGGTGTTCGCGTTGCTTCAGCTTCATGTAATAGTCTCAGCTCTGACATGACAGCTAGTTAGCGATGAGATTTAGGATGTACTCAGTGGTTAAAATCTTCTGATGTTTTCAAGCAATACGTGTTGTCCTGACATATTTACAAAAGAAGGCTGATGTTTTGAACAAGTTCTGATATATTTTTTTAATTCTTTGCAATCACCATATTTGATTTAACATGTTTGTGTCTTAAAATTGTGGGTTCAGTTAAGCGAGTTTTTGGTAATAGGTTGAAGTTAAAATGTAGGAATGACATAATGTATATAAATTCAGACTTCGTCCAAAAAATCAATTCAATGTTCACTTTTTTTTTCGCCTCGCTATTCATAAAACTACCGCTCAGTCTGTGTTGGACAAAGGTTAGCCATAGGAGATTTACTAAACCTGTTGCATGATTATATATTCATTCTTGCTCCCTTGATTTTATCGCAGTAGTGAATACTATTATATCTCCATTTTATGTTGCGGCTTATTGATTTTAGAAGATAATTTAACAAAATACTACCCTATTGACTATATGCAGTCATATTGGGAGATCACATCTGATAAATACTTCGACTATATAAAGCAATATGTTGTGGGAATTGGACCTTGGAAAGATACAGTGGTTCCTGCTAAAGGGAATTATTTGCAAACGCCTACTGATCTAGTCGCCAGGGCACATGCCCATGACCTGCAGGTATTCTTTTTGTTGAAAGCTTGAATTCTCGGTGCTCAATGGAAGTATTAACACATAAAAAGATTTAAATTTTGAGATCTCAAATTTAGTGATGAGCATACAGTGCTCATGGATGTGATAACCATCAAATTCGAACTCACTGGTATCTTGCCTTGTTGGCACTTAGAAGGTTCTTCAGCTATTAGATTTTCTTTTTCTGGCTTCGTAACTTCTTCACTCGATCTAATAGTTTGAGTCTCAATGCTCTTGGGGCAAAAGTCATGACAAAAATGATACTAGGTTGACTTTAACTTTACTGATTTAATCATTTATTCATATAGTTTTATAGGTGTGTTTTGAGGGCCTTGCATATTTCTTTGAAGCCGTTATCAGCTTCAATTTTGTAACTGTTATTTCCTGTAAGTAATTTTGGAGCTATGTCTATTTTCAACACTGCAGGTGCATCCATATACTTACCGAAATGAGAACCTGTTTTTGCATTTCAACTTCCATCAAGACCCATATGCGGAGTATGATTACTGGATCAACACCATAGGAATCGATGGTCTCTTCACAGACTTCGCAGGTAGCTTTCACAACTTTCAGGAATGGACCTCTTCAGCTGGCAGTGATGACAAAACTGCATCAAAGTTGCTGCATAAAATTGCATTGTTGGTCTCGCCATATACAAAGGTATAATTTGGGAGCAGAAGACCACGTGCATCAATCTCAGTGAGACAGCAGCAAATTTATTTGTTTATAAGCAATAATGTTAAAGGATTTTCTCATGTTATTATTTAGGATTTAGGAGCTCTTCTTCATGGATCAGAAGAGATATCTTATGAAAGAAGCTATGCTGTTATTCTGTCTGCGCTATTTATGAAATATGAAAGCCGGAAAATACCAAGAACGGAAGTTCGAAGCCCCTATCTGCTGAAACTACCAGCTAAACTAATGCAGCTGACAGGTTTTCCCCCATAATACAGACAGGGCACAAGGCTCAAGGAAAATAGGACTGAGCTAAAATCATCAAGATAGAAAGGATTATATTACATCCAACAGAAAATTGAACTAGGGAAGAAGTACAATCCTAGATTTGATGACCCAGCGAGAGTTAAATTATGGGTAGCTAGCTATTTATTTCAGGGTAAGACGTGTGAGATTCTAACTTCCCAATTCTTGATCAAGCCAACTCAGATAAGTTTTACTAGCTAAGTACAAATACCACACATTTACTCACCGATTGCCTAACCTCTTCTGACCCATCACCTATGTGCCTCTCTCACACCTCTCAAAACACACTTTTCGCGTCCCATTTTTTGACTCCAAGATGGAGTTACACGTCTCCAGACTTCAGTGGCAATATTAAATTCCGTCGCATCTCATGCGTAGAAATTCATTAATGATGCTGGATTGGCGAGTGAAAACGGGAAAGTATGTGAAGCTGGGGAGAAATGGAAGAAATCTTTGGTCGATATATGGAATGAAGTGAATGAACTATTATGCTTCGCTAATTTTTTGATAATTGAGCTTCATCGGCTGAATAATCAATATGAAATTGGAAAGAAACAAATCTTTTGATCATCAAGGTTCAATGTACTGTAATTTGAAGGGAGGATCCAAGTTATTTTCAACCTCTAGCCAGCATGCGGTAATTGTGACGAGGGATTATCCAATGTACAAGTGACATTGGCGTTAGGTTAACATCTCTTGCATAAAATGAAACACAACGCAAAACCAGATGGATAGTTAAAACTCCTATTACCATCCTTACCATGCCAGGGCTAATCTTCTTGTCAGCACAATTCTTCAGCATCCTTAAGAAGATCCAGCATCCAAGGTTGTAATAAAAACTTATCATTATATAGGATTCGACATATGCGGATTTACATCGAAGCTCATCTACTACGTTCTCGGCGTCAATATCAGCAAAGTATAAATCACCTAAGGGCTTGATATATATTACAAGCAAAAATGAGAGTCAACGGCTTCAAACAAAGATGAGCCGAGGAAGTAGGAACTATAATTAGCATGTGCATCCTATTGAGAAACTCTCATTTTCGATATCTCTTCCAAGAGAAATCTCGACTCGGCAGCAAAGTCCATCGGAACAACTGCCCGGGCTGTTATCCTCTGTCTTTTCTCATTATTATACTCATTTTGAGAGACACTGACCCGGAAAAGATAAGGAGTCCATGTTGCTTGTTTCAGTTTCAGCTGATATGGATTATCTTCCCCCTCCTGACATCACAAGGTAAAATTATTTAGGAAGATAAATTAGATGACCATGTGCATCATGTGGTGATCCCAATAATCTATGTTGATGATTACCTGCGACTTTAGGCTATCAAGTTCTTCAGCAGAGCACCCAATAATCTTCTCAGCTTCTTCGTTGAAGACTGAGACAAAGGCTTCCCCACTTCTATCAGCAACTCTTACAACCATAATGTATCTGAAAAGGAAATGAAATGAAACCTTGCAGACTTGCGGCAAAGTATATTATAGTAACGTCACCCTCGCCCCCTCCTCCATACAATTTAAAAAAAAATGAAAAAAGGATCCTATTTGTAAACGGATGGCTTGTTACCTTAAACTGCACTCTTCATAATTTTTTTGGCAGCCTTCACACCAATACCCAGCGCCAATGGATTCGGTGACTTTCTTGTTGCATGTTTTACAAGCTCGGTACCACATCGTCTGGTCAGGCTTGATATAGCTTATATGTGCCCTAATACTGAAAAATGAAGGCTGCCAAAAGCAACAAAATAGATTATGGATTAACTTCATGATTAAATGATTCCATCTACCCGTTGGCCAAAAAAAAAAAAAATCCATGTACCCTACTGGATTTTGTAAACCACTTGTATGAACAGTTTCAATGAACAATTGTTTCAAATAATAACCAGGTGGGAAAATATAGGGAAAATCACATAAGAAGAAGTTAGAAATTGCAATATTCCAATTCAAGTTATAGCATTTATCATTGCTAATTTACAACTTATTGATAAATAATAACATGTTATTATTAGTATATTTTTTGTCATTTACTATTTAACATTTATTATTATCAATTTGTAACTTGTCCATAAATTTTTTGATACAACGACATTTTTATCATTTTATAAAATTTGCAAAATATCATATCAGATATCACTTCCTTTCCTAAGATTTTGACTTTCATGCCTGAATTAAAATATTGCAATCTTCAACTTTTTTTAATGCCGTTTTCCCAAAAATATAAGCATTTCAAACCCTCTGCAAAATTTTTGACTCTGCATGGAAAATAGTAATATTTTTTTGGTGATAGGAAAATATTAAGATTTTCACACTATAAAAAAGGCAAAAAAATAAGTCAAAACAATTGGATGAATTGGAAGATTAGGAAATACACCACTTGCGACAAGGAGCAGAAAATAGTACCTTGTCCTCCCCTAAGGATGGGTTTGACGTAATATGAGAAAGTGAAACACGGTCTGAATACACTGATCTCACTCCATTCATGGATGCTGAACTCGTGCCAGAGCTTATGGACGCCAGTGATACATCTTTGCCTTCAGATTCGTACCTGTTACAAAAGCATAATCAAGATGATGCAACACATACTCACACACCCTTGAACTAATGCAAACTGAAATGATTTAAGTGAAGAGGATAGAAAAACAGAGTGAATATGGGAGAGAGGGCGAAGCAGAGCAGAGGGAAATGGGGGGAAAGCATAGAGAGAAATAAGGGAGATGGTAGACGCAGAGAGAGGGAGAGATATCACATGGTAATTATCATTCATCCAAAGTTTGCCTTTTACAAATGACAGCAAAGTATTTATAGAAGGAGATTTCCTCCTCATGAAGTAAGCCACTTTTCCTTCCTATGAAACAAGCTACTAAAGTAACAAGCAGTAAATGTTGACTTTCAAAAAGCTGTAACAAGATAATCTGAAATTACAAAAAGCTGTAACAAGATAACCTGAAGTTTCTTTCGAAAACTAAATATAAGATAGAAAATTCAAAAGCAAAATCATTTTCTAGAATAAAATCTTCCATATTTCCTATCACAAGATTACCACAAGAGCATCACAAGAAAATAAAAATCTGATCTTGAACTATGGGATACCAGCATCTAAGCTTCTTTGCTTCAGGTATGTCTGGATTTACCAGCACTAGACTTTTGCTTATAGTTGACAAGGAAACACCTGAAATAGAAGATATACAAGCATTGTTACAAACCAATTCTCTTGCTTTCCTGCTATTCTTAAAATATAAAAGCTTAAGCTTTACATACCTTGAAAGTCCCCAACCTTGAGTGATTTGATTGCTACTACAGGAGAATTACCAGCAAGGTCCAACAATTCTTGCCCGACATGAGTCGCATTCTCATTCCACAAAGACACAACTACTGTTTTCTTCCTGTGTTGGCAATTTGTTATATTTAATTTTTTTAGTATAACAGGAAAAACACAATTGCTAACACGTGAGACATGGTCTATACTCACGTCTCATCAGCAATAGTAATATCACGCTTCGGGACAGTTTCATTGCTGCTCTTCCTGCGTATGCTCATTGTAGGAGACACATTTTGAACAATTCCAATGACATCTGAAATCCATAAACGTCAGATATTTAACCCAAAAAAATAAAAAACCAAGAAGAAGCTACGGTGCGAGTTGTGGCTGTGCTATGGCTGGAAAAATACTTACCGACAAGTTCATTTCTGTTGACATACGGACCCAGCTGATCAATCGGGACAAACTTGAACCTTGTTTCTGGAACAAAGCTTTCTTCATTGGGTGCCTCTTCCACTTCAGAGTTCTCATTCAGTGTCATTTCATAATCATTTTGAACGGTTTTGAACTGCTTGTTAGCAACTTTTAAAGTGCCCTTTGAAATGTAGTAAACCTTCCCCAACACAAATTTTTCATAGAATTTCCTTGCAGCTTCATTAAACATTGTTGCTTGAATTTGAGTACCCTGAAGAATTAATATTCAAATTCCAGTATTAACACTTAATTTCGAACAATAACTGCAAAATTTAAAACAATAGAAACGATCCTTACATCTTCATCTGTCAGTTCCACGTTAAAGACACAACCTTCCCCTCTTGCATTCGTATAAGTGCGCATGATTCCTTTGTTTGTAACCCGAACTTTTATTGTCCAGTTACCCTGATAAGGGTTTAAGGAAACCAGAGGACGCACTCTGCGAGTCATGGCCATTCGAGCAGCAGGGACCATACTGGAAAACCACAAGAATTTTGATTATATTTCCCAATAACCGGAGATTCTTTTAACCCGAAAACATAGGGCCTAAAATGTCATCACGCATTGGATGAAAAAAGAATACTTACTTTCCGTGTTGTTCATGTACGATCTGGGCAGCAGATTTGGCCACGATGTCTTGCTTTGGTTTCAAAAGAAGGCCTGCTACTTCAGTTTTTACCTGACTTTTCATTACGTCCTCTTGCCCTCGTTTCGGAATAATGCCAGTTTTCTCGCTCTTTACCTCATGCTTTATTTCCATTTCAAGTGCAGGGGAGACTGGTTCACATTTTGTCACAATAAGATACCTGAAAAGAAAAACTCGGTCAACTACAAATATAGCTGATATCTTCCTTTGGTTGCTCGATGCATTGACTTATGCTTACTTCTCTGACTTATTTGGGATGTCGTTAAGAGTGTAGTCGATGATGCGAATAAGACCCAGATTCTGAATATTCCCTGAGAGTACCAGGGGATTCTGACTTGAGGGTAGGATTGCTCTTAATTTCAATCTCCCATCGCTTGCAGTAAACCTGTAACAATTGCCAAACTACAAAGTTTAAATATTATTTAGAGGGAAATGGTAAATAACGGGTTGTTGGCAGGAAATTAGACACAATTTAAGCTCAACGACAAGGACATGAGAATCTAAGGCACAGACCTGCAACCCAGATAGAAACCGAAAACAGATCTAACTTAAGAGATAAATAAATAAAGATAAGATATGAAGCACTATAAACCAGGATGGCGGTATTTTAGGCACCGGAGTTGACAAAAGCGAAAACCAAATATATTTTTGATAGATGTAATTCGTAAAACGAGATTAAAATCGGAGGAAGACGAAGTGGTGATCTTTATCATTCGTTTGTCAGAAAGAAAAGACACAACCCAATCAAAACTTCGCATTACGATTACAGCCAACAATAATGAAAGCATATAAAAAAGATTAGGAAAGCGGAAGACGCACATATATCTGTTGCCGCTTTGCTTGAGATCCAGGACTTGGACGACGATCTCGGGAAGCTCCGATGAAGAATCCGGAGACGGATTCGCAAACAAGATCGAAATCGCATCCTGTGTCACTAACTTTGACATTTTCTCCCTCTATGTCTACCTGGGATTCTTAGCCTGTTCAGGGTATCAGGTCAATGAACGAACAAAATACTGATCAGTGAACGAATTTACTCTTGGAGGGCCAATAGTTGAGGCGGGAAATGGTTTTGAAATGTCATTTCATTTTCCCGCGGCGATTTGAGCACTTTGGGTCATAACATGCTATGTTTTCGAAGGCGATGTCCGCGGTGGATTTTTTAAAATGATTGCCAATTGCCCGGTACTGAGGACATGGCAGCCATGTCAGTGATGAAGTGGCAGGATTTGTTTCAATAGTTGCCACGTCTGCAATTAATATCCACATCAGCCTCTTTTTTTTTTAAACAGTGCTAGGCCATACCTTCAAAGACTAAAAAGGTGATGAAAACAAAAACATAATTTTAGAAGTGATTTTACAATTTACGAAGTAAATATATAAAAATTTATTTCGATTTTTAAAAAAATACTTTTAAAAAGTATTTATGAACTCATCCAAACACCTTCTAAATATCAAACATTTGACAGTGTATAGAATATCTCTGAAATGATTGAAAATTATGGAATGACTTTTTTTTAATAAATTTATATTAGGGTTGTTTTTCATCTTAAAAATTAGGCTTTGTGTTGTTTTAAAAACTCTTAAACTTAACATAAGACTATGCATAGAATTAGATGATCTATTTTTTATAAACTCCGATTCTAAATATAAATTTAGTTTGTAAATTTATGACTAGACATTGTATTACTTTTTTTTTTCAATAATCTAATAGATAAGACTAGCTTTTTAGGTTTTGTGTTGTTTTTTCCCCTTACTTTATGCGCAATCTTTGTGCAATTATTATACGTACAACACAAAGGTAGTATCAGAACTAGTATGCTTAAATATTAGAAACAAGGAAAATCCTAATTAAATCTTGCTGAAATACTTAAATTTAAATTGAGGCCTACACTTTTAACAAATTCTTAATAAAGACATAAGACCTAATTAGGAATTGTTGAATATTGTTAAATAACTATAATGCCCCTCTTTAGTTAAAAATGAAAATTGATTATTTTATCCCTCTAGAGTGGTTCATCATCTCTTATTATTAATATTTAGAGAAAAAATATAAATAATTTTTTAGTGTTTGAAATTTTGTAATATAACTAAAATCTTCAAAATATTTTCATAAAACATTTCAAATTATAATATAAGTAATCTTTAAATAAATATTTTTTTAGGTTGTAAATATTTATTTTAAAATTTTAAAATATTTTAATTATAATAAAAATTTAATATTAAATCGTAATCATTTACATTTTCAGTTGGATCTAACATTGTTTAAATAAATAAAACTAACGTAAATTATAAAAACTGAAAATAAAAAAAAATTATTTAAACTTTACTTATATTTATAATTTTACTTATATTTGTAATTTAACATGTTTTATTAAAATATTTTTAATAGTATAAGTTATATATACAAATTTCAAACATCATAAAATTACTTATATGTTTTTTGGTCTAAAAAAATCATAAGAGATGAGGAATTACTTAGAAGAGGTATATTAATCAAATTTTCTTTTTAATTGAAGAAAGTCATTCTCGTTATTTAATAACATTTAGAAATCCCTAATTAGATCTCATGGCCTAATTAGAAATTTGCTAAAAGTACAGGCTAAATCTGAATTTAGGTATTTCGGTTGGATTTAATTGGGATTCTCCCTAGAAGCAATTAATAAATATTGAAACATATAATATTTTAAAATATTATTTTTTTTCTCCTGTTTCGCTAGAAAGCAACGCAAAATTAGCCCAATCAAGGAAACACAAATTAATGCTTGTTATGTTGTTATTCTGTTGTTCGGATCACTTTCAGCCCTTAAAAATAAAAGGAACCGGCAAATTAATCATAGAAGCGAAGAAGATGGCATTAAACATTGAAAATCGCATAAACGGAACTTCTCTAACTAATAAAATTGCTACCCCCCCCCCCCCCCAAAAAAAAAAACTAACGAAATTGCTTATCGGCGCGCGCGCGCACATAAACGAGTCATGTATATTTTTTTCACATTATGTTTCCACACAGCAGATTCTACGATAAGCAAAAAAGATCAAATAAATGTATAATACTTTCCTTTTGTGGGCCCTTTTTTTTTTTTTATATATTATACTCTTTCAATCCTAAATATAAGACTCTTATATTAGTATATATAAGGGTTTTATATTTAGGACCGGAGGAGTATATTCATAATTAACCAACTAACAAATGAAGCATCACATTCTATTCGAAAATATTTAGTAAAAAAATCAACTACCAACTGCTTATACAAGTTCTCAAATTTTATTTGTCACAGTTTTAAAAATTATAAAATCATTCAAAATAAAAACTTAACACGGGGACAAAACATTGCATACACTTTATAGAATAGAATAATGATTTGGCATAATATCATGTCATGCCGGTGAGAAATTTGCTTCTAAAGATGAAAGTGAGCATAGGATCATTTATGGATCTCTTCCATCAGTAGAAGGACAAACCGAAGGAAGAAGGATACAAAATTTCTTTATCACTAGTCACTATTGACATTTCATTTGGTCAAAGGCAAGTTGAAAGCTAAGCAGATGTGGCTTCAAATTTTTTAGTGCATCATAGGCGTTAAAGTTCTCGTGGAAATCAAGGACAGGTAGCTTCTGTAGATTAAATTGCTTACACTGCTCACATATGCCAAAATGCTAACATCGTACAAACAGACTAACCCCATTCGCGCCATGTTAGTCACAATATTGTCTGTGACTTGTCCGCTACGATACGAAGTAAAACACAAACATGAATGGGAAAAAGGGGTGAAAAAGTGTTAAGCCTAAATAACTAGGGCTACATGTTCCTTTGTTTTGCGCCAATGCATGCTTGATGCTGGCCTGTTAATTTGTTATAATCCAAGAAGAGAGTTCACATTCCCAATCAGATCACAAACCGCTTGGAACCGGTCTTCAACGACAGAAAGTACAGCATGCAAAGCAAGATAACCATCTCTTGTTAGAAGCTTTTGGAGCCGAATTAATAGCCTCAGCCCCATTTGTTGATCCTTCAGGGCTCTGTTGCTTTTGCTTCGTCTCTTCATCATGCCTGGATGAGCCATGCTTTCTTTGACTTCCATCCCCTTTCAATCTTCACACAACAAAAGCAGTTAGACTGTTTACTCAACATGACAATATCAATGTGTATCAAATTGACTTGCAAAAGGTTGAATAGAGCTTCAATTGTTACCGGGGAGCATTCCCTTGTCTCTAGTGAGCTCATCGAATTTAAATACCCAGATAAGATTTTCATTCGTAAATAGTTCTGTTTGAATCTATTAAATGAAAATCTTGGATAGGAAGTAATATAGATCCTCAATAATTACTCACATCTGAATAATAATAAATAATAAGAGTAGTGGCCAGTGCTTACGGTTTAAATGAAAAAGATCTTGCGCTCACATCTGAATGGCCAGACTTGTCAATAGGATTACAAAGCACTTTGGCGCGGGGAGTTTCATCCTCAATTGACAGCTCCTCTCTGTCATTTTTCTGCGTGTTTTCCATTATAACCTCTCTCATTGTCTCAGCAGCTTTTGCTTCCGTTACTCCAGAACCTTGATCTTGCTCAGCAGTTCTTTGGCTCATATCATTAAATTTATTGCCTGGCAGCTGATTACTTTGGAATGAATTAGGCGGACCAGCCATCATCATGTCGCCATACTTCTCCAGCTCCCCAGATTTAAACCAATATACTTCTTTAGTGAAACTCATTGTTCCTGTATGGATGCTGAACAATGACTCATTAGAGGCAATACTCCATTCTGGGGGATTTCCATTGGTGCTATTAAAGACGCGGGAAGGAATCTTATACAAGGCACCGGGAACAGCATCCTCTGTACGCTCCATTACTTGCAAAGGAGGATTTTGTACTTCTGGATATTGGTTTGCGCCTGATTCACAGTTCTGAGCAGGATTAACTAATGGTGAGTTTGCACCACCAGCTTTATCAATAACAGCAACAGGGTCTGTCCTCAAACTGCTACATGACATGCTTTCTTGTTCTTGTTCTACACCTGAAAAAAAAAAAGGATGAAATTTAATATTTTGGGGGACAGTTGCCCCTGTATGGGTCATGATCAGCCATTAGACTTGGAAAGATTCCAACGCAGCTAAGTGATGAAACTGAAGAGGGGCCTAAATATTGGATTGAAGAGGAAAAATTAGTCTCACCATTTGTGTTACGAGTATGTGTTGTCACATCAGAGCTGTTCAATTCATTTCCATGATCATGCTTTTCCTCAACTTTTTGAGCAATATCAGCAGGTCCCATATTGTTCGTGTTTGGCGGCACTCGGGAGGGATCTTCGGGTAGATGTGTGCTTCTTAAATCACCACTAGACATGCCCCCAAGTCCTTTTTGCATACCAGATAATGCCAATGCGATTCAAGCTCTGAAGCCCTTGGATCACGAACTTTTTCTAGGTAAGTTTCTAATCTGGAAGTGATATTGTGATGGAGATGATAGGCCTACCTTATTTGATGTGTTAAATTGTTTGCATTCACCTAAACCTGCGGCACGACCAGTTCTCAAATCAGCACCAGATCCAGTACAAGGTACAATTCTATCAGGCAACAAAGCCAAGTAGGCTGTAAAAAGTGGAATTGAATGTCGTGTATACATAAATGCTTATAGCTTAAAACATCATGGTTTGCAAAGTTCTAATGCACAAAGGCCGTACATAAATTTGTTCCAAATCAACTTACTTATCCATCAATTGGAATTGGAGGTCGGTGTACACGCCTCACAACTAACCAGAAAAAACAGAAAGAGGTAAACAAACGAATGAGCATTTTTTTATTTGTCTATCTCTTCTGAGCCATTGCTATCTTATTTGAGACCTCAAGAGCAACAAGTTTGAACCCCAGTGCCCGACACAGTTATGCAATGCAAAGTCTCCTAGCAACTAAATACTGCATATAATGATTATTGGCGAGTAAAAGCTAGGCCAAATCAAACATTGAGACCTTACCCTTTTACGCTTCAGCTTACAAATACAAAAGGAAAATACATTCCCTTAAAGTCCATTCAAATACATTCCAAGATGGATATCTTAGACGGAAGGGAACCCAAGAGACAAACAACTTGACGTCGGAAATTGACACAGTTTCACCCGCACGATCCTAGAAGAGAAACTGGGAATCAAGATGGGAATGGGAAAAAAAAATAAAATGATCAGAGGAAGCGACAGACAGAAATTGGGGGAAAACAAGAACGAAACAAGAATTTTGAGGTGTTTGGACAAGTTTAGGCATTTCCTTCTCTCATACTTCCTGGAGTAACGAACTTCAGTTGCTTCGCGCGCCATCCCCCTAACGAGCCTCTTCCTCATTGTCATTTCGACGCGGCAAAACGATCTTGGTTCTTAATTTAATTCTCCCTGGCAAAATATGAGCTGTGAGGTTTATTTGTCATTTATGCTCTGGTTATTTCTTACTAATTAAATTATGTGCTCACTCTCGTCCGTAATAAGACTTAGTTGGAAAAAAATAGAATTTGATTTAGGAGGTGTCTGGATAGAAACTAAACTATGATTTTAAAAACACTTTTACGGTGTACGAAGTAATATGTGAAAGAAATTATCTCATTTTATGATGGTGCTTCCAAACACTCCCTTAGCCTAAATATAAAGTTTTAATTTACTTTTATTATCTTTCTCCAGATAAATTTATTTAACTTATAAATTAATATATAATTTAATATTATATGTATAGATATTTTAAGAAGATCATGTCATATTATTATAATCAATTAATTTGACTTTATTAACTTATTTAAATTAGTTAAATAACCCGTGCCAACTTTCAAAGACTCCAAAATTAGAGCAGACAACTGCAACTGGAACGACATTTTGTGATTAACAGGCAAAAAAAGGGCAACTGCAACGAAAATTTAAATTTCACTTTAATTTTCGTATGATTATACTGAAAAAAAGGCAAAACAGTTCGAATAGTTGCAATTAACTAATTAATTAATTATATTTAACTTTCGGTATTATTAGTCGAGATTTCAATTATTTATACATTTTTAACAATTACATGAACCATTCTTCTGCCTCCTTACATCCGAAAAATTCAAACAATGAAGAATTGCAACTGAGAAATTTTAAAAGATAAAATCATTTGGGGAAATATGAACGTGATTTTGTCTCAAATAAATAAAAATATTTCGATTAATTTGGTTAGAAAGTTCTGAGTTAAACTTCTTTATAATTGTGATTTTTTTAATTTGTTTAGAAAGCGAATTAAATCCTCCAAAATTTCAAGCTTGTAAAGTGTTTCTATGATAAAATGAAAGAAAAGATTGGTAAACATAGAATAAATGAGCCGCGTGCACATTTAAAATTATTACACGAGTCTTGTATTAATTTTCTCTCATCACTTGTTAGCAAATGATGAAAGAAGATAGAACAGTAAACATAGCTAAATTTCTTTATTTAAAAAACCCTCGCATCCGAGAAGATAAAATCCAATGAAGATATATCATAGAGAGTTTCTTCTCAGAACCTGTTCTCGCTTCACAAGGCTTCCTGCTTCGGCCATGCAATATCCAATCCAATGTTCACTAAATAAACTCACAAACCATTCGGTGAAGAACCAGAACGAAGATAAAACAGAAATCTAAACATATCAATTATGAAAAAGGGTCTCACATCAATGATCAGGAAGAAACACACATGTAGACTGCAGAAGTTAAAAACACCAAAATAATAAACTAAGATAAAACCCGCATAACCTGATTATCCTAGATTGTTGATTATCCTAATCTACCAACAACAATCCATGCTGATAATCATGACAAAACTCATTAAAATGCTCTACAATTTTGTTGACTAATAAATGTACTTATCATTATAAATTCCTACTAATATTCTATACTATATCCTGATAATCTCACTCCCCATCACAACTATAACTACCCGTCGTTTACCCCCATATTTCCTCATCTTGCACAAAGTTATAGCCATTTCAACAAAATTCCATGCTCCTTCATAGTTCATAACTTCACATGTCATGCTTCAGTGTCAGCAATTACTTTCCCTTTGGAGGTTAACTAAATTAAATCAACTGCTACAATAATATATACTGAATTCATTAGCATCTTCCCGGCTTCTAAGAAAACTGAAAATACAGCATATAGTCATAGATCTTAAACATGCTGTCCCTTGGTATTTTCTAGTCACCAATGACAGATTTGTCAAAAGATTGTAGAAGTTTTGTAATTAACTGGTTAGATGCAAGACATAGATCTGAAGTGGTGATACTATTCATGGTTTAACAGTCCTATAACAATATATGGGATCTGATCAGGGACAATGAATCGCAGGCAAGTACCAAACTCAGGAAATATGATTTCCAACTTAGAACATCAGGAAGTTCAAGGAACATTGCAAAACAAATGGTTCAAGCAAGAACCTGGTCAAGAAATAAAAGGATATTCCCAGCATGATTGAGAAAGGAAGAGCTGGTAAGGCTTTCTGATATAATGCTAATAGCATCAAAGTGATGCCCAGTCCAGCAACGATAGCAAGATAACATGCATAAACTGCCATATAGTCATACATCGCTGCCCTGCCAACCAATACACTGTAGAAAATGAAATCTCCTAACCCCAGCTTGACTGCTCCAGAAGAACCCAATCCAATCCCCTCTGGCATCAAGCTTTGACTTGCCACTGCATCTTCTCCTCTGTGGAGCTGGACATTCATTTCACGATCAATCAAGGGTGCAGAGAGCTCTGAATCGGTCTCCAAAACCCGTCCCTCTTCTGCTCTCACCAAATTTCTGTCATTATGGATGCTAGTAGAAGGACTTGAATTTGAAACAGCATTTTCCCTGACCAAATTTGTGTCTTCTTGGGTGCCATCTGAAGTATTACTAACCAAATCTCGGTTAACAGCATTCCTTGTACCTAGATTGGAGTTTGATTCATTATTTTGGGTTTCACCCTGCACAGAATTGACACTTGGATTGGAATCAGTTGGTGGAATTGAATTATCAACCCTCCTATCTCTCCACATCCTCCTCTGAGTTACATCACCCCTTGGATTCACCTCGTCGTAGTTCACTGGCCTAGCCTCATAAACCAGTGCAGGAATTTCTTCATCTCTTGAGATTGCCAGTTCCACCAAAAGCCTTAATGGTCCAACCGGTAGTAAAACAGCAGCAAGATCATACAATGCCATGGCAACCAGAAGCACCCAGGTGGTCCATTCAGGTAACATGGTGAACCAATAAGCAACCAGCATTCCGATAAGAATCAAGTATCCTTGAGTCACAACAATTGCCATTTTGGACATAAAGACAGCCAATACACCAACAACAGCAAAATTAAACAAAGCCAGGAAAAAGGTTATGCAATCAATAGGGATACTGAAATCTTCAATAAAGAGTAGTGCAATTTCACCACCCAAGAATCCCAAAACAACAAAAGAAGAGAACCCCATATATAGTTTCAAGAATCTGGTGCATCTAAGATAGAAGAGAAGGACCAAAACAAAAGTTGCAACAGTGACAACGGCTACAAATGCCAAAGAGCTCAAAAGGGCACCTACAAATTTGTCCCAGAAAGAGTCTGAACCGGTCTCACTGTATGCAATGGTGGCTACACTGGAGATTGATGCTGAAGAAGAGTTGGTACTGGTATTAAGGACTGAGACCAAGAGGACGACCAAAAGCATACAGATTGATACTGGTGCGATGATTCTCACTATTTCTTCCCCCAGAAAATCGATGACGCTTGCGCGTCTCTGGTTCTGGGCCATTGAAGAGCTGAAAGATGAAAAAGATTCAACTATTCAAGCTTTCTGTGAGTCAGCGGGCGCCCTGGCTGTAGGGTGTTAGGCATTTCAATGATTTTCAGCCATCCACTTTGTTTCGGAAGCCCGTCGAACGGTTGGTGCCCTCATGACAACGCGGACCCAGTCCAAGAAAAAGGGGACGCACGTGTGTTTAATACTTAAACCTTTTTTTGGGGGGCAAAAAAAAAATCAAATGAAATCCTTGTTTTTACCTGGGTTTTATTTTTATTTTACAAATTTCTATCTCGTTGTGCGGGGGTGAAAAACAGACGGAATGAATGTGAAATTTATGTAATTAAATATTTTTATTACCCATCACGTACTGCTTTTTTGTTTTTCCTGCAAAATGATATAAAGTTTTGGAACTAAAGCTTCATCTGTATTCTGTTTTAAGATCAATGTTGAAACTGCACACTAATGTATTTTAAGTTCAGATGAATATTAAATAAAAAAATCCGTATAAATGTTTATGTATAACTTTTTTCTTTCACTTCATAAATTTTCACAAAATATTTATAAAAATATGTTTTAAGTTACAAATATTTATAATCAGATGTTGCAATGTGCGCTTATAATGGGGTCTCGGATAAGATATTCACATGGCTTGAAAATTAGGTGAAACATGAAATCTGAAAATTTGACCTGTATCTTTTTTTTGGTTGCAAATTTTAATGAATTGGGCACCTACTACCAGATATACAAAATACAAATATTGGGCTCACCTCATTTATTGGGCCCAAAATTTATGCTCTTCAACTACATGAGGCCTGATACTAGACATACAAACTTTGCAAAATTGGGCTCTCTCATACACTGGGCCCAAAAAACTTAATTCTCAACAAACCTAAAACCTAAAATACAGAAACCCTGCTTCCTTGCTCGGTTGCTCTGTGTGATACTACCTCCTTCGCCATCCTTTTGCTTCCCCCTCCCCTTGCAGCCATGGCCGCAGCTGCTCGACCCCTTGTCACGGTCCAAACCCTTGAAGCCGATATGGCTACCGATTCCCCCCAAGCCATTCCCCTCCCAGACGTCATGAAATCTTCGATCCGACCCGACATTGTCACCTTCGTTCACTCCAACATTTCCAGGAACAGCCGCCAGCCCTACGCCGTCAGTAGGCGCGCTGGTCACCAGACCTCCGCCGAATCATGGGGTACCGGTCGTGCCGTGTCTCGTATCCCACGTGTTCCTGGTGGCGGTACCCATCGTGCTGGTCAGGCTGCCTTCGGCAACATGTGCCGTGGTGGCCGCATGTTCGCTCCGACTAAGATTTGGCGCCGCTGGCACCGGAGGGTTAATGTGACTCAGAAGCGGCACGCCGTTGTTTCAGCCATTGCTGCATCGGCAGTTACATCTCTGGTTTTGGCTCGCGGTCATAGGATTGAGTCAGTGCCGGAAATGCCTCTCGTTGTGAGTGATTCTGCCGAGGGTGTTGAGAAGACGAAGGATGCGATCAAAGTTTTGAAGCAGATCGGCGCATTTCCTGATGCTCAGAAGGCGAAGGATAGTCACGCAATCAGGCCTGGTAAAGGTAAGATGAGGAATCGTCGGTATATCTCTCGCAAGGGTCCTCTGATTGTATATGGAACAGAAGGAGCTAAAGCAGTTAAGGCATTCAGGAACATTCCTGGTGTCGAGGTTGCGAATGTGGAGAGACTGAATCTGCTTAAGCTAGCACCTGGTGGTCATCTTGGGAGGTTCGTTATTTGGACCAAATCCGCGTTTGAGAAGCTGGATTCTATATATGGATCATTCGAAAAACCATCAGAGAAGAAGAAGGGTTACCTGCTACCGAGAGCCAAGATGGTCAATTCTGATTTGGCTAGGATTATTAACTCTGATGAGATTCAGTCGGTTGTGAGGCCGATCAGAAAGGAAGTCAAGAGAGCACCATTGAAGAAGAACCCACTTAAGAATCTGAATGCCATGTTGAAGCTGAATCCATATGCCAAAACGGCCAAGAGGATGGCTCTTTTGGCTGAAGCTCAGCGTGTTAAAGCTAAGCAAGAGAAGCTTGACAAGAAGAGGAAGTCCCTCCCTAAGGTACGCCGGCCCGCCTTTTAATTCCCCTTTTTTTGTGTATGATTAACATATAATGCTGAATTGATTATTGGATTCCTAGATCGTTATCAGTCTAAATGAACATCTGAGTCCTTAAATGTCTCTCCGCAATAATTAGAAGATCATTGCAATTGGCTCGTCTTCCTAGTGAAAGTGAGAAGTTATCATAGGAATGCATTCATGAGCCTGTTTACAACTTAACATGTGTCAAACGCAGTTCTAATTCCATACGGACATGTTAGATTGTGTTATATTCTTGTGTTTGTGTTAGCTTACTTGCTTCTCAGGTGTAAACAATCTGCCAAGGTTATTGATGTTATCATTTTCCATGTCTATTCAGTCTTTCCTATGATGCTGTCATAGGAAAGCTGTTGCTAGCTGCTACACTGGTTGGTCTCAGATATGTTTTTCTCCTTATAAGAATTACAGTGAATAAAAGCCCACAGAAGACATCTAGGCAGATGAGTTCCTTTGTGACACAGGCAACTCACTAAATGAGTAAATATTAACAGATGGAGAAGTTGAATGGTAGGCTTTATTAATTAAAATTGTACAATAGAGAGATGTAATGCATGCTGACTCTTCTAAATCAATTCATGGTGGTATTTCTTTTGGTACCTTAAACTCTACTTGTCAATCACAAACCCAGTAGTTAGTTAGTTAGTTATGCGTGTCGGATTTTCCGAACCAATTTATGATGGTATTTTTTATGGTACCAAGAGCTCCACAGATTTAATGCATGTTTTATGAATAAATTTCTCTCAGATCCAGTTTGTTCCATGATATCAAGTGATAAAAATTTCTTAAATATAGAAACAAAAATGATAAATAGTTTGAGGAGATCAAAAGTGGAAGTGAATTAGCCATTTTAATACTTTGGCTGATGTAAAAGGGAAAAACAGAATGGAGACGGATTGAGTTAGATTACGTCTTATTATTTTTCTGGTCGGTCCTATAACCTCAAGCAAATTGTTAAAACCACTTACTCTTAGGTAGTACTTCATGACCCAAACTCCAATGCAGTTTTCAGGGCTTGTATAAAGCTTTTTAAATAACAATATGATGCATTTTTTCCCACTATTCAGTCTCACATAATTGACTCGTTTTAAAAGTTCTTAAGAATGAGATTTTGTTTGAGGTCTTGATAGGAAATGAACAAGAAACTTCACATAAGTTCCGTTCTTTCAACAATCTATCATTTCGATGTGAAATAGTGAGTGACGTAGTTATAGTCATCCAATTCATCCAATGAACTGTTGAAAATTTTACTGGATCAGTGGGTTAGGCGAAAACTGCTAGACCAAATGGTTTTGACTTGTAATGGTTTTTTTATTCAATTAGGTTATATTGCTAGGATTTTAATATCACAAATTTTTCTGTATACAAATTGTATTCAAGTTATATTTTCAATCAATAAGAAACGGTTCAACCATTTTTTTGGTTACATAGGTTCGTTCTTTTTAACTGATGAGGTATTATCACTTTACTTTATCAACCTTCAGTGTGGTTTCAATAACGATGATTGTCATGCTATTTCTCCCACGAGCAAGGCTCTCTTTTGTTATGCAATTGAAAGAGGGGGAGAAGAGAGAGCTGTTATATTGTTTATTATGTCTTTTTAAGTATTACTTAATTTTTTGTTTATTTTATTTTATTACATTTTAAAATGGGAAGCATGATGTTTTTTTATTCTATTTTCGATATCTCTTCTTATTCTATTTTTATTTTAGTTTTCCATTAATATCAATGTAATATAAAATATATAGTAAGTTGTATCATTTATAGGCCGTGAATGGTGTGGCTCAGTTATGTACAGGGGACATGTCTAGTTTTATACAATGAACGAACCCCAAATGTGCTTTCAGTTGAATTTAAATTGCGCTTTTTCTTATTGCAAGTCTCTATTTTTGGCGGCATGCTTGCCCAACGTCTTGATGCATCTTTTAAGCTTCTGAATGTTGGTATGATTATTAGATGATTGGGATGGATTTGTTCACCTCGTTTTACCTTTGCCCCACTCTGCAGGAGGAGGCTTCTGCGATCAAGGCTGCAGGGAAGGCATGGTACCACACCATGATCTCTGACAGCGATTACACAGAGTTCGAGAACTTCTCAAAATGGTTGGGTGTCTCGCAGTGAAGTCATTTGGTATCGGGCATCATTTAAATTTTGTTTTCTTCGTGTCACTTTCAGTTTGAGACAGCAATGAAATGGGGCCGATAACTTGTGGAATTATTGCCCCACCTTTTTAACTTTGTTTCCTGGTTAAGATGTATGATTTTTAATTCATTAGAAATGGAGTTAAATGTTTAGACCTCTTTTATTCGTTTCTATCTGTATTGAAGTTATTCCGTTGTCCTCTATAGGTATCTGTGCGGATCCCTCGAATGGTTCCGATTCGCCTGTTATTGAACTATTTGTGTGCGCGTTTGAGATTTAGAGGGTGTTTGGATATTTCAAGAATCACTTTTCAGAAGTATTTTTTTACAAATCGAGACAAACTCCTTCACATTTATTTCGTATACCGTAAAAGTATTTTTAAAACTATAGTTTTGATCTTATCTAAACACTGTCTTAAAAGACAGAAAAAGAAGTCTACAACACTTGGGCCGTGGTATTATTGTTGGGTATTTCCATTCATAAAGGTTGTTGGAAATTAATCGAACGAATGAAAATTTAAATTTGATTCCAATTCAATAGTTAACACACTAATAGGTGCAATAAAGGAGGCGAATCTTGGGGCATCATTAAAGCTGCATTGTTAAACAAAATCTAGGGATTGATCACTGATGTTCAGGAGTTATTTCTCCTTCAAACATCTCTCATGAGGAGTGAGAAAATGGCTTCTGCTGCTGCAAACCTTGTGGTTGTTTTAACAAGAGCCGAAACTTTCAATAACTAGGCAAATCAGAACCGTGCAAGAGGTTTGATCTTTTCAGTGTGACCAAAGTAGCAAAAATAGTTCTCAATATCACTTGCAAGTCCAGCTAACGTATTTGCAAAGTGAATGGCTTCTTCATATGCAAAATCGATTCCCATTTCATCTAGCAAACAACACTTCGAATCTCTTGATGCATTTGTGCAATCATTTAGCTCAACATTCCAGTTCTGCGTGTGTACATCTCCAGTTTAACCTAATTACACAAACTAGCTTTCCCTCAATTTGTCAATGAGGGATTCAGTAAAAGGGATCAAAATCTCCAGGAATTTAGGATTACCCTCTTCAATTCCTCCTAAAATATTATGTATTTAAATCAATTTTCATCTTTATCCATTGAATCCAATATCCTCTGTGCATTCTGAAAGACAGGAGAGCCTTTCTTAGTCCTTTCAACAATCTTCCAAATCAACTCCATCTCATAATCAAAACCACTCTTTTCATCACCAAGAACATTTAATTCAGATACATCCGAGCTTTGGCCTTCCAACATGGTAACCTGGTTTGAAGTAGTTTCTCCTGACACTTTGTCTCCATTAACTGTGGAATAACTTACAGAACCATTTGCTCCACCAAGCTGAATTCCCAGTGCACGCCAACCATGTGAATGTGAACCTTCCTCGGGGCCAACGTTGTGAATGCTTGAGAGTGAGTTCTCTTCCGAGTCATCTCTCTTTATTAACTCTTCATAAGCCTCATTATAAGCATCCAGTGCCTCATCTGATAAATTTACAAGAAGAGGATGGTCCCACTCATCATAAGCCGATGAAGTCTCTCCAGTAAACGGGGATGCCAGTTCACAACCTGGGAACTCCCTTTGGTGATGACCACTGAGCTTGGATTCCATCATTTGCACTTTCCTCTGGCTATTTTCAAGGGCAGTCTCAAGCTCCTTCACACGTTCCTCAAGTCTGGATTGTATAACTTGATGCAAACGCAGACTCAGTTCACGAGGAGAAACAGCATAAGTTGTGGCAAGAGGTGGGGAAATGTCACTAGCATCACCATTTGATTTTCGGTGCGCAAAAGCTTTCCCACTGACCTTGTCAGTTTGCAACTCACCTTGAGCAAAATCTGCTTCAAATTCTGGGTCAAGCTGCAAGAATTTGTGCGCCATCAAGCATTGTTGATTAAAAAGGGATAATGGCGAGGTGTAAAACACGCATAAAAGATGACAACAAGGTGACCGGACTAATAATAAGGTCAATGAAGAGGCTCTTCCCTCCAATTTTTCAAGGTTTCTTCAGGAAACAGACCCAGTAGAGAAGAAAATGGAAGGAAAAAATATTAACAATTAAGTAAGACAATATGCATTGATACATTGCTATTTTCCTTTTCCTCCTTTATATTCTCCAAACAAAGGATAACGTCATTCTAAACTTGGCGCAAATCTTGGTTTCCCAACATAAACACTTCAACCAAAAATGTGAGATTAAATCCAAAATGGAAACTAAAGACGTCTTCAAATAGAAAATGAGATAAAATTTAAAAAAGAAAGATGAGATTACACATGAAGTCAAACCTAGGGAGTAAAAAACAAAATTCTATGGCGGGAAATTTCATATGGCATTACAATACCAGTTCTCCTCAAATAGAAGGTACCTAAATGAAGGAGCGAACCATCCAGTAGCATAAAATCATGAAGGTCTTCAAGTAATTGAAGCAATTAGATTATTACAATATCATTTCATATGATTTGTATCTATAGTTATTGTGTCCTATAATACTGAAATAGGTATCTGATGAATTTTCTGATTCAAGTGCAGATTAAGACGTATCTGATTTAGTGCATATAAGTCAATAAAGTCGAGATAACACTAAACTTAGAAACCCTATCAAAATTACATATTGTTCTTCTCCACCTCTGAAGGAATGATGGAAAAATGCATGCCAATTGGCATATGACTGCAATGAAAATCAAGACAAGAAATTATCAAATAAAAGGCACGCAGGCAGAACCCCATGCAGTTCATCTGGTATTGTGCTCCAGAGAAGTAGTAAACTCTTCTAAATTAGTTTGTGCTCCTCCGTGATGTTCTAACCAAACATGAGCGTTCTTCAAACTAAATTAGGGCAAACTATTCATTATCCCTTCCACCACTATCCTGCATGAGATCTATCTATTTACAATATGCAGATATTAACAGAAATAAAATAACACCCATGACAACAGACGCATTCCTAGATGATAATAGCAGGAATTTCATATAAAGATGCGTTTTGCATGTGTTGCAGTACGTAAATTACAAGAAGATGCAAAGATAAACATGCGAAATTACCTCAACAAGCTCAGATAGTCTTCTATCCAGGCTAGATGTATTCATGGTCAAACCCAATCTCTCAAGTTCGGCCTCAAGCTCAGCTTCAATTTTGCTTATAGATCCTGAACTTTCTTCTTCCCTATGATCATGTAACTCTTTGTTGTTATTTCTCGGAGAGGCACCGATATGCTTTTCAGGGGAACATCTGCTCATATCTTTCTTATAAAAGGAATTATCACACATGTCCTGCGGACCATAATTCTCATTATGCAACTCCTTCACAGTGACCGAATCTTTCATTTCAAGTTCCTCTTGTAGATCTTGAACCAAGTTCCCAGTTTGCTTCAACAAGCCTCTTATATTGTCGACTTCTCTTTTATTTGCCATGGTGGAAGCTATCATGCCAAAAGAAATTCCAAGGCTGAAGAGGAACATTGCATCTGCTGATTATGGAAGCGTTAGCAGATGTAGTTTAAGTAAAAAACATATGCATGGCACTACATAGGTTAGACAACATCATTATATGAAAAGAACAATCTAAATCATCAGAAGGTCGTTATCTGTGGCTGCTGATGCAATTGACTGCGTTAAAAAGCTAGTTGTCATCAACATGTTATCTTCCCCAGGGCCAGAACACACCACCCAGATATCCTTTTATAAAGAAATAAATACAATGTTCAACGATTTCAATTCTTGAGGGAGGATTGCAAGAAAGAAACCAAAATTTCACAAACATGCAAGGATAAAAATACTAAATGTTTTTCAAATAACTGATACCACAGTTTCATTCTCTTAAGACTTCTAAACTGAATGAAAAATACAACCTACACCTGGAAGTAAGATCAAAAACATTTTTGTGCATTTTATTTTTACAATTTTTATTCTCATGCATAAACAGTTCAGGGGAAAAAACGGCTGTAGCTGGAAATGTCAGAAAAGAAAAGAAGTTCATATCATATGGGCGTTCAAAGGAACTTCCTCAAAAGTCAGTTCAGCATGCAAAAGGAAAGATGTTACTGAATTGAGAGCCATACCATATTGAGAATGCATGGGCTTTCTGTTGTACAAATTATTGGATAAGCTCAATCTTCCGCTTCTCCCTTTTCCTACCTTAATTTTCATCTTCTTAGGATCCTCCAAAGATCCAAATTTTGGAAAAGATGGAATTCCAAATACATTTTCATCTTTTTCGTGAAAGTCTTTCTCATGCAGCTTACATTCCTCACTTTGAATCAATGAACTGGAAGAATCAATACTTTTTCTGCTGATTATTCGGCTCCCATCACTAACAAGAAATGACCTTGTGGCTGTGGAGGGTGATGAACGAGAGCTAAAGACATATTCTTCTAATTTGGCATGTTCCATGCACAGCTGCGCCAGTAAGCAACTGTCTAACGAACTTACAGGTCTAATAAAATGTCCATGCAAATGTCTAGTCCTGAGAGAGATTTTACTTCCAGCAGAATAATAATTACACCCAGATTCAGCAGAAGAATCAGAAAACTGGAATCCATAATTGCTGTCAATGTTAGAACTTTGTACATCTTCAATGTCCTTATAGTTCTCATTTGGTGAGATTGGTAATGATAAGCTTGATAGAGAAACTACACTGTTCTTACTGTAAGTTCTTAAGCCTCTTATTTTTTCACTATCAAGCCCTCTGATAGCAGTAGAATCCAATTCTCCGGCCGAAGGACTATCCAGTAAATATACATTTGAAGAAAAATCTTTGCCTAATCCATCTTTCCATCCTTGTCTGGCGAAGGAACAGCCAAGGGACTCAGAATTCTCAACTTTGGAATCCTCTGATGACAAGGACAACTGAAATGTGCTATCACTATTCTTTGAAATTCTGTTCCAATATTTAGCCAAATACCCGGCTCCTGTAGCAGCTGCAACAACCCACAAATCCATTTTTTTGTTCTCCCTTCCACGGAGAAAAAAGCACTATCCAAATCCCACAATACAAATTATCTTCTTTCTTTCAATCGTTAACATCAAACGGCCAAGGAAAAAATATTCCATTAATTTTACTGCAACTGCCTTCAAAAGTTGTCGCAACAATAGGCTATAGGATGGAAAGCTGCAAAACCCTAAGAGAAGAATAAGACCAGAATCCCTCATTGGCGAAAAACATTTTCCTCCACCCAAGTACCAATTCAAAATCCATTAGAATCCTATCATTCACGAACATAACGACTTGTCATGCTTTTCCACTGGCATTATAAACAAGGAAGGAACAAAAAGAACTCAGAAGTAATATCCACAAGTTTACGTCAAAATTTCAAAAGCCGTCAGTAATCAATCAATGTCAGCAACAAAAGCCACCGAAATGAACACATTTCTAGACAGAGAAGTTTCAAAGAAATAAGCCACCAAGAGACTTCAGCAACTCCTAGAACCTACGTCATGATAGCATATATAGAATTCCAGGCCATATCCGTCTGAAATGCCTATTCCCTGGGAAAAGTGAAAAAGCATAAATAAGACGTACCCATTTCACCAAATAGCACGGCGCCACAATCAAAATGTTTTCATGGTCGTAAAGAGGGCATGTATAATAAGATGAACATCCCTTGCCGGTTGCAGCTACCTTTCTGTCATAACTCATAAATGAACGGACAACGAATGACTCGTTTTTTAACAAATAAAAAATAAAAAAGTCCTTTTGAAAATCCCTTCGCACTATGTAGAAATTCCCACGCCCAACTTTGCCACACGATGTTTGTCGAATCTCGCAGGTTCAGTCCCTCGGACGAAAACGACCGGCGAGTGGCGACAACGTTCTCTCCACAGGTGCTCAGGTCAGAGGCACGCCTTAATGGCTCCACCTGCACAGAAAATTTTGGTAGATAGACAAAGATAGTTTTATTTATGATTTTTTTTTTCCCGCGAATTTTATATGGTCACCACTCACCATGGCCTTACCCATGCAGGCTTAAACTTTTTTTTTTTTTAATTTTTGGTATAATACTGAATATCATTGGAAAAAAGACAGAAAAATGCTACTTAAACTTCATAATCCCCAAATAGTATGTTAAATTTGAAAAATCCTAATTTGGTCTCAAGAGACCAAATTGGGATTATTATATGAAAAGAAAAGACTAAATTGCCCTTCATTTTAAATATTATTTTTAAAACATCACGGCCCCTACTGGCCAGCTGGTCACCGGAGCTCCGGCGGCAGCGATCACCGGAGCTCCGTCGATCAGCCGACAATTAGTCACCGGAGCTTCGTCGATCAAAAAAAAAAAATTTGAAAATTTTTACAACTTCAATATAACAGTTAACAACTTTTATAATGCTATTAACAACTTAGTATAACAATTAACAACAGGTTTTATGGGAAATTCAACAAATTTCGGCGACCGGAAACAATTTTTTTGAAAATTTTTACAACTTCAATATAACAGTTAACAACTTTTGTAATGCTATTAACAACTTTAGTATAGCAATTAACAACAGGTTTTATGGGAAATTCAACAAACTCCGGCGACCGGAAACAATTTTTTTGAGAACTTTTACAACTTCAATAAAACCGTTAACAACTTTTGTAACGCTATTAACAACTTTAGTATATCAGTTAACAACAGATTTTTCGAAAAATTCAACAATTGGTCGCCAGAGCTCCGGTGGAGGAAAACAAATTTTTTTGAAAATTTTTACAACTTCAGTATAACAGTTAACAACTTTTGTAACTCTATTAACAACTTCAGTATAGTAATTAACAACAGGTCTTTTGGGAAATTCAACAAACTCCGATGACCGGAAACAATTTTTTTGAAAATTTTTACAACTTCAATATAACCGTTAACAATTTTTATAACGCTATTAACAACTTTATTATATCAGTTAACAACATATTTTTTGAAAAATTCAACAATTGGTCACCGAAGCTCCGGCGGGGGAAAAAATTTTTTTTGAAAATTTTTACAATTTCAATATAACAGTTAACAACTTTTGTAATTCTATTAACAACTTCAGTATAGCAGTTAACAACAGGTTTTTGAGTTTATTAAAGGCATTACTGAAATTATAAAAATGTCACTTTTTGAATTTTTTTGAAAAACCTATTGTTAACTGCTATACTAAAGTTGTCAATAGAGTTACAAAAGTTGTTAACCGTTTATACTGAAGTTGTAAAAATTTTCAAAAAAAATTATTTCCGATCACCGGAGCTTGTTGAATTTCCCAGAAAACCTGTTGTTAATAGCATTATAAAAGTTGTTAACCGTTATATTGAAGTTGTAAAAATTTTCAACTTCAGTATAACGTTAACAATTACGTTTTTTTGAAAATGTTTACAACTCCAATATAACGGTTAACAACTTCGATATGGCAGTTAACAACAAGTTTTTCGAAAAATTTAAAAAGTGGCATTTTTATAACTTCAATAATGCCTTTAACAAACTCAAAACCTGTTGTTAACCGCTATACTAAAGTTGTTAATAAGGTTACAAAAGTTGTTAACCGTTATATTGAAGTTGTAAAAATTTTCAAAAAAATTGTTTTCCTCCATCGAAGCTCCGGCGACCAATTGTTGAATTTTTCAAAAAATCTGTTGTTAACTAATATAATAAATTTGTTAATAGTGTTACAAAAGTTGTTAACGGTTATATTGAAGTTGTAAAAATTTTCAAAAAAAATTGTTTCTGGTCATCGGAGTTTGTTGAATTTTCCAGAAAACCTGTTGTTAATTACTATACTGAAGTTGTTAATAGAGTTATAAAAGTTGTTAACTGTTATATTGAAGTTGTAAAAATTTTCAAAAAAAATTGTTTTCCTCCACCGGAGCTCCGGCGACCAATTGTTGAATTTTCCGAAAAATCTGTTGTTAACTGATATACTAAAATTGTTAATAGCGTTACAAAAGTTGTTAACGGTTATATTGAAACTGTAAAAATTTTCAAAAAAATTGTTTTTGGTCGCCGGAGTTTGTTGAATTTCTCACAAAACCTGTTGTTAATTGCTATACTGAAGTTGTTAATAACATTACAAAAGTTGTTAACGGTTATATTGAAATTGTAAAAATTTTCAAAAAAATTGTTTCCAGTTGCCGGAGTTTGTTGAATTTCCCAGAAAACCTGTTGTTAATTGCTATACTAAAATTGTTAATAGCATTACAAAAGTTGTTAACTGTTATATTGAAGTTGTAAAAATTTTCAAAAAAAAATTCTGACCGACGGAGCTCCAATGACCAATTGTCGACTGGTCACCGGAGCTCCGGTGACCGGCCGGCCAGTAGGGGCTGTGATATTTTTAAAATAATATTTAAAATGAAGGGCAATTTGGTCTTTTCCTTTCACATAATAATCCCAATTTGGTCTCTTGAGACCAAATTGGGATTTTTCAAATTTAACATACCATTTGGGGATTATGAAGTTTAAGTAGCATTTTTCTGTCTTTTTCCCAATATCATTGCTTAACAAAGCCAAATGCTAATATAAACTTGATCAAGATCCACCCTTTCGATTCAAGATAGAAATTGAGCAAAGATACAAAAATTTTCTTCTAACCTATGAGCAATTTTTGATAAACTATCAACATCAAATAAATGACTCATATCCACATGTCAGGCTTAAATTTTGAAGAACAAGAAGAAAATTTTGATAAAAAAGAAAAAAAGAAAAAAAAATTAAGCACAGCTTATAAACAAATATGTCTTCAAAAACAAAAAAACAAATATATCTTGAACATTTCCTTCCCTTTTTATTTTTCAAGCAGAGTCACGTCACTTTGGCTTCAAGGTATTATAAATTATAAATAAAACTATCATACAAACTACCTATACTTTTTTCTTAATTTTAATTTAGTACTTATCTAGTTTCCTCTCTTTATCTTAAATTATAAATTATATGAAACTTATCTTTCCTTTTTGAGCAAAGGTGTTGGTTGCTTAACAGTACTCCTTCAGTTCTTAATATAGGACCTATTTAATTAATTTGATTATCTTAAGGAAGTTAGGTAAGTTAGTTAATTATAAAAAATGACATGTTTTTTTTTAAAATGTCATAATCATCTTTCTTAATACCCCTCTCCTTCTTCTACTTGATTATAGTTGAAAGAATATTCATAAAGGCAATTTAGAAAAAATTTGATAAATATGAAAAATAGATATTATATTTAGGACTAAAATCATCTCAACAATTAAGTTTTATATTAAATACCGGAGGAGTCTAATCTAACAAGAATATTCGTGGTAATTAAGCAAACCAAGCTCCACATAATATTGAGAGAATTACAATAAAATCATAAGAAAGAAAATAATTATTAATAAGTCACAATAACAAGAGAGCTGTTATTATTTATTACTCTAAAATTTGTCTTGTATATTATTCTATTGTCATCGGAACATTTTAACAAGTTTGTTCCTTACTTAAGACTTCACAGCGATTCTCCTTACTGATTCTGCAACGCCAAGGAATCTTTTTTTCAGACTTCAAATCGAAGATGTGTTCTAAATTTGCGATCATTATGATGGAGTCACATAGAAAGATAGTGCTACTTGTCACCAGAATGAGGCTCTCACCTCACCTCGTTTTCCCCCTCCCAACTCATATGCCTTTTCACTTGCCAATTGCTTCACCGTAAATCATCACGATCGTCTAATCAGTCCATTCCCACTAATTATTACTCAAAAAATTTATGATTTTATTCAAGGATACTAACATGTAAGTTTAAAAATGTTATCATATCGTTATTGGAGCTATGTAAAGAGTAAAGTTCTAGTAAAGTTATCAATAATTATTGTTTTTTTTTTTTTGCCTGAATCAATAATTATTGCATTGACGTTCGCCTTAAAAGTCATTAAAGCAATAGTTTTGACAGTTAGCAACGGGGAAAAAAAAAACAGTTTTTGTCAATGTTATCACTATTTAGTGTATTTACATTCACTTTAAAAATAATTAAAACTATAGCTTTCATGGACGCATTTTCTTTCTATCAAAATTTTCTGAGAGGTGGCGGCTTTTCAGCTCCCTTTAAGCCTTTTCTTGAGCCAAACAGGGCTTGAAAATTTGCTGTAAGGAATTCGGTTGAAGAGATTCTTACGCAATGAACCAATTAGCTCTACATGTTATGATGTATTATCATATATTTTTTGCATTGAAGTAGCCTATATGTTATGACCAACATTAGAAAGCAAGATCATCAGACAAAATTCCAAAACCAAAACGAAAAACGAAAAAAACCAATTTGATTCTTCAGGAAGAAGAAAACACAGAAGTCTGTTCATTTTCTCACACTCAACACCAGTTCTCTTAAATACAGAGAAGGGTATCTTACATAACCTTTTTTTTTTTCTTAAAGAGAAAAAAGAATATAGGCTATTTTAAGCCTATAAGGAGCCAAAGTAAATAGGAACAAAGCTACCCCAACGAATTTATGATGTCTTTAAAATAAAAAATGAGCCAATCAGCTTTCGCAGCAACAGGTTCTCTGAATTGAACACCCGCGTAGCAAATGAACAAGTCCGCACCCCCTGGTCTACGAGCCTAAATGTGAAAGCACAACAGTTACACACACAATAATAACTGGTTTGGATCCTCTTTATCACCTTCTCTCCATTTTTTGTCAGTTTGGAAAAGAGATAGAACACAGAATATGCGAGTCCCATCACTCAAGTGGATCTCGCACATTCAAATACGACTTATCATTTATGTGAATCCCATATGTTTTGTATTTATCTTTCTTCAGAATTGAAAATAATTAGAGAGAACTGCGGAAGATCCAAACTCAACTATCAGTCAGATGCATCTATATTGCTCAAAAATCCAGGAGAACAGGTCAACTGGAAACAAGGTGGGCTTTCAGTTTCGTGGGATCGGAAACGATATTGACAGGTGCTTCAACAAGGGCCCTCAACTTCAAGTGTTATAATAAACCCACAGTTAGGACCTTTTTTTTCTTTAAATAGCTGAAAGTTAGGACCTTGTCATTCCATAAATTTTATTACTTGAATATCTGAATGTTCTTACTAACCTCAAGATCAGTTGCGCCGTCTCCAACCATAGCTAATGTTTTGTAGCCATGAACCTGAAATGTAAGTTTCATTGGCTTAACAAACAATGTAGTTGGTAAAACTTAAATTAACAAGCAGATACAATACTAACGTTCCTGATTTGTTGCACTGCAGTAGCTTTTCCTCCACTTCTTGAAGTAGGCTCGTTCTTATCAAACCCAATAAACTCTCCAGAGCTACCGAAAAGCAGTTGGTTGGCAAAAATATTCTCTTGATGAATTCCGAGTATTGATGCAACAGGCTTCATAAGAAGTGACTTAGTAATTAGTAAGGAAATAAAGTATCTAATTCATCATCCATGTGTCCTGTAAGCTCATCAAATGCGAAAATCACTGCATTAAATTCTCAGGAGTCGTGACAGTGTTACGCCAAGAAAATCATTTTAAATATCTTCACGTGCAACGACAATGTTAACTCAGTGCATCCCGATTGACGCTTTTGCGACCAAAAGGAAGCAAATATAAAAATAATTAATTATTAACTTTCCACATACATTGATCATTTGACGGAAGCCCCCAGAAATCAGATAAACATGTTTTTTATTAGCCTTCAGCTTCTCAACTAACTCTTGAATGCCAGGGGAAAGCCTGCATATTGAGACGTAGAATCATAAACAATGCCCTTAATTAAGACAAACAGTTCACATTTCTCATCAAAGAAACAGATTGCCATTTGTGAGGTGAAGAGAAAAGGAACAAAAATGGAAATTTGAAATACAGAAATCGAACTTTTATCGTTATTTAGAATGGCCAGACATAAGAACAAGTCAGTCAATCTTTTATGCTACCGGAAGAAAATTCTCCGCAGTACAAGTATTTTTTAGATACGTTATTGCAGTTTCATGATAAAAAATTCTCTTGCAGGAAATATATGATTTGTTTATAAAAGAATATCATTTTTTGGCTGTTGACGCTATACAGAGTTTTTCTTCAACTTCCATAAGATGATCAAGTAAGCATTGGGCATGGGAAAGGATATAGCACTTCTCAGAACATGGTTACAGCCTTGATAGTGGGACATTAGAGATCTGGTAAGATAAACATCATTAGTGAGAGCGAATAAACTCCAAATTCTGTCAGTCCTGATTCTTCACTTTCCCGACACATCTACCTCAGTCATGCAGGGACACCTCACGCACAGAAACAGGGTAAAGTCATCATTGGCAATTCTGAGTGCACATCACCCATCCCTCAGTTCAAGTTTCAACAGACATGATGCAGATAGATGCAACAAAAATGCATTAAGGGGGGCGGGGGTGAGATAAAAAATAAAGACTGTAATGTTTACAAGAAGATTCTGATAAACTTACTTTCTCATAATTAGAATATTCGACGATTGGGAAACAATTATACAGGAAGCACGATCAGGTTTCAACAAAAAAGTTAATATATGCCCAACTTTAACAAATGCTCAATATTGTTAACAAAAACACTCCTACCTGGGGGGTCTTTGCTCAAGACAATCCTGAACTTGAGACAAAGAGGGACTGAACAGAGATAGTCTGGCAGCCAAGGCCTCCTCAAAAGGAACAGAACCCCCCATTGCTCTGAGAAAATTCAGCGCACAAATTAGATACAAAAACTTCAAAAAGAAAAATATAGGCATTTAAAGCGTTTAAAGTTTGTTTATCCAACCTAGCAGTCCATTCTGCTACAGCCTTTCCAGCCCCGCAAAAATCGGCGAGCTCATCAATACCTTCACCCAGGCAGACGGTGCTATCGACATCAAAGCACACGGCATCAGCGTTTCTCCAAAGTTCAAGAATCTCTATCGTTAAAGAAAGAAACAATCAATATAATGATTTCAAATCCTGAAGCCAAAAATATCAGAGTGATATATGACCTGCGGAAGGCAGCTTGTTTCCAGAATGGCTCACTTTTGAACCCCGTACTGGTTGAACTGAAGCAACAATTACGCTAAATGGTGAGGATTGTTTCATAGTCTTTAAACGAAATCCATAGCTACTCTTGCTCAGCTGTGGTGCAGAAGATGGGAGAAAACGATACTGATATTTTCTACCAGAAGAATAGACAAGGTTGGTCCTAGAACTCACCAACCCTTCCATGAAATCCTCCGCTCTCAAACCCGAGAGATCCTAGAATCTATCCAACAATCACCTAGAAAAATGTCAATGGATGCAGCGACTATCCTCTTGATATCTAGAGAAGTATACTGCAATAAGAAAGAGCCTAAATGAACAGTCCAAGAGCGAACCAATCTCGGGAAAAATAAAAGATTATAAAATGCATTATAGATTTAGATCTGCAGGATCACAGCTCTGTTGTGTAGACGTTGTTACCCTGTGAATTTCATAGCACTAATGAAGCAAACGTTCGACGTTAATTTCCTCACATCCTCGAGGGTTGGTGAGGCCTGCCAGCTACCACCTAACGTATCCACTGCGCCCACGATGCTCAGACAAACGCTGTTTTCCAATTCCCTAGCCTGACCTGAAGCGTTCGGGATTTCAAATTTCCAGTTACACAAAAAAAAAAAAAAAGGCCCACCCAATTTGCCAGATTGGGACGTAATGGACTGGGCCAGAATGGTATTCGGAATAGTTCAAAATTGACCCTTATTTCTTGTTTTTATAGCCCGTGCAAGCAGCAGTCCAATAACAATAGTCAAATATTTAGGGTTCGCGTGTTTATTGATTGGGGAAAGGAGAAACTTGGTACTTTTATGAGTTTATGTGAAGTTGGGTTGTCTTATCGATAAAATCGATTTCATGGTTTGTAAGGAAAAGACCTTTTGATTAGTTTTTAGCCCAATTTCAAACTTGATTTATCTGAAGGCTAACCTCTTTCTTATTCCTTAAGCATCTTGCTCTGCATCATTGAAATTTAGAATCTGAGCAAAAGTTGGAAATAATAAAGCACGTGGATATTATTGCACTCTAACTCTTTCCATCGCATCACGCCTCAAAGTTGGTATCATAATTAATTTTGTCGCAATACTTTGGACCTTCATATTGCGTTCAATAATCCAACCTGTTCCATTCTTATTCTGTGCAAGAGCCCCCTTTTTACCTTGGCTGATTTGTTTGCCCATCAACTCTCTCATTGAATCTAATGGTTGAAATACCCTCAAACACTCGAAAGAAGAAAAATATTAATGCGAGCCACTTTCAACCTCTCGACATCCTAAAAAAAATTACAGAAAGGATTATGGGAAATTACTTTTTTAGGATCCAGAGCGAGTATGAAAAAGAGGCAAGAGCTCAAAATATGTCAAGCCATAAACGAGACGACACCGTTGTGAGCTTTGTTTGCATGTGGATGCTCAATTGCTAATATCTGCGCTGAGCAGAGGATTTAGCCCCCTCCAATTGTTTTATAGTGAGGCTGCTCCAACAATTAAAAAAAGAAAAAAGAAACTACGCACTAACTTATCTCCACATGCACCGCGCGGATTGTCCCAACAAAGAAAGGAAAATGATTGGTTGAGAGGGTAGACGACGGGAAGGCCTATAGGTTCAAACTTCAAAGGGAACCTCATTCCCCGCACAATGGGCCCTTTCAGTCATTTATTTTCTTTATTACTTCACTTTCACTCGTGCTGGACCCCCTCTCTTTTTAACCCTCGTTTTTAAAGTGTCCGATAAATTATAAATATTAATTATTCTTTAATTATAAAAAAAAACATTTCATATTTAATTTCCTGATTCATTCACCATATAAAAACCAATACATTTTAATTAAATTTATTCATTGTTATGCAGTTAATGAACCGGTCGTATTCTCATGCATTCTCCGGATAAACATCACTATACTATTAAAAGAAGTGCTTACCAAGGGATTGTTTAACTTTTCAGCGCATTAAAAGCTCAAAAGAGAGATTGAGAAAAGGAAGTGGAAAATGACAATTACAGACCCAGCAAAGAGGATTAATAACAATTGCATTTTTCTAATTTTAGAAATCTCATGAAAAGACCAAAATCCTTTATTGCAGTTAAAAATAACTCCATCAGATTCCACTGGCCCCTGATCTAAGTAAATAAAATGGTTGTGTGGAAAAAAGTAAATAACACAGGCGCATAAATTTGAAACCCTTCCGATATACACTCCGTGGCATAAATGTATTGTCATTATAATTTCTCCATCTACCGTTGTCGATCCAACAACACCGTCTTCTGCTTCCTTTTTTCCCGGCAATATTTGCAATTGACGGGGAGTGTGCTTCTTTTTTGTTTTCGCAATTAAGATTCATTCTTCTTCTCCAAGTGCCTGTTAAGAAATATTTTTCAGATTATTAATATAGAACCTAATTATTAAATTGATTTTAGTCCTAAATAAAAAACTCATTTCTTGTATTTATCATTTTTTCTAAATTACTCCTATAGATACTCCTTCAACCATAATCAAATAGAAAAAGGAGAGAGGATATTAAGAAAAATAATTATAGTGTTTTAGAAAAAATATATCATATTTTTTATAAGTAACCAACTTACCTAACTTTCTTAATCTAATCAAATTAGTTAAATGGTTCTTATATTAAGGAAAGGAGGAGTACTAATATAAAATCTATTTAACTAATTTGATTAGATTAAGAAAGTTAGATAAGTTGGTTACTTATAAGAAATATGACATGTTTTTCCTAAAACACTATAATCATATTTTTTAGATATCCTCCCTCCATCATTTACTTGATTATGGTTGAGGGAGTATCCATAAGGTAATTTAGAAAAAGTTAATAAATATGAGAAATGAGTTTTATATTTAGAATCAAAATTAACATAATAATTAAGTTTTATATTAAGAATCAGAGGGTAATAGCTGATTTCTTCATCTTTTTATGTGTTTTATTCTTAAATAATCAAACATAATTCCTCCTTCCCGAGAATAATTAAGATCTTCATAAATTATTTTCTACATGGGCTGTTAAGGGCAACTTTATAAATTCACTCTTCTTCTTCTTTTTTTTGGCAACAAAGGCTGAGAGATCTTTTATTATTAATTAATAATACTTTCAGAGGGCCTGCATTTGTTATTTTCCCAAGAGGAAAGGGAATGGAACACTGAAGAAAAATGCAGCGACGAACAATAATAGAGAAATAGTTAGAAAAGTTAAAAGCATTAATAAGGGGAGAGGATGAGGTGTCCATTGATGAGACACTGAAGTAATTAAGACAGCGACCACACGTCAAAACCCTTGACTTCTCGATTGCCTTACGCAATCTGGGATCGCCAAAACAGCAAATTCCCCTGGCCACGTTCCCGTCATTCCAATTATCTCTCTCTCTCTCTCTCTCTCTCTCTCTCTCTGCTTACAAACATGTGAAATAATAATTGCAACTTTCCCAGTAGTATTTCATAAATAAGACGCTATTTATAGTAAATAAATATTTTTCATTGTCAATTTAAAGAATAATTAAAAGGGATTACATCTGTTAATTAGTTTTGAAAACATTAAACTTATAAATAACAACATATTTTTGTTATAATTTTAAAGTAACTTCAAGCTTTTTTTTTATTTTCCCCAGTTATAATTTGCTAATATGATAATCAAATTGTTAATAAAAAATATTAAGTGTTAAATTATGTTGAAAATATCGTATTTCTTTTTCCAAATACATACATTACTTAAAAATATTATATATTGATCTTGTAGCTATAATAGCTATCACTACCTTAATATAAAAATTCAATTTGATTCTAAATATAAAATCTCATTTTATATTATTTTTAATATTTATGTTTTTTGTTCTCAGATAATTCTTATAATGACTATATATATCAAAAAGTTAATAACTCTACTATCAAATGGTGATTCACATACACATAATTCATTAAGATATTTTTGAAAAATAACATCAATTCATTACAAATAATTAAGCTAGTTAATATTTTTAATAATCATTCTAAAAATCTAGCTTTTATATTAAATATTGAAACTAGTATCATCAGAAAAAGAAATTTACAAATTAAAATAGATTATTTGATTGAAGATTTTCTAATAATTAAAGTATATCATGATGGCCGATAGATGACAAGTTATTCTTTCAGTTCTAATAAATATAAGACATGTTTTATAATATAATTTATATTATAAAATAAGTTTTATATTTAAGATTGAAGGAGTAAATTGTATTATGTAAATCATTTTGGCTAGCACTCAAGCTTCTGGAACACGATGTTGACTTAAATAATTGTAAAATCACCTCATAAATTAGCAATTACGTACGATCTGGATGGATGACACCTTGTCCCGAACACAAAAAGTAAATAAATAAAAGATATCGGTTACTTGCGACTCGCCAATGATTAAGGGTGTGTTTGGATGAAACCAAACCGTGGTTTGGAAAAGTGATTTTGGAGAATAGATTCTGGGAAAAATAGATTTGTGAAGAATAGATTTTGTAAAAAAGTGATTCTGAGAAGTGAGAGTGTTTGGATAGTTTATCAGAAGCACTTTTTATATATACAAATTACTAAAAAAAAGACATAAGTTAATATGATAATTACAGAAAAAATAGATTTTATGATATATTTTAATTTGAAGGAATAAAACTGTTAATAATATGTTTTTTACCAACATAATTAATAATACATAAGATAATATATTAATAAATAATTAATGTGTATATATATTTATAAATATAAATTAAATATATTTTAAAAAAATATGTTTATAAAAAAATAATAAGATACATATCATATAGACCCTCACACTCTCCCTTCTTTCTCCAAGCAAAAAATTTTGCTTTTCCAAAACCATGGTTTTGACCCAAAACCATGGTTTTGGTTTTAGAGGGGTGTTTGGGTAGATTATCCCCAAACCATGGTTTGGGTCCCCAAACCATGGTTTGGGGTGCTACCCAAACAGACCCTAATACTTTCTTGATATTCTGTGGTTGAACCAGTGGGATGTCAAAATCACAGCATAAATAATTTATCCATAAAAAATTACAACACGATTAGGATGAATATTATCTAAACACATTTATTTTTTAAAAGTTCTTAACATTATTTAAACACCTGAACTGAAGTTTAGAGGTGTTTTATAAAATTTACACTTTAAATGATTAAATTTAAAATTATTCATTTGCCTTAAGGATGCATGCCATCCCATGAAGTGAAGTTTTTTGTATTGATTTAGTTTTTATTTTTCAAGTATATCCAGATAAAATTATCTATTAACAAAAAATTTATGTTTTTTAAAAAAAAATAGTTCTTTTCAAATTAACAATAATAAAAAAAAAACTAGTCATGCGATGTTCTCTCGTGTAATTATTTAATTTTGGATATCGTATTTTTTGCTTGGGAAATGTATACTGCCTTTTTGTGAAATAAAAGGTTGCATGAACAAAAGTCAAATGCACGTTGGCCTTTCTTTTTTTGTTTTTGTTTTTTAATCCAGAGGGTATTGAAATTGACTATAATTATAATTTATATGCTGACCTTTTGGGATGGTAAAGAAACAAAGGATATTCTACCAAATACAATACAATACATGAATACAATACAACCAGCTTTTGGTAAATTGGTAAAAAAAAGGAAGAAAAAAATACAACCAGCTTAAGACACCATTATAATTGCCGAAAAGCCATGGGCACACAGCTTGCTCGCTCACAGGAAAATTTGTTGTTCAAATTGATTGGTCCGAAGGATATTTAGTTTTGACTTTTGATTCTCAAATGCATATTTTATTGGTTTTGGATTAGATAACGAGTAGCATAGCACATCATCATTTAGAAAAATTGTCGCCAGATAGATCACATTATTCAAATAATTTGTGAAGCAGCAGGTTATACCTGCTTATTATCAACAGTGCTTCGATACGCCTATACGACCCTGGGATTAATGATTTGTTGGTCTCTACTTGAGTGGGAACATTTTAAAAAATTTAACGAAAATCAATTACTTCTCCGATCCTTAATATAAGACCCATTTAACTAATTTGATTAGATTAAGGAAGTTAGGTAAGTTGGTTAATTATAAGAAATGTGAATGTTTTTTCTAAAACACCATAATCATCTTTCTTAATACCCATCTTCTTCTTCCACTTGATTATGGTTGAGAGAGTATCCATAAGGGTAATTTAGAAAAAATTGATAAATATGA